CCAGTTTGCTTGTGAGTGCCAGTGCGAGTGTGCGTGTGCCTCTGTGTGTGATTTGTGTGTAGGTGGCTCTATGCGCCCAGTGGGCGGTTGGTGGTTGAGTGGTGCCGTGTCGTGTCGCTCTTTTCCCTCTCGAGGAGTTTTTTTACGTTACCTTGCGATTTTTTCTCGGGACTTTATCTACCCAGAGCATCCACCGCTCCGCTCCCACTCGGCTGCCGCCAGACCTGGTACTCTCCTCAATTCTTCCATTTCGGCGTGCGCCCTCTTTTCTTGCCGCTGCGTCCCTTTTTCCCTCCTTTTCCTTCAGGGCGCTGAAGAAAATCCACCCCCCACGACAACCCCCAACCTCGTCCGTCCATCGATCCCGACCGACCCCCTTCGAGGCACGAGTCGTTGAGCCGACCGATCAAACAAACCACACTCAAGTCAGTGCCAGTGCCAGTGTCAGTGTTCGTGTCAGCATCAGCTTGCAGCGTTCACCACCCGCACGTCTTGTCCCCGTCTCGCCTGGCCTAGCCCTGTCTAGTCCCAAGTCCTCGGGGTTTTTCCTCGTCCTCGCTGCAGTCGCTTGCGTTCCCGCACGACATCGATCGCCTGCTCTCTCCCACTCCCCCCTGCGTTGCGCTCGCTCGAGCTCGACCCTATCATATCGACAACATTTCCACGTCATCGACAGCGGATTGTTGGACATCTATGGTCGTGTGCATTAGGCAATAATTCGCAGAAAGAGTCTGGAATTCTGGCGCGTGGGTGAGTTTGCAGTCCTGGTGAACCGGACGTCAGCAGCAGCATCACCACCATCTCGGGTTTTTCATCTGCGCCGTTAAGCGCCGTTAAGGGTTATGCGCCCACGAAAGTCTTCGGTCGGGCCTGGCGTGGGTTAGCCAAAGTTGGCATGCACCACTTGTCGTTTGCAATATGTTCTGGAAGGCGACGAGGCTTGGCTCCCTTAGGCTGGTCTAGGGCTTTGAACACCATCGCGTTGCTGTCTTCTGGCTTCTCTGCTTACCGAACCATGCTGACAATTTTTGGCTTATCGCAGGTCTTGATTTTACGCAATAACGAACTCCTTCGTGATACCCCTGAAGATTCTGTTCCCTTCCCCATTGGGAAAAATTACCGTTACGGTTCATCATGTCATACTACGGCGATGCGCAATGGCCTGCTGGCGGCCAGCCTGGTTGGGACCACCAAACCCCTCCCACCCGCTCTGGTATGCTTCCTGTCGGTTCTTGAGACCTGACGAAAATTAACGTGCTTGGACAGGCGCGAGCTCCACCATACCTCGGGAGGAAACCTCTGCTTTCTGGTATCAATTCGAGGGTACGTTTGCTGCAAGTCTGTGCGGGCAGCCCATCTCCCAGCTCCATTCTCTATCTGGGCCTCACAGTAATGCCCTCTGGCGACCAAGTCCCGAGCCTTGAGTTCGAAGACAAAATAAGAGATATCGTGGACAATGGCAGTGAAGCTGATGAAAATTGCAGAGGTTGAGCGCTCCATCGAGAATCTAGTCAAGAGCGGTAAAATGTTCGGGATTCCTGGTGGCAGACGTGAGTTGAAACCGCCCTTCCCTCCCGGCCCTGCCAGAAACCGGCCCAAGTTTGGTGAGTATGCATATTAGTGCTGGCTGGGCCACATCCCAGCAGTATCAAAGCTGACAAGCGCCCTACAGACCCTCGTGGATCTGGCGGCCCCCAGCGCCCGCAATCGGTCGAGTTTGATGGCCGGCCCGGCCCCCCTTCGTCGAATCTCCAGAATTTCTACGCCTCCCAGCGACACCAATCCTCGCGCGGCTCCAACGAGGCGGAACAGATGATGCAGGCCAAGAGGAGGATGGCGGCTCAGCGGGAGCGCGAGCTGCGCAACTATCATCAGGAGCAGCAATACAACCGAAGTAGGCCGCCCTCCTCTGTATAGCGTCACGAGACTCCTATCGCAATGAAAAAAGAAGACACCTCCCTCCATTCAGGGGTCACAAAAGCCACACTGTTGTTGCGATTTCTCCATGCCTCAAGTGCGGCCTGACATATTGATGCCCCCATTGCTTCTCCCGACACCTCCTTTGTAAGAACGGACAGCTGGCTCGGGACCTCCAAGTCATGGCCACTGCACGAAGCTTTTGGTTGGGATTTGTGAGCTAACTGCTGCGATTACTAGCTGCTGTCACCGACATTCAACCCGGCCCCAGCAACGCCACTGCTCCCAAGGCTGCCGATCGGACACTCAGCCCTAGCGGCATGTCAGAAGAAGCCCGACGTGAGCTCATCTCCCGCCAGCGGAGCGCTCTGTACGGCGAAAGCCCGTTCGGTCAGACAGGAGGGTACATTGATGAGACCGGGACTCCGCGTCAGGGATTGCCCGTTCACCATGGTGGGCCTCCAGGAATACGCGGTCCGTCGCCCCTGACATACGAAGCGGGTGCGCAGCCGCCGAACGAGCCGGTCTCGGCTGGTCCCCAGCAGCGAGAGCGGAACAGCAGCAACGCCAGCCCAGCCTCCAACCCTTCTGGGAATAAGGGCTCTCTTGAACAGCAGATTAGCCGGACCAGCAACTCTTCGCCTGGTGGTGAGAATGGCAGGGCCGTCACTGGGAAGCCTGTGGCTCCTATCGGTACGCGGCCCTCGGGACCGCCCACTTCCCAGGGACCACCGAACCCGGCCCTGCAGAGGCAGTCTACCACTCCTCTTCCGTCTCCCTTGAACCAGGGCTATAACGTTTCGGGAGGCGGCGAGTCTGGTGGTATGAATGCTGCAAGTGGGTCGTCCAACCCCACCTCCGCCGGGGCTGAGGCTCCTGTTGGGTTGGGCAGCTGGCCCCAGAGAGGACAGCCCTGGGGTCCCAAGACACAGACCAGCGTGTGGGGCTAAAGCCAGCGAGGACATATTGGGAATCCTTTAAAGGCCAGAAAAATTCGATGTGAAGGCGGGATGATTTTAAATGCGCGGGACGTAATTGGTCAAGGTGCATGCATTGATCTGGAGAATGGTGGGATCATGGTTACTACAGGGTGTTTTCTCAAGGCTTTGCGTTTACGGATGTCGGCATCCCGGAGGGAAGGCGTCGAGACACGATACCTGCATTGGCACTGGCATTGGCATTGGGCCTATTGAGCTGGTTGGCATATGATGATTGACGGCTGTCTCGCGTGGGAAAGAAAGGATACCACTCTGGAATTTTCACTATTGGAGCAAGGGAGACTCATGTCGGGCGCCAGGGCAGTTCACAACGGTCATGTCTGGTCTGGGTCTACGTTGGGCGGAGTTCATCTTGTCATGTTGTTCGGACGGCGGCTTGGTGTTGGAAGTCTTTCACCCTAATATCCCCCTTTTTGGTGGTACTGGTGGTTGGAGTTGCCCTGTTTTCTTTTCTCTTGCAAATCATTTCTTAATGTTTCCCTATGTTGTTGGTCGCGGGTCTGGAGTTGGTCTGATTTTGAACGTGACGGTGCGGTCGGTGCTGGAAAGGACAAGGTCGATACCCACGGTTTCACATGGGGCGCGGCACTCCTGGCTCAGTATCCAATCCCAAACGTCACGAAACCCCCCCTACAACACCCAAAAAGAGAAAGAGCATATCTGATATATAGGATGGAAACTCATCATACGGCGGCAAAAAGCACAAAAATGGAAACAAAAATAATCATCGGCGGAACTATAAAAGCGCATCTGGTACAACATGAGCAATGTTTCGCGATTCAAGCACCTGCCGTCTTCATCCAAATGAAGAGTAACATGCCTTCTCCGAGTGACTTGGACAAGACTCGCGTATGCTCATCAGATGGCGCATGCTTGTCTGCCGACTCGTTGTGGGGGCACTCGAGGGAAAGGTGCTCATGTGTTCGGGGTGAGTGATCTCGTAGCTGCCTGGACTAGGAAGTGCTGTGCTCCAACAGCCACAGAAGCGAGCATCCTGATCTCACAAGAGAATGCAGTGGTAATGGGGTTCAACTTAGATTGAGGAGCTTCCGCAAACACGCGGAGCGCACAAGAGTCAGTTCAACCTTCCGGGCCGATCCGGCCCTCCGCTTTCCGCCTCGGCGTCCCGACCGGCCCCAAAACAAAGACCGACCTCCGGAAACCTTGTCCGAGAGAGAGAGAGGCGCCGCCCCAATCAAGCTGGACAAGGTGATTGCCGTGACCGGATTCCGATAGAATTTGACCGCAGACAACTCAGACTTCCTCCTTCTCACCTTGCCTTCAACGCAGACGAGCGTCGCGGTAGATAACGGGGCCATGTTTGGTGTGCTTGGCATGGTTGTAGTACAGGACGGGCAAAAAACATGAACAATCACATGAAAACGATCGAGAACGGGCACCCAGGTACGATATGAGCTTAAATACCTTGTCTAAGATCGGGTAATGGGGGAGATAAAAAAAAAAAACTTCCCGGAGAGGAGCCCCGCGAAGGCGCACACGCAAGCAAGCAGGGCAAAGCGGGACACAGGAAAGAGAGACAACCACACAGGAAAGAAAATCGATGTCTCGCAAGTCTGTCGCAACCCGCCGTTCATGTATGTGTGTGTGTGTCTGTGTGTGTGTGCCTCGTGGCACCCACACCCCCTCGGCAGTGGGCCTCGCGTCGCACGGTTCCTGCGGCTCGACCGTTGCAGTCAGAGTTAGTTCGCGCGTCCCGGGAACGAGAAGGGGGGCCCGGCGAGTCGGCCGGCCGACCAGCCAGGCCAGTCCAGATAGACGAGCAGCAAGGGGGGTTGAGGGGGGGGGGGGCAGGATCGACATTAAACAAGCACTCAAGGTGGTGCGACTGAGCCAATGCGGCCGGGCCTGTGGCCGCCCTCACAGCGTTGCGCGTGGGCCTCCTCCAACCGTTGCGTGAAAGATGCAATTTCCATACATGTTACCTGATCTTGTGAACGCTAACCAACTCCTAAGATCAGATATGGGCCTCGGGGCCGCCCGTTACTGGCTCCCTTCCCATTTATATGCTTTGAGAGCCCCGATTCGGCCGTTGCAGAAAGTGTTATGCGCCGTCCATCCCTATGCTTACAAGCCCAACGCCCGGATGCCAGCCGCAAGGTCCGCGACCTCATCCGCCCTCTCAGCCTTCCCTCCCCAGACCACTGTCCCCCTCTCATCAACGGCGAAAGCTCCGCCCTGCTGCCACTTGTTGCCCATGATTGTCCCTGGACCCTCCGCCTCGGCGGCTCCTCCGCCAGCGTCCGCTGCCCCGAGGTCCATACCCCCGTTCCCCCTCATTCCCATCTTCCGGTTGATGCTCGTCGCTACCGTGCTACCCAGCCAGCCCTTCTCCTTCCAAGCGGCCGTCTGCGTGGTCGGGTTGAAGTAGGACCACACCGTCGACAGGCCCAGGCCCCAGGCGGCGTATATCGCCCGGTCCTCGTCGATGATGACCTGAACCTTCCACGCACCGCCCATCAGGTCGATCCACTTGCTGGTGGCAGCGGGTGACGCGTGGGACACGGCGATGCAAGTGACCTGGGATCTATTTGCGAGGTCGCGCAGCGCGAGGAAGTTCTTTTGAGCAACTGCAAGCAAGGGGTCAGTATCCAATCCTCGTCTGGATAGGAGACAAAAAGATGCGCCGCGGGATGTTGAGACAGCTGTTTATGCTGAGCGAGGCTCCCTGGACAAGTGGACAACTCACATGCACAGCCCACACAGCGCAGAAAGACGACAAGCACCTTCCTTCCGTTGTTCCCGAGCGCCAATTTCCTGTCGCGATCTATCGGTGCCAGACTGCCGACCCCAGGGCATTCAGCTGCGACGGGCACTGGGGGTGGGGGAGGCGAGAGCCATGGCTGGACCGTCAGAGGCAAGTTCTTGACGGTCATCCATTTTGGCCAGTTGGTGCCTTCAGCCTCATCTAGCTCATCAGCCGTGAGGCTCCTCTGGTTCTTCTTGGACTTCTTCGGCTCGTCATTCCCGCCGCCAAAGGGCGAACCCATGTTGGTGACATCCTTGGGCACGCCTAGCTTCTTGAGAGCGAGCTTGGTCCCGAGGCTGGAAAACATTATGCAGCACGCGCTTCTCCGCGATGAGCCAAGCAATGGAGCTTAAGCAAGGTAAATAATTAAATTAATTAAGCTCTGGTGGATGAGCTGGCGATCGTCATGCATAGACAGGGGTGATCGAGGTCAGAGATGAAGATTTGAAATCGGGGACAGTAGATGAAAGGATGAAGAAAATCAAGAAACCTTTTTTGTTCCCGCTCGAGACATCGAATTGGAAGATGCAGGAGAAGCAGGTTGAAACATTGTTGTCTGAGTGCTGGCAATGAAACCCTGTGCGTCCTTCGCGGGCTGTCGAGGCTGTCCTTGAGACAGGGCACGTTTCGTGAGCGCCCAAGCCTCGGTCGAGACTCGCCGAGCAGGGGCACTACAGCTACCCCTGACGAAGCGAGGCGCAAGGCTGAAGTACGGGCCTCCAGTTGGGGAAAGCTTGGGCCAGCTCTTTGGGTGGGGTTATAAACTCTAGAGGTGCATCTAGGCCTGCCAATTGGTGATGGTGGCCCTCGGAGTGCGGGGTCCAATTGGTCAGGTCTCAGCCTGATGTGCATACAAAGTTCCCAAGGTTTCGATCCGATGATCCACAGACAAAAATGCTCCGGCGAGGCGAGAGTATAATCGCTGGGTGCCGAGCCGTTCTGCATGAGATCTTGTGTGTCAACCGATGTCTGCGATCCTGATGAGATAAACAGTCTGGATGCTTGCGTGGGATGCCAAAACCCTCCTGTGGTGCGTCAGGGATAACTCGACCTCCTTGCTCTTACGACACGTGGGCGTTGCGCATAGCGAACTGCACTTGAACGCAATTTGTCTTCTATTCTGCCATGCGGGCTGTGACTAGTTGACGCCCTCTTACCTTTGGCACGCATGAAATGCCATGGTTCTGCCAGTCAAAGAAAAATGTATCGTTTGCAAAGAAGAAGACGGCGCTTTGGCAGGAGGGTCCCAGTCTTCAGCTGCGCAGCCATATTTGCGTCACGGCGAAGTCTACCGGAGCGGGAGTTCCGATCTGGTACATGTCTGTTTAAGTGCTTGCAGAGGGAAGGTGGATCATCTGGAAATTGAGACGAACCGCGACGCAGGTCTCGGCAAGCAGCAGCGATCAAACAGGCGGACATCTTGACGGCTGATCATCGATTGCTAAGTCATGCGGACGTGTCTCCCACGCGCACCCGTTTGTGCTTGATCGCACATAGTTAGCCTCACCGGGCCGAGAGCACATCGTGCTTTCAAGGTCTTTGCATGCGGTTAGGGTTCCAGGCATTTCGACATCACAAAGGAGCGAAAAGGAGCATGCCGCCGAGCTCGATCCGAGTATAGATGAGGGTTGCATTGCCAGGGGTTGAGCTTGCGGTTCAGCGCCCACGTACCGATGGCCATTGGTGGAAGCCGGCAGTCTTGACGGCCAGGCTGACGTACATCTCAGATTGCCCCATGCATGTCGCATATTGGGGTACTCAATGGCTCTTGCACTTTCATGGCTAGTTCCGGTCCAGGCTATTGACAGCCTGCGAAGCCAACAGGTGGCAAGGCTGGCCGCCTGACAATGACTGTCCCACCACGGCCCCCGACATTTGAGAGGGGCGCGCGGCCGCCTGCACGACGGGAACATGGCCCGCATAGGTACTGAATTTTGCCAGCTCCGCAGCCGAGTGGTGGTACCATGTCGCGCCGACAGCCAATGCCAACCCCGATCCTGGATTTGGGCAAACGAGCGCATGGTCAAGCCACGCAGGCAAACTATGGGACGAGGCCCCGAATTCCGAATTCCTTGATCGGCTAATGGAGATACTTTCGGTATGTCCAGACCAACACGCAACGTGCGTTACTGGGAATATGGTGCTCGGCTGGCGAAGCTTGGGCACCTAAAGGCAGACCCACGAGCTTGAGACCCTTTATGGCGGACATGACGTCGGTTGCGTTGCTGTCAGATCAGAGCACCCTTTGTCTGATTCCGGTTTCTCGAAAGGGGTAGGCACCTTGATGTCCATTGGCTCAGCTGTGAAGACACTGCTGCAGAGTCCGGTTACACAGCGTGGGTGGTAAATCGAGTCCGAACTGGTGCTGAGCCGAGAGCTGTGATGGTAAGCCTCACTCATCATCGTACACGAGACACCAGGCCTGCAGATCTCGTAAGTTGACACGGGATTTCACAAGGTGGCAGCTGAAGATACGCCTAGATCCAGATAGGTGTGGTGACTGATCCGGGTTGCGTGCTAGTCTACAATGTATGCCCTGCTCAGCCTTACTGCAGCAGTGGGGATTGATGATGAGTGAAGGACCGAGACATGTTAGCGGTCGAGTCGGCAGGCGCCGGCCTGGGTGCAGAGATGCGAACTGTGGGGTTTCCAGAAGGATCCAGTCAAGTGGCGGAAGCCCTGGGCGCCATGATTAGTGTTGGCAGCTGGGCAGTCGCTTACTGTGTGTGACGGCAAAAGATGGACGGGTCTATCGTATCCATGGGCATAGGCCCGTAAGCTCTGGGCATCAGACGTTGGATATGTGCTGTATATGTGTCAGAGCGGAGCTCGTATAAGTACGCATCGACTCTAGCAGACTGACTGGACCAGGTATTCTGCCTATGTGGTGGCCATATCCGCAGATCACAAAAAGAGACCGTAGAGGGCTTGGAGGGCCTATGCCAAACGGAGAAAGAGGCGTCGAGCTCCGGAGTGTCCCTTGGTGACTGGGAGGGTATGAGGGGCGCATGCAGAGGACGGGAGAAGGACTGGAAGATTGAGAGCGCATGAGGCAAGCGGCCCCTTCTGCCCCTTGGCCTGTCCCAGCTGAAGCGTGGGTGAGAGATGAAAGAGCCCCGCAAGGTTCTCGTGATAAATGCTGAGGGCGAGTCGCGTGTTCTGGGGCATCGAAATGAGCGCTGGGGACCTGAAGTGCGCACTGCCCGTGCTTGCCGCGTCTGGAGGGCGGGGGGAAACCGAGGGAGCGTAAAGTGGGTGCGGAAATTGGGAATAAAGGGGGCGAGGCGTTGACGACGCAGCAACCGCCTTGCCCAGTGCCCAGTGTGCATAGTGTGCCCATTGCCCATTGCCCATTGCTCAATGCTCGAAGTTCGAGGTTGGATGCTCAATGCTCAATGCCCAGTGCCCAGTGCCCAATCAGAGGTGACGAGTGAGCAGAAAAGAGTGGTAGAAGCGTTGTAACTGGGGCTCCATTCTGGCCTCCAACCGGCATGCGCCCACGGGTTGATCGATGTGCGGAGGCTGCCCTTGACCCGGCTGTCATCCCTAGGTAGAACTACCAACATGTTGTCTGTAGTCCGCAGTCCAGCCTGGGTGTGATGATTCTGGAAGTTCCAAGGTTGTGTCGACACGCGCCGGCCCCAGGGCCCCCAGGCCCCCCCCCCCTCCACAGAGCCCCCAGGGTGGCAGCAGCAGGCAAATGGCAAGGTGGATGGAGAAGTTCCTTCCCATCCTGGGATCCGACGCCGTCGCGAATAGGGAAGGAAACGGGGACCCACCCGCAATGCACCTGCCACCCCCGCAGCAGCCAACCCCTAGGCAGTTAGGCAGTTTCGGAACAAGATCGCCCATTGGCCCTTACAAGCACAAAGTCCCTTGACCGTTTCCTTCGAGCGAAGAAAGCGCGTCCCAGAAGCGTCATTTACGGCCCAGTCTGCCTATGTCGGCCAGGCAAGGGCGGCACGAACGGTGAAGGCTGAATACGCACACAGTACCTGAATACTACCATGGTACGTAGGCTGAAAGGTCAAGACATGACGACAGAAGTAAGACTGGACGGATGAATACTGGACTGAACATGAACGACAACAACCAGACCAGACGGAAAAGTCAAAGATAGATAGATGCATGAACTGGAAGTCTCCTACCGCAGGAGGCCAGTAACAAGCGAACAAGATGGGATGAGTGGAAAGAGAAGAGCCATACCCCTCTCTCTCCAAGGGCACACAATCCTGCCGCCAGCAGCAGACAATGATGTAGGAGGCACACATCTCCAGGCCCGAGTTCTCGATCGGCTGCAACTGTGTGTAGGCTATGTACTATGTAGGCACCCAGTCAAAGACCGAGCTACATGATTGCATGTACATGTATGTATGCATGGACACTGGGGCCAAGTCAAGTCCAGTCCCTTTCAAGATGTCGGCCTTGTGTTCTTGGCTTGGTCTCTGGCTGGTAGACTAGACTATGAGCCCAACTTCTTTATGGTTTCGCATCGACTTCAGGTCTGCCGTGGGAAGAACAGTTACAATTCAGTCCCGTCCACTCCGATCTCATCTCCTTTTGGCCCCCTCTCACTTCGACTCCAGACTGCCTGCTTGGAACCCCCCCGAGAGAGGAGGCAGATGCTCCAGAGGCTAGGGGTTTCTGCTTGAGTACCTGGGTAGCTTCACCTGGAACAAGACCCCAACCTGGCCTGGCTCATTTCCCGCCTGCGCCTTCGCCTGCACCTGCAACCGCAAACCGCACCGCACCGCACCGCTCTGCACCTTACCGCATGCTGCCGCTGTCCCCTGCTAGGCCCTGCCAAAGCCAAAACCAAACCAAACCAAACCAAACCCGCCTGCGCATTCACTCGCTCTCTCTTGGACTTGACCGCGTCTCTCCTCTCTCCATATTATTTTCCCTTCCCGGCTAAGGATAGGACCAGGGCCACCCAGTGGACGTCAATAATTTGCCCGTTCGCCTACTGCATCGACAACTGCATCACGTCGCTTTCCCTCTTTCTTTTCGCATTGCAAAGCCAGGCAGAGCAGGCCAAAAACATAGCATAGCATCATCCCACAGCATACACGCACGCATACACACACATACACACATCTATACAGCACTCAGCATTGTCCTCGCCCGTCCACTGATTGCATGTTCAGCCAGCACTGTTCATATCCGTCCGTCCCACTACCTGGGGTATCCTGCACCTTTCCTTTGCGCCTGCACCTCCCGAGGCCCACCTGCACCTGCACCTGCGACTGCGCCCGCGCCCACGCCTGCACTGTGCTGCACTGCACTGCACCGCACCGCACCGCTCCCTCTCGACTTCCCTGACGCACACATCCCACCCCCCCCTTATTTCGCTCCCAAGATTGTTTGAACGGTCACTTCCTCTGCTTGGTCTCTGCAGTGGCAACATTCAACACGATCCATTCAGCCGTAGCAGCAGCAGCAGCAGCAGCAGCAACAACAGCAACAGCAGTCCAGGAAACGAGTGTCGTTGATTGCAATCGCTTCATCCAGGCCCCCTGCCTCTTCACTTTCACCGTCCTGTTGCGACCGTGGTTTGCTATTTTGGGAGTACCTCGCATCACAACTATGTATGTACAGTAACTCCTAATCCCGACACTGAGCTGTGTGAATCAGCGCCCTCTCCCACCGGCTGCCCAGAGCGCTCATCTTCAACTCAGTCGCAGAAGCAGAAACAGAAGTTGTAACAGCCCAGGTAGACCTCAGGCTCCTTCCTCGTCCGACTTGGCTTGCCAGTCCCTTTACGCATCGATATCGCTTGCCGTCTGCTTCCCAATCTCTGCCAGAGGTAGCCACCAGGCGGACACACAGTTGCGGATTGACCGTCTCAGCCAACCAAAAAAAGCCGTCCTGACCACTGACCACTCACCGACCCAATTCTCGACGCCGAGTCCCTCGATATCTCTCTCCTACGTCCTCCATCGTGTGCCCTACCCCGATCCACTCCCGGCATTCACAGAGCGCTCCCGCACGCCCTGCCCTGCCGTGCCCTGTTCTGCCCGCCGCCTGCATACATAGGTCCTCGTTCCTTTCAACTCCTGCCACGCTCTTCCTACTGTCCGTGGGAACGGTCGCCGGCCCAGATTCATGGACAGCCGGTCAGCTGCGGCGGAACCCAACCACACCTACCAACAAGTCAATCCCTGGAGTCGCATCAGCGTTCCCTCAACACCGCGGACCCCAGCTGCCTCCACGTCGGCCTCGAGTTCTTTCACCGACGCCACCTCGGCCAGTCCATACCCCCCAGCATATGACCTGCTGCCCTTGCTGGTATCGCAACACCAGGCACAGTTGTTGCAGTACAACAAGCTCATTTCTCCCGGCAGAGGAGGTGGAGGGTTGCAGAGTCCACCTCTACCGAGTGCGCTCCCAGTGCCCAGTATACAGGCAGCGCCACGGTCGAGATCCTCCTCCAAAGTGTCGAACAAGGAAAGCCACAGCGTCAAGCAGGCTCCTGCACCGCAGAGCTGCCATGGGACAAGAGGGCCCAAAGTCACAGATAGATCAGATCGTGAGGGCATGACAAAGGGGAAGGACATGGACAAGGAATTACCTCGCAAGATGCCTCCAAAACAGCAGCCCGATCTCGCTCACCCCCTTCCTTCCCGACCCCCGCCTCGAGCCGCTGCCGCTCAACAGTCGACGTGCAGCTCTACACAGTCCATCTCTGTGCCATCTACGCCGCATCAACGGCCGCGGACTTTCTTTGAAGATTCCGAGTCCCGTGAGCCCTCCCCAACGGTCGCGCAAAATCACTCTCCTCGATCAGCATATTCAGAGCCCAATGGCGGTGCTGCCTCCTTGGCGACGCGTTCCTTTCCTAAACCATGTCCATACGAAACCGCATCTAGGCACTTCCGGAGGCGCATTCCTTATAGTATAGGGTCAGACAGGCTGGAAAAGGTCGACTTGGACAAGGTCAAGAGCAATTTGTCGGAAGATGAAGAGCGAAAATTGTCCACCGATATGCGTGAGCTTTACGACAGGTTATTGCCCTCCGCTGAAGTCGAAGAAAATCGCAAAAAGCTGGTTCAGAAACTTGAAAAGATGTTCAACGATGAGTGGCCTGGTCACCAAATTCAGGTCCACCTCTTTGGCTCCTCGGGTAACTTGCTGTGCTCGGACGACTCTGATGGTTGGTGATATCACCCACACGACATTACCAGGACAACACTGACCCAGAACAGTTGATATATGCATCACGACAGACTGGAAAGAAATGGAGGGCGTTTGCATAATAGCGGACTTGTTAAAGAAGCGTATGTTTGCCCCGTTCGCCCCTCTTTTCTTTTTACTTCTCCTCTCCTCAATTCTCTCAGACCGAATCCGCATGCTGATTGTTTCGGTAGGCGGCATGGAACAGGTGGTTTGCGTTTCCACCGCAAAGGTCCCCATTGTCAAGATCTGGGACCCGGAGCTCAAGTTGGCATGTGACATGAATGTCAACAACACCCTAGCACTTGAGAACACTCGCATGGTCCGTACCTATGTGGAAGTTGACGAGCGTGTCCGGCCGCTCGCAATGGTCATCAAGTACTGGACACGGAGGCGAGTCATCAACGATGCTGGTAAGATACCCAACCCGCTGATGAAGACCGAGGATTCTTTGTTGACTTCATCTCTCTACAGCTTTTAGCGGGACGCTCAGCTCCTATACCTGGATATGCTTGATCATTGCATTTCTACAAGTCCGCCAACCACCCGTTCTACCATCTTTACACCAGTGCCCGACCAAAAAGCTACCCACGACCAACGGTCACAAAACCGATTTTGCAGATGATCTGAACCAGCTGCGAGGATTCGGTGACAAAAACAAGAGCACCCTAGGGGAATTGCTGTTCCAATTCTTCAGGTTCTATGCACATGAGTTTGACTACGACGAAATGGCGATATCGGTGCGGCTCGGCAAATTGCTTCCCAAGAAGGAGAAAAATTGGCAGGTTGGGAATGGGAACCAGAACCTCTGCGTCGAGGAGCCATTCAATCGAGAGCGTAATCTGGGCAATACTGCGGACGACTGGTCGTTCCGTGGAATCCACCTGGAGCTTCGCCGCGCATTTGAACTGGTAGCCGAGGCCAAGTTGGATGAATGCTGCGAGCAATTTGTCCAACCTAAAGAAGAGCCAACTGAACCCAAGTTATTTACGAAGCCGACTTCACGTCCAGCCATCATCCGCAGCTCGTCTCAGCAGAACTCAGGACGAGGCGGCGGGCGGAATGGGGGGAACCGGGGCAACCGCAACCACTTTCGCAACGGCAACAGCAGTAGGAGGGCTTCGTCAAGCAACGCCTACGACAACACCCAAAATCCTGGCGCCTTCACCCAGCACGGTGTCTTGCCGAACGGGTTGATAGCTCAAGATCTACAGTGGAGTCAATTTGCACAGCATTATCAGTACCCTGAGAATATGGCAATGCTAAGTAATGCCTTGCAAATGCAGGACCGGCTGAACTGGTATACGCACTATCAGCTTACTGCGCATCAGCAAGCTGTGGCACATGCCCAACGCATGCAGGCTGGCTCCACTCAGGCTGGGGAAAGATCGCGAACGAACTCGTTCGATCAAGCGCCACCCCTAACAGCTCCACCCAGGCCAGAACATTACGTCTGGCCACTCCACCTACAACCTACGTTTTATCATCATCACGCTGGATACGGTACCTATCCCAGCTCGCCTTCCGCACCTACAGCAGCCCCCGAATTTAGGAGAAGCCTGCACAGGTCAAGCGCTGCGAGTGAGGCTGGTGGCTCGTCTGGAGGTGGTACACTGAGATCCCAGTCTCAGCCTGCATCTCGAACACCAGCACCTACGGGTAAAGCGGTGCAGGGTTCTGGAACGCCCGCCCACGCGGTCAACGGTGTCTCGAGCCATGTGCCTCGACAATCGAACCTCATTCCCTTCCCGGGACTTGCCTCGGATGACAGAACGGATTCAGAGGCAGAGGAAGGGTCGACCAGAACAATCCCCGATTCCCCTCCAGAGGAAGACGGCGCTGGGTATCTGGGATATTTCGTTGCCGATTCCTCAACACCCCCTCGAAGGCCAATGCAAGCAGCACCTCCTCTAAACGATGTGGGCATGAGCAGTATGAACCGCCGCAGGCTGTCCACAGAGGGACCTCAGTCTGTCCTTGATCGGCGATTGCAAAGGACATCTCGTTCTCCATCCCCGCTCGGACATGGTAGGACCTTTTCTGGGACAAACTCGGCACCAATTGCTTCAGCTCCGTTCTCGCAAAGTAGCAATCGGACCGGCAAGGATACCACACCGTTGGTTGTGAATGGGTCAACTTTCATGCCGCCTTCTGTCATGCCATCAAGCTGGCTACCTTCGGCTGACGAGTCTGGATTCGATAACCCGCTTCGGATTAGTCAAATTCCGGGGGCCAACAATATCATGGCGCCCGAAATCTCGACTTCGCGGTCTGCAATGGTATCAGAACCGGGCTCGACAGGTGTAGACCGTCCGCTGGTTGTCAACGGCTCTACACAGTTGCCTGTCTTGCCCCCAAACCCAGCTCAGATGCAGTCTTTCGGGCAGCGAATGGCAGCAACACATGGTCCCAACGGTGTGCCTTATGCAGCGTTCTTCGGGGATAATTTCAAGGGCCACGGGAAAATGTCAGAGTTGGGTCGGCAGAGGTTAGCTGTGCGCAACCAGCAGGCCGGCATTTCACCGCTTGACCTGGCTATCCCCAACCCAATGTTTCCCGAGTCACAGCACCTGTCACCAGTCTACGAGAATCGAACGCCGTCACCGACTGTGCGGCGAAGATGGGAAGCTTCAGCAAACCACGGGAGGATGGTCATACCTGGACAGGCCGCAAGCTCTTCGGACGACCCTGTACGGGAACAAACGAGCAAAGCTCTGCACAAATCTCTCGGGGCCAATGGCGTGTCCAATGGTGGCGACAACGTTCCTTTGGTCAATGCACGACTGAACGGTACTGCGCTGCAAGAAAGTGCACCCCTTCGTGCGTCCAAGGGCGACGCTGAGAATGCGAGCGGATGGCAGAAACCGAAGTCCCGCAAGAAGCAAGCAGAGGTCAAGGCCACAGCGAAGACGGGTCCCCAGAGCGAGAAACCCCCGAAGAACGATCTGGAACGCAAGGGAGGATGAGCCAGCACTTACCGGATGACCGCGTGTAGCTTTTTGGATAAGCGCACATCCTTGAGCCCACCCGTCACTGCCGGGCACAAGAGCGTGTTTGATCATATTGGACAGCTCTGTTCAGGATCTCGCCACCGCGCACTTGGTGTGTCATTTATGTGCCTCGAGATGGTATTGAGGCGGAGGTTGTACGATCTGTTGATTAATCCGGCCGCCAACGTGGACGTGATGAAGTAGAGCTCACGTATATCCCGGATCGAAGGGCATCGATCTTTAGCGGGAGCTAGCGACAGCTCATTTCCGGGCCACCCGATGGCGACGCGGATGGCTTCCCCAGGGGAATCATAGAATAACGTTTTTCCTTTGGGCTCTCCCTGGACAGGGACAACTACGGCTTATCACGCGAACATGGTTTTTTATAGAAAGTCTTTTCGACGACAGCATATACCACAATGGAATGGACAGCGCAAAATGGAAATTTTCGGTTTTCAACAGAGCATAACGCATTGCAGCGAGTTTGTTGGCTGTCTTTCGCGATTTTTTTCTCCCGGGTGCGGGCGACATTGTGTTTACCCAGGTTCCGTTGGTTTCTTGGACGGCCAACAGCTCTTCCCTCTTCTGAACATGGAAGATATCAGAGGATATCGGTTTGTTCAGGACCTTTGTGGGCAGGAACACTAGTCGGTCCGGACTCGATATAGAGAGGAGGGAAGCATGAGAGTGCTCAAGCGCGGAGATGTTGGTGGCTGTTTCTGCCGGAAAGCTGTGCCCTGGCCCAGCTGGCTGGTCACACCGTCCATGCACCTGTGCTACACTGATACAGGCAGAGTTCTGACATTCAATTGTTCTGCTTCTCTGTGAGCGGCACCTTGGCCGCTGAATGCCCGCCAGGCGGGCACCTGTTCGAAAGCCAGCTGCCCGCAAAAGAGGCAAAAGAGAAAGGGCTGAGAGGGGTGAAAATGTGTGGGCACAGAAGGAGAAAACTGCCTTGCAATGCTTCCGGGAAGGATGATGGTTCACTAAATGGAGTTTCAAAGAGGCACATGGTATGGTCATGAAGGTTCGAGGATGAACAAGGTTTTTGTTGTTGCCCATACCACGGAAATCAAGTAGACAGGGCAAGGTTAGGCTAGGCATCTTTCAAGGAAAAAGCGAACAAAATAAAGAGAAAAAAAATTGTTGAAAATCTAAAAATCATTTTCAAAATCCCTGGTGGCGTCTGAACTGCTCGAGCGCTGGTAAAGGTGGGATCTGAAGCCAAGCAAGGCCTTTGACAAGCTCACCTGGCAATCTGCAATATGCCTGCATGTGTTGAGGCTCTGCGGGCGCGTCCAGGCTGCTGGGTCCTGAATCCTGACGGTTCGTCCGCTAAACCGTTCCGGGACCCGAAGTTCGCAAATGGCGGGGAGAGGGTGGAGGAGGCGACAACGACCATCTCATCGCCTTAGATACTCAATGCATCTAGCCATCTGAAGTAAAGCAAATCCTACGATGCTTCCAATGCTATCTTCGCCGAGATTCGCTGTCTGTGAAAGGCGTTAATCGGCTTGATTGACCAGTCCTTGCTTCTGGCGCAAGCGAGTCTCTCCATCTCACCGCTCGCCCAATCCGAAAAGACATGCCAATTAATTACGGCCTTTCTCCACGACCATGAGGGCGCAGCACGCCCGAGCCGAGTCTGCCTCGGCGACGATGAGGCGCCCTCCCTCTCCTTCCAGCTCCTCGTCTTCCCCTTCAGCGACCAGGCTTCCTGGCCCAGCGAGGATTCGTAACCTCAGAAGCGCCCTGCGCGGACTGTCCATCTCCGACCCAAGTCCTCCGACCGTCTCCCCTCGGGCGCCCCTTTCACCATTGACGAGCATACCTTGGACCGGGACGCGTCGACCTGAATGGTCGCCGCAGCACAAGCCGTCCTCGAACAGTTATGTGCTGGAACCTTCGCCCCAGAAGAACGACATCAGTTCAGCCAGCTGGCACGCATCGGAAGAGGCGACGAACAGGGCGCTTCTGGAGGGCAAAGTCCGCCAGTTGAAGGGCTATACACAGAGGTTGCGGGCAGCCCGTATCCCTGGATCGGACCCCGGCTCTGTGGACAGCGCATACGAGGAATTCGCGAGAGTCAGAGATGAAGCGGCAGAGGCGGTTGGGTCACTGCTAGCTGCGCGCAACGCGTCCGGGGCGGCGAGTAGATCCCGCCGTGCCAGGAACGGATCGGTCGCGGAGACGGTCGAGAGGCTCGAGTCATTGAGGATAGCTCATGGAAATGCCAACGCTGATGGTGAGGTGGACACCCTGAAGGCTTCGTTCAGTACTCTTGGCCTTGGTGACTCTTCCTTCATGCCTACAGGCCCTATTGATGAGGAGAAGACACCATACGACAGGGGCCCGGCCGTGTTGAACAGTCCCGTCCAGAATGATCCCTCACTTACAGCTGTGCGAGACTGGAGAGCAGCCCTCGTGAAGCTGCTACAGTCCCACAGAAGGAGCCTAGCAGCGACGTTACAGGCCTACGATCGAGATGCGACGCTCGAGGTAACAGATCGGGCCTTTGACGACCTCAATTACCGCGCCGAGGTGATCCAGAAAATTCGCACACGGAAAGCACCCCTGCCCTCCAATGACTTGATCGTCTCGCCTGCCTACTGGGCCTGGTATGAGAGGCGATTCCAGCATTATGACATTGTCAGGAAGACTATTATGCAGATTGATCGACTATTACAGTTGACGTCGCCAGCTGTAGGAGACGGGAGAAGGAAGACCATCCGTGACTACGTGATTGCGCCTCGCGGCAACGCCATATTGGAATTTGCTAACACCGGCCATTATGACTCTCCCCTGCTTCGATTCCGCGTTTCTAGCCACATGCTGGCTGAGACGTCACCCATATTCGAGGCAGTCTTTGGTGGCCAGTTCAGTAACCCGCGGATCCTCGATAGAGACCTGAGGGAGCTGGATGGCCAGATGCCCAGCGAGCCGCCGCGCACTGTCGCCTACGCTGACGGCAACCGTGTGAAGGTGTACAGCATGCCGCAGCTCGAGCTCAACAAGGAGGAGGCCCTGACGGTGCTCCTATACGCTGCGCATATGCAGAATGACAAGGTCCCACGCGAGATCAGCTTCGAGCAGTTCACGGCTATCGCAGAAGTCTGTCTGAAGTACCAGTGCACCTCCCCACTGGAGCTGTTTGTCGAGCACCGCTGGCTGCCAGCGTGGATGCACAAGGCGAGCGAGCCCCAGCCGGACGGGATCCTGCTCATCAGCTATGCCTTTGGCATGCGGCAGCTCTTCACCCGCATGTCCAAGACGTCGGTGCTGAACATCGTGGATGAGGAGCAACTGCGGAGCAAGCCTTGGCCACAAGCGATGAAGGATAGGGTGTGGGCCGTGAGGAACGCCAAGCTGGCGCAGGTCTATAGTGCTTGTGCCGGCGCGGTTCAGGAATACTTCCGGCCGCCTGGTCAGGCGAGTAGTGATGGAGGGCTCGGGGCAAACAGCGAAGGCCAGCGGTCTGGAGCAGGTATATCGCCTAACCACGACCCATCTAGGACATCGTCCCTCCTGCGGGCGTCTTCGTCAAACCCTGCGCCCCCTAGCTATGTCTCCCTTTTCTCCCTGACCAGCACGCCGCGCTGTCCGAGAGGGGACCACTGGTGCGACGCCACAAGCATGGGCTGGCTGCTCCTGGTCCTCAACGAGCTGCAGCTCGCCTGGACGGTCATCAACCCTTCCGTCATGCCAGCCGCACAGGGCCAGCAGAGCCAGCCGCAGCGGTCGCTCGCCCAGATTCTCGACGTGCTACGTTCAATACCCAGTCCTCCACATGCGGCGCACCCTGGGTCCACTGTGTGCGACCCGGCCCCCGCGTTTCGCGCCGCTGTAAATGATGTGTATAACAGCATCAGCGGGCTCACGCTGTTCGAAGTGGACGGCAAGAGGCACGGCTGGGGGCTGTCGAAGCACAGGGTCAACCAGCCACAGACGGTGCAAAAGGTCTCGCTGGGCAAGCTTAATGGGCTGAGCCTCGCTGGCTTGAGTCTCGAGGATGACGCGGTTGCGCCTGCGCTGAACACCACCAACGAGTACACGCGTGAACTACTAGCTATGGAGACAGAAGACTGGGTGCCCGCAAACAACAGTACTGAAACAGATATAATAGGGGAAGAAGATGATGATATGACTGACGATATGCAATGGCGCCACTACAACCAACCCTCAGCCTTCGCGCCCGACGAAGCCCTCGGCCTGCGCATCCTGCGCCACGCAGACACCTTCGACGACCTGCACGCGCTGGCGCTGGTGAGCCGCGCCTTCTACGCTGCCTTCAAGAAGAACGAGCTCGCCCTCATGCGGCCCCTGGCGCGGCGGCAGACGCTCAGCACCCTGGCGGGCGGGCCGCCGCAGCCGCAGGTCCTCCTCCCGGAGGAGCTGGCGCGCCTCGAGCGGATCCAGGCACGGGCGGAGGCGGATCCTCATGTCCCTCCTCCCTTTGTCAGCCACCAGAGCATGGACGATGACTCGCTCGCCGAGGCTGCCCAGCTGGAGTCTTCGTGCTCTACGGATGTGGAAGGGGGCATCGAGGGCGAGGGCGAGGGTGAAGAACCCCGCGAGATGACCGAAGAAGAAGCCAGGCAGATTTTGTGGCCGGATCAGCCCGCCGGGTCGGACCGCAATAGTGTACCACGGTATCTCACCAAAGGAAAGGCGGTGGAGCCACCTGCTTGGGCCACAGTGGCGAGGGAGGACAGTGGTGAGAAATTCCTCGCTGGGGATATATCGCTGACCGAAGACAAGTCGCTAGCCGTGCTTGGTGACAAGTCTCTCGGGGAAGACCTTGACAGGAGGAAAGGCATCACGAGTGCATGATTTAATGTGATACTTATATAGACGGCAGATATCCGTAAGACGGGGGTCTAAGAATAGCGACATATAGCGCAGGCGTTCTGGCACGAGGATGGACTATGTAGTCTTTGTGGACTTGGGTGTAATAACATGATTGCAAATGGCACTTGCTGTATTTCTTTGCTAGCTATGTAAGAGCATATTGAGCTTTGAATTTGTTTTTCCCACAGTCTACAGTCTATACCAGTTGACTCAAGTCTAATGGCCAAACCCCTTGGCCCGCAAGACTTTCCACGTCGAGAGAACTCTCCCATACAACAGTTCTAGAGCAACCCGCTCGTTTCGAAGGCCCCTTTAGTAATGTGGTGACGGTTTCGAATGATTCCAGCACGCAATTGGAAAAAGATAAGTACGCATCGAGGACGGTTTTAGTGATAGGACAAGAACCGTGCTGCTGTCCACAAAAATGATATACACTAATGAGAAGGAGCAAGAGCATAGAGAGGAGCTCATAGAGCCCAGTAGATGTCCACCTTGACACGCTCAATGTGGTTGGTCCAGCCTGCGAACCTTGCCTTCGCCCAGACAGTCACGACATCACCCAGTGTGAGGTTTCGGACGAAATCTCCGTTGCCAGATTCGGGCCCTCGACCCAGTTCTGAGAGCTTTTCCGGACTCAATGGGTTGGTATCGTCCTTCCAGGACCATACGACCTTGTGAATTGTGGGCTGCCTAGTTGCAGCCTTGTTTCGCTGGATGGTCAACTCAGGTGAAGGATGAAGGTCGTGGTGGAAAGCCTCCTGACCAGGCTCGAGGGCTGGCTGGAAAGATCGTGCGGCGTAGACTGGAAAGTATGGGGTTGGGATCTCGTGCTGCGGGCCATGGGGAGAACTGCTACCGGCTGCCTCTTTGCTATCGCCTTCGACGAGAGCCTCCTTCTCCGGGGTATCCTTGGGGTGTGTGGCGTTCTTGTCGAAACGCTCCTTGCCAGCCTCGAACCAGGTCCATGATCCGCGATAGCTTCCCCTGTCCTCATGGCCTCCACCCCAGCCTTGGTCACGACTGCGCATGGTGAAGACAATTTTTCGACAAGGGTGCTCGAGGGTGTCGGTCGGTCCACCGATCCATTCCTGGAATTGAGAGAGGGAATAGTCACCGCCCTCGGAAAGTGGCTTGGCCCGAGCAGTGGTGAAGCTGTAGAAGTGATCGTCGTAGTGGACCTTCTTGATCAAGCCGAGAGGTTTTGATCGCAACTGGCAATGTGTCAGTGAATAGAAAGCCATATTATGGGTGAACAGCACTTACGACGAATTGGTTCTCCCGGCCTGGCCCTGAGGGGACTATGAGAGAATGATCCAAGGTGGTGGTGGTGTGAGGCCAGTACTCGGCATGGTCAAGTACAGCTAGAACGATCTCATGTGGCAGATTCAGGCCATTTGTCAACATGGCCTTGGCGACGAGGACATCAATAGCGGACGGCTCATAGTCTTGGGTATTTGAAGTACTTGAATTTGAATTCTGGCCAGACGTAGAGCTATTGCTACTCGGGTTTCCGCCTGGGCCGGACGAGCCACCGCCGTTATTGGTATCGGAAGTGATGCCGAGAGTGTTGGTGATGAATCTTTGCACTCCTGGGAGGAACGACATGATGCGCCAGAGAAGGAGGATCAGAATAATTGTGTAGATCATGTATCATGCAGTAAGACTGCGGGCGTAGTGTAACCGTCGATACGGATGTCGTGTTACTGTATCACGCAGACAATCCAGGGAAAAGGGAAACAATATGAGGTCTGAATAGGGATGTGCTATTTTCCCGATACGTTCTTGCTTGATATACAGTAAGTAGGTGGGTATGAGTCAAGTGAACCTGTCGCAAGTGTTGTGTTTGATGTGTTGTCGTGGTGTCAACCGTTGTGTTGTGACTGTTGATGGTGAGAGGTGCTATGTAGGTAGTGAGTACCAGTGAGTGGTGATGGGAGGCCAGAAGGTGCTTGAGTACAACCACAGTTTCCTTCATTTGGATCTGGGGCCTCCAATGCCAACGAACCACCCCTCAAAGGGAAGCTTCAGTCGCGCACACGTAACGCAGTACAGCAACGCAACATCCCTGGCGAGGACCCACGTCACTGTATGTCTAGACCCTGGGATTGTGGGGTGATAAGCACAATAAGAAGCTACGTCATGTCCCTGTACCCTTGGGCCGATAACACACCAGGGGGATGGTGGCACCACCATGCGATTGCGACATCGGCCGAGGTAAGAAATCGAATGAGAAGCAGCCCAAATTTACGTGATTACAAACCTTGGCCGTTGACTGCCCAAGATCGCACACAATGATGGCTTGAGGGAACATTGCATGCTCGGCGACTGAGCGACTTGAAATATTGTGTTTGTTTCTTGTTTCGCGTTTGTTTGCGAGGGACATGGCCGCCATGAAGCATCAAAAATGCATCGCCACGGCCCTGCGCCAGCTCACAACGACCAGTGCTGGTAAAGGCACTCGCCCTGGGGGCCCACGACTTCCAGCTCACGCCGCAATTTGTCGCAACCCAACCTCACGACCGACTCCTTTGTCGCAGAGATGTCTTCACACGAGCCCTGCCCGCCGCAGCGGCGCCTCCAATCCCGCCATGTCGTTCCCCTGCCTTGACGCCGTTGAGAGTCGATCCGCAACCCTCGAGGCCCGCACCACCTCGAGTGGCCCCGAGCCAACCTATACCGTCGGCGAGACCCTTAAATACCACTGCGAAAAGCCCCTGCTCCTCGACTGGGGCGGGGTTCTGCCCGAGTTCGACATAGCATACGAGGCATGGGGAACTATGAACGAGGACAAATCCAATGTCGTCTTGCTGCACACGGGCCTGTCTGCGTCATCCCACGCGCACTCGACCGAGCTGAACCCCCAGCCCGGATGGTGGGAGAAGTTCATAGGACCGGGAAAGGCACTAGATACCGACAAATACTTTGTCATCTGCACCAATGTGCTGGGCGGCTGCTACGGTTCAACGGGGCCCAGCAGCATAGATCCTGCCGACGGTCAGAACTATGCTACGCGCTTTCCCATATTGACAATTGAAGATATGGTCAGGGCTCAGTTCAGGCTGCTGGATGGGCTAGGTGTCGAGAAGCTGCACGCCAGCGTCGGCTCGAGCATGGGCGGTATGCAGTCCCTCGCAGCCGGCGTGCTGTTCCCCGACCGGGTCAGCAGGATCGTCTCCATCAGCGGGTGTGCCCGAAGCCACCCTTACAGTATAGCCATGCGTCACACCCAGCGGCAAGTCCTCATGATGGACCCCAACTGGAACAGAGGCTATTACTACGGCAAGGTGCCTCCGCACCACGGCATGAAGCTTGCCCGAGAGATCGCAACCGTCACATACCGATCCGGCCCCGAGTGGGAGCAGAGGTTTGGCCGGAGGAGGGCGGACCCAAGCAAGCCGCCGGCCTTGTGCCCAGATTTCCTGATTGAGACGTACCTGGACCACGCCGGTGAAAAGTTCAACCTGACCTACGACGCCAACAGCCTGCTGTACGTGAGCAAGGCCATGGATCTGTTCGATCTGGGCCGCGAGAACAGGGCCCGCACGATTGCCCGACGCGCCGAGCGGGAAAATGAGTTCGCGTCTGGCGCCTCGTCAGGGTTCGAAGCCAGCTGCAGCCTGACGCTGCCTGACCTCCCGTACGAGGAGCAACCCGGAACCAGCGAGGGCACCGTAGACGTCCAGGAAGCGATGAGCGCGAAGCCGCCCGCTGACCTAGTGTCTGGTCTTGCTCCGCTCAGAGACCACCCCACGCTTGTTATGGGCGTTGCTAGTGATATTCTGTTCCCTGCGTGGCAGCAGAGGGAGATTGCTGAGACGCTCAGGTACGCTGGCAACAGGAAGGTTACACATGTCGAGCTGAGTGAGGAGCAAAGTCTGTTTGGCCATGATACATTCTTGTTGGACCTGAAAAATATTGGCGGAAACTTGAAGAACTTCTTGGGTTGATAAGGGTGAGCCTCTGACTGGGCTTCAAGTACTCCAATAGAGTCTGACCAGATGGGAGATGCGTAATTGGTTGAATCATGCTCATTCTTACAACACTTGTATGTCCAGACCCAGGTGTCTTTAACTCTCAAAATTAAATCGCAAGACTTTGATGACCAATGAGGTTGCCGTTGGCGAGTCTGGTCACTAAGAAAGAAATAAGTGACAAATCAGCCCTCGGCATAACAGCAAGCAAAAGAGATATCTCTTTGCTACAACGAGCGGGAGTACTATTGCAACCTCAGCTTTCCTAACTTGTGGTCTGTATTCAGCACCTTTGTTAGTAACTGGAATATTTGAAGACTATTCACCTTCTGCCACTGAAGGGTCGAGTCTCCGAAAGAGTCTTAAATATAAGTCCACATCACGGAATTGGCCATTGGACTGCAAAAAGGTAAGACCATGTCTCTCTTGCAACTCAATCACAAAGGTAACGAAAGTTGCAGTTGGTAGGAAAGTGCCAGGCAACAACAAGCAACACAGAGCCTAGCCATGCCCTGACCTTCTAAGGTCCGTCGGCTGACCATCTCTTCCCCATTCATGCCTCTACCCGTAATAATTCTGCCTTCAATTTAAGTTTCCCGATGATGTTTTGCAGCATTGGTTTTCATGAACTATCTAACCTAAGCCAAGATTCGTTGGTCTTCCGACAGACGAGATCTGCAGGACACCACAAGACCCGCAGCAAATTATGGCATTCATGATAAACTGCTGGCCACAGAGCTGATTCCAATCCCTCCGCTGGCCTTATGATCTGTTCTGTCTATGATAAGCACGGCGACTCGAAGGCGAACAATTCAACGCGACAGGACTGGGAGTATTCCCGGCTCGTATAGTCCAGATCATGGTCGTAATCAAGGATAAGCGGACTTCAGAACGCCTACTTATGATGTTTCTATGAGTGCTGTTATGTAATTGCTCCAAGCTGCCCATGAAGCGAAAAAGGAAAAGCCCTCAGCATCCAGAGAAGGCTGGGCGACTGGGGAGCACTGGACTTAGATATGTGTACACTACTAACGCAGCTCACAGAAGAGCTCCCACAGAAAAGGTCCAAGACCGGATAGTACTGGCTGCAGGCGACGAAGAAGGATTCCAAAGAAGACAGTCTGTTTTACTCGTCAGTGAAGGCACAGTCTGGGGCATCATGCTTTCCGATCCCTCAGTAAGAAACTCTTCACAAGCATGGCCCGCAGGCGCGTCTTGCACATGGCCTGATGACAGTCATTACTCTTGATTACGAGAATAGATAACGTTGGTCGCTGCCAAAGCAATTCATCGCGGCTCTTTCGAAAGCGGAACAAATTACGCTCTTCAGTTCGAGTCACGGCCGGAGTAGGAATGACTTGCAAAACAGGAGGGGCTGGACCGGGGAGAGCCAGAGCAAATCCAAGAGTTTGTAGGGGCCCAATCGTACACAGCTCGTCACTTGACTTTCTGAAAGGACGAGTTGTTGTCCCCGGCTTTACAACTCAATCAGCTCCGGGTGCAGTGGGTGCATCCAGTCTCCTCTAAGTGTTACAATAATACACCACGGGTTGAAAAAGGACTTGGCTTATAATGTTGAGCATCACCAGAGGTCGAAGTCTCTACTTCGGACTGCAGTAGGGACTGCGTGAGGAAGGAAGCGGATCAACTCAAGTCAATGCCGATAAAATATTGGACCTCAACCAAGCCAAGACCACGATCCTGATTTGCCCTTTCTGGCATGTGACCAGGGTTGTGATTGGCTCGGATTTTGGCCCCATGTTCACGCCCGGCTTTAGGCGACAAGGAGGACGACCTCCACGGCACTTATGTACGGCGCTGACTGCAAAGTAAACCTCGGAGACGACCACAGACTACTCACAAATTGAACCACGCTTTGCTTATGGTCGCATCACAAATCCAATTTCGGACTTAAGTACAGAGGGAGACGAGGGGGGAATCGGGCTTAATGGATGTTGTGACGCTTCGATTTAAAGACCGATGGACATAAAACAGTGAACCGCCCTCTTCGCACAGAGATAGAGAGTTCAGAACAACAACAGGAAAATCCAGTCACAAGTTCCTGCTCAAAACTTCTTTATTAATCCAGAATACACTGTGGTAGCATATCTTCCAGCGCTAGCAGCAATGGCTCCTCAGCTCAAGTATCATAAGCTACAGGACAAGCACGTCCTTATCATTGGCGGTTCATCTGGTATTGGCTACGCTATTGCAGAGGCATCCCTTGAGTCTGGTGCCGTAGTCACCATCTCGTCCTCACGCCAGGCGAAACTGGACGCCTCCGTCTCCAGCCTACAGTCCAGTTACCCCGGCACCAAGATTTCGGGAATCGCTGCGGATCTCAGTAAAACAAATGTAGATCAGGACTTCGATGATTTGTTCAAGAGTGTGACCGCCAAGTCCGGTCAGATACACCACGTCGTTTACACAGCCGCTGATGCGCCAGCCCTTGGACCACTGGAAGACACAACCACGGAAGGCATACTCAAGGCTGCGCATATGCGCATGGTCGCCCCAATTATGCTGGGGAAGATTGCCCCACGATACCTGGAGAAGAAGTCGCAATCATCAATCACCATCACCACAGGCTCAACCGCCGAGCGGCCCGACAAGGGCTGGGCGGTGATCACGTACTTCGCGGCGGGGCTCCACGGTCTGACCAAGGCGCTGGCAACAGATCTGGCGCCCGTGAGAGTGAACTGCGTTGCGCCGGGTTACGTGGATACGGCCCTCTGGGACGGCATGGGCCAAGAGGCCAAGCGGAAGCTGCTCGATAAGCTCGGCGGGGAGATGCTGCTGGGGCAGGTGGGTAAGCCCGAAGATGTTGCGGAGGCATATCTCTGGCTGATGAAGGACGCCAATGTCACGGGAACTGTGGCCAGCACGAACAGCGGGCAGTTACTGAAAGCCTAAGATGAGAAATCCAGCGGTCGGGAACTACATCGAATTTGGGTGAAGGGTATCAATTAGGGATACATTTAGAAACAACATTGAGCGTTTTCAACACTGTGGCTTGTTGGCTTTGTTCCTCTGTCTCCATGTATTATTCTTGTCAACTGTGATTTGAGTGAGAACATAACTAGTGCTGACTGACCATAATGAAAGAGCAACAGCCTAGAGCCAATTCTGGAATGATGCTGGATATGACTTTGGAGACTATTGGCTGTCTTCTCAGCCCAGAGTAATTGTCCTTCAAAAGAAATGAATCCAACTTCAATGATAAGAAGGAGTGCCACTGGAAGGCGAACTACTCCGCTTGACTGCGCAACAAGATAAGGCTGATTTCAGTGCTAGTTCAAAGAGCTGCCAAACCAGCAGGAACCAGCAGCCTATTCTTGTCTAGAGTAGAAATTGAGAATTCCCAATGGGATAAATATTGTCCCATGACTTTTATACTTTTAAAATTATAGCAACTGCTGGAATTGTTGGCATTTCGACGCTGTTTCCTTGGAAAGAGGGGGACTTGCGATCCACAGACACTAGGCAGACAAGATCGTGTGCAAATGTATCTTCTGCAGGAATCTGTAGAGATGTACGAACGAAATTACTAACGACTCTCAAAGTCGACATGCAAACTAAATATGGTTCTATAGTCATATCTATGGCTATTCATGAAATTGTGTTCATCTGTAAATAGCTGTGTGTGAAGATGTGGCTCTCATTCACTTATACAGCATTCAGATTTAAAATGATAATATGAGTCAAGTACTTCCATCTGGCCTGAGACAAGTAGATGATACCGCTGTGGAGACGTTCTCTGCGTGACGCGCAGGTCACTAGAGAGAGCAATTCTGAATTCACTAAGGCGATAGACCTCCGCCAGATGCGCAGCTGCAACTGCAGTTTCCAACACACAAAAACAACATGATGGCACGCGCCGCTTATCGCACATATCAACTTTACTTTGATCTTGCTCGAGCCAAGACCCCGCAGACAACACCATGGCAGACAAAGATAATGGCAAGATCTTGGGCTTTACCAAGAGAGAGGCAGAGGTGCTCATCATGTCGCTGCAAGTAATCAAGCCAAACAATATTTCCACAAACGGCTGCACGGTGAGTCGGACCTTAGAAGGAAATCACCTGCTAGATGAACGCGACGTTGCTTAAGATGTTATATCGCGTAGCATACGCAATGATTTTGGAACATCACTCCTAATACTTCCCAGGCCAAGCCCGCTGATCTCGTCCGCCTCGGCGCTCACGAGGATGTTCAAACGGCTCGTTCCGGTTACGCGCTTCTGAGAGCAAGAGTCATGGCTCTCCCGCGGCTTCCCAAAGATACAGACCGGATCATTGCTGCCAATACAGCCAACAACGGCGGCGCCAAAGATGATCAGAAGCACCGAGCTGCCGTTCTCACCCCCAGACGGGTAACTAGGCGTAGTGCGGCCCAGGCTAGCGCTGATCTCGAGGACAACGGCCATGAGCGACCGGCCAAGAAGACTAAGACAAACGATGGCATGATTGACGACGACGACCTACCGACCGAGGCCGAGTGGGAAGCAATGGGAGATTGGAAGGCTTGGTAGGAGCATGCTTGGAGCGAGCTTGCAAGTCTCAGATAGATTTCTGACTGCGTTTGGACACATTTCCGGAACGTTTTTAACGTGCTGGACACCATGATTTAGGGTGAGAGGAGTAGGAATGTCTTGGGAAAGGGTGGAAAGAAGGCAAGCGAGGAGCAACAATCATTTGCATCGCAGATTCCAAGCTCAGTGATGGAAGGACTCGTTTGCAACCTACCAGTGTATGCGTGGAAAGGCATTCTGAGGGCACATGTCATCAAGGTCCCTCTAACCTTTGTGATCTGCTCCAATGTATATGAGTAGTGATACTATCGCACTTATTTGAGGAGCTGAAGTTCACTCCTTGTGCCTGTCGTGTCTCTATTAGTAAATTCGTATTTCCGCCGAGTAAGCTATCCTGGTGTGACCTTTCTTCCACGATGAATTAGATGGCATGGCTCAGCGGTCCACCAGGAATACCATGAGCGTCCCATCTTATCACATCCGTGCGGGTAGTCTCCCTCTTGCGCCCGCCGCGTAACTCACCGTCAACCACCTGAAGCCAGGTAACTCCGCAAAGGATGGTGTTGGGGTACCAATTGTCAAACCGACACGCAGAGCTTTTCGTCGTTAACGATGATGGTAGGCTTTCGAGTGTATAACATAGCCTCATCCCAGCCATAAAGATTGCCATCCCAAGCGAAGCTATCTCGGAGAGCTTCGTACTCAGGCTAGAACAAACATTCGCAATGGAACCAGCAGCCGAGGTGTGTGGGCTTCCAAGAGTTTGTCACTGAGCCGTGTGACAAGAGCGAATGGTTGCTGACGAAGTTCATCCATCTTAGAGGCACGTCTGATTGGGTGAGATTGGTCTCGACGTCCGACGACCTGTGCAGCTCTTGAATCAGCCATCAGTTTGAGTATATCAAAAAGGTCATCGCACCGCAGCGAGCAAGCGCAGGCCAGCCAGAAGTTGGCCTTCTTCAGTCCTGATAGGATGTGCAACCTTCCGCCAACCGGGGTGGATGCCAGTGTTCTTCTCGTCCCATAACTCGGCCACCATTAGCAGTCCCACGTCAGTACCAGGCACTGTTGCCCACGGAGGCAAACTCCCGTATTCCGGGCTGCACGGTCCGCTGTTCGCACACACATTGACATGACTGCCGGTCGGGATGTCCTCCAAAGCCTCTCGCACTGCCTGCGACCCAAGATCCCACAGCACTTTCCGGCGCTTATGTTTCTCTTCGAATGGCTCGGGTGGGTTCAGTGTGCGCACAAGGACAAACTCGTGTAAGTTGTGTAGACCGTGGAAGCTTGGCTCGCGGCGTCCAGGCTGTCTCTCCTCCTTCTTGTACATGTCGCTAGGTGCAATAGCAGAATGGCCATTACGTAAATGATGGTCGTGGCTGAACCGGCTCTGGGGGCAGGGAGTGTGTTGCAGCCTTCTTCGCCGCATGTTCCAGCAAGCAATAGCGGCTCTTTCTGCGAGAGACATTACTCTGGCCATGCAATAGATCCAGTGCCGCTTGTCATGGGCTAAGCCTTGTGCAATGTTTCAAGTTCTTTGTTTTCCCCTCTTTCTTCGTCTGGTGGGCCCTAGAAATTTCGATTTGCCCATTGTTGTCAAGTAAATACTGGTTTCTTCAGATCAGTGATGCAGGGTACTATGCAGCCTCTCAATATGAGATGAAGATGGCCCGAGTCCGAGAACGCTGTCTCTGTGGATCAGCGAGAGCCCCCTTGGTAAATCACACAGAAACAACGTCCCATGTCTTTATAGGCTGTCAGAACACCTCACTCATGTCACGAATAAGCTTCGATGCTTGCCTTGTTCATAAAGGATACTCAGCTTCGCATATATGTATGACCTTCTAGTTTCTTACGCGGAGCAGACAACGTATCAGTAACGGGTCACATAAATGAACACATATCTAGGAAACGAAGAAGAACCTTGGACACATATTAAATGTTCAATAATTGACAATTGAGTGTATCCGGCCAAGTTCAGCATTCTCGGGATGGGTATTTTCCCATGAGACAACAGTGTCTTGATGCTGTGTCAAACAGAATTTTGGGCTGACATCAATAGGATGCTATGAAACAAGTTATACCTAGTTAATATTTCTTACACCTATTAGATTAACAGTAAGGCAATTTCAACCCCGACTGTCATTATTCCTGCCTTGTACTCTGAAAACAGATACAGATCGATACCCATGTCTCCGTTGACTAAAATCAACTTCGTTGGTAGAAACCTATAACAGTAAGCACGGATAAGTGTACATTATGCACTTGTTCTTCGTGGAGGCACATTGATGCTCGCCCAGGTAGCATATGGGTAAATGGAAAAGAGAAGGAGCAAGGGAATAATGCTCTTCTAAGACAGCCAGCATTGTTGCACCAATGCAGACCTTAGCTCTAGGGGTGAGTTCAGGAGTATGGGAGAAGCGGTGGTATGCAGGCCTCACTTCTTGGTATGGCCACATGAGCATTTATATCCCCATCAACAGAAACTCTGAACAGGGAAGTATAACCTCAATGAATTGGGTTTGATTGAGTCTTTCTGTTTGAAGGGCTGCGAAAAGTAGTAAAAGGCAGGTTGTCGAGCTTAGACTCAGCTTGTAGAGGTGGTCTTAGCCTCACGCAAGGAATTTGGGACATGTTAAGTACGGGGCCCATAATGCACAAGCTGTTCTAATTAGAGTATCCTATCCAGGGAGTATATTCATTCTGTAATTATTGACTAGCTGGTGTCTGATGCTGGGCACAGACTGTCGCTCCATACTTTATGTTGTGTCGGTTGAAGGGAGCCTAATGCCAGGCTACCCTAACCCCGACTCGCCGCCTTACACCAACCTCGATTGAAATCCTGCTTGGCCTGTCGCACCACCAACCCAGAACATTGATACAATATCCCTTCCAGCAAGTTTATGGGCATTATGGCCACCAAGAGGGACATAGATGCCGTCACAAACGTGGAAAGTGACGAGCAACAGTCCCATCAGCCCACCAAGCGAGCGCGAAACTTGGGCGGCCAAAGAAAGTCGAGGCAGGCGACGGAGCCCCAGACCAACGTCACATACGGCCAGCGATGCTGCTTTCCCAGCCTCGATCATGGCTACGAAAACAGCGACGAGGACCTCGAATTTGAGGACGAGACAGATGCGCTCGCGTACCTCCAAACTGTCCGGTAAGCTTACTCCCAAGTCTTTGGCAACCTTCCTCTCATCACTGTCTCGGACGTCTGGCTGAATCTCTGTCTTTTCCCATTCCTGCAGTGAACCGCTACTGATATGGTGAGTACAACAGGCAACAGGCCAGTGGAATCCCTCACCTCCTCGTAGCGCCCAAATCAGGACCGCAGCTGCCCCGAGCCCCAGCGGCCGCCGGCGACCTCGACCACGACGACGACAGTCACATCGCCAACCGCGGTATCTACGATGATGGTGTCGGCGACACAAGAGGCTACTACGAAGACGGCGCATACACAGCCGCCCCCGATAACCCCGAGAGCGGCGGCCCGTACGACGAAGAGTCGCTCGAACAGACCGAGCACGACGAGGCAGCCAAGATCGCCCAAGCCTACTACACCTCCCTCTTGACGCACTTCACGAGCCTCCGAGAGCGCCTCCACCAAGACCCACCCCCAGAGGCCCTCGCAGCCCTCAGAAAGGAGCAGTCCCCGTACGTCGGCCGCTTCGGCCCCGCGTCCAGGACCTTCACGACCTGGTCCGTCCGCGTGCGCCGCTCCGACCCGGCGCCGGCCCAGGTCGCGGCCATGGACAAGGACGCGGTGTCCCGCCTGCTCCGCGTCATCCTCGGCGGCAAGTTCCTGAGGAGGGGCACGGAGCTGCGGGAGCGCACGTCGCGGTGGCTGTGGGCGCTGCTGGCGCGCCTGCCTGACAGGGGCGAGCTGGACTACATGGAGGTCGGCTACGTGAGGGACCTGGGGAAGCGGGCGGCGCTTCTGATGCACAGCTTGCGGGAGATGGCTGTCCTGAGGGAGGAGGTCGAGGGTGGCGGCGTTGGAGGCGGCGGGGCCGCGCAAGAAGACGATGGGCTGGAGGGCGAGCAGGAGGACTGGGCGGGCGAGGGCGAGGTGCTGGGGGACGACGGCGCGGAGGTAGCTGCACCACAGAACGAGAGTATCGAGCCTGCTGAGGCTGTCGAGAACGGACAGACTCTCGCACCGCCCTCTTCAGACCTTCCGGCGAGATCGTCTTCTACTGCTCCGACCAGCCTCCCCGACGCTGACGGCGCCAACGCTAAGCAAATGGAGGACGGCGAGATCGATGAGTCAGCGCCCATGGACATCGATACGGACGTTGAGAGCGCAAAGACACGGCTTCTTGCTAAGTTGGATGCTCACGCCTCGAGCACAAATGATACTGACCCAGCAGAGGAGGAACCTCCCTTCGACCCGGCTCGGGCGCGGATGAACATGCGGGCGACCCTGAACATGATTTTGACGGTCGCGGGTGAGCTGTACGGTCAAAGGGACCTGCTCGAATTTCGAGATCCCTTCCAGGTTTGATTGAGCATGGCTCGCAAAAAACAGTCACAGGTGAGCTCACGGTGGGTTCATAAGAATCTCTAAAGCATACAAATGTAATGAATAAATAGCTCACGACCCATGGCCGTAGCGCTGGGTCCTTGCATAGCTCAACATCATCGATTATCTTGGACAATAGTATGACCTCTTTTGTGCTGTTGTCATCACTTAATTAAATGTAATATCCTGATCCAGGACTTCCCTTAACGCCGCGCTCATGAGTGTACGTGACACATGAAACCAAACGCCATACCTCAGAATCCAGAGATACTATGCCGCCATGAATAATGGACGTCGCGAGTCCATGCAAACCTTCCTGCTCTCCGGCGTATTCAATCAGATCTCCATGGCATCGTGTGCGAGTGCCTTGTAATCCAAAAACTCTGCCTCCTGAAAATCTCCGTCGACAGCCATGTTCTCCTGTCCCAGATGGTCCAGACGCAATGGCATGACAGCTCCACCTCCGACACCAGCGACGTCCATAGAAGGAACGGTGCCGGGCCGCGCCTTGTGATTACGGCGATTCTTCTTTGGAATCGCCATGATCCGGGTGTTGGTGTTGTCCCATCCCACAGGCACCAGGCTTCGCGGGCTGACCTCCCCGTCCATCCACGCCCCGCCAGGGACCTGCAGGGAGTCGGTGACGGATGGCGTGTCGCTGTCCTCGTCTTCGCTGTAGACCCGTTTGCGGCTTGCGCCGGGCGCCGTGTTGATTGTCAGGGCGGGCTGGCTTGAGTTGCTGTCGATCGAGCCTTGGCTGCTGGTCAGGGACGGGACTTCATCGATGCTGGGCACCGAGCCCAAGTGCAGGCGCGGGACTGGGACGGTTGGCGCAGCGGGATCAGAAGCGGGCTGTGAGGATAGGCCGCCGACTTTGTTGATACCGCAGAATGGCAGGAGCTCCCGCTGGCCGGTGGTGGATGAGGGTGCTCGGCTGAGCGGTGGAGGAGCAAGGGCGATACCGTTCATGCTCGTAACGTCGTTATCGGACCAGAGATTGAAGGCGCTGTAGGTACCGGTCTTGTAGCCCTCGGGAACAGATTTGCGGACTCGCATGCCAACGTTGAGGAGGTGGGACTGGGTGTCTGCAGGCAAGACAGGTCTAGAAGAAAGCGAAGTCTCGCTAGGGGCAGATGTCGAGCTGCTGGGAGAGGCACTGGATGAGAAGAAGGAGGTGATCTGCCTCTGAGCGGGATCACTGGCAGATCCGGCGAATTGACGCTTGGTCCGCGGAGCTGACATGGCTGCTACCCGAGACCTTTATGTACGGATGGGGGTAATGAGGGGCGTGGCGTGATACAGATCTGCCCCAAGCGAAGGGCTGGGAGCCGTAACCGGTGTCTCGATACGCCAATGAAGAGCTGGCGGAGGGTGCAAAGTGGGACGGAGTGTTGGCAAGCTGTAAGACGGGCGGGCAAGCAGTGGGATAGATATTGATCTGGCAGTCTGGGGGCAGAGAGTGGAGGTTGGCCTGTCTGTCTGTGTCTGAAAAAAGGCGGTGGGCGACAAAATTGTTGGATGACAAGAAATTAATGCCGATTCGACATTGGCCAGAAGGTGATGCTGATGTCTGGGTTTTTGTCTTCATCGGCAGGTGGGACTTGGGAATTGGGGCTGGGGCTCCAGTCTATCGAGTGTCTACTGGACCCGGCTGGTTTTGAGGTGATACGAAATGGGTGGGGCAATCGCGGTCTCCTCGAATATTGGCGCGTCCATCCCGCGCGTTGAAGACGTGTACTTAGTGTACACTGGGACGACTGGGACCATACCTAGGTGGCCTGTGGGCTATCACTAAGCTAGGAGACACCTTGGTCGGCCAGGTACCGCCAGGTAGACACGGTACTGTAATTTTCCAGGTGCAGTTGGGGGACCTCTCATCTTAGTCAGCACCACTCTAATGAGGCCTGGTTCATTGGTCAATGACGCCTTGACCGAGAGCGAAGAAGGACAAGCGAGTCTTTTGATGCTGACGAGCAAACCGCGAACGGCAAAGCCCAGACGCACAAGCAGTGACATGGAGGAAGAAGCAACGACATTGTGGAACATACCCTCAAAACAATAGTGCAGAGAGGGAAGGGTGTATGCCTTGGGAGAATGTAGAGGAGATATTCACTTGTAATGACATCTCCACCCTCGCCACACACAAGCACACACCACCATGCAGAGGCCAGCTAGCACTACCATGCTCTCCTAGGCCTGAGACATGGTGATGAAGCATTTCCTGAGTTAGCATTGTATCACTCAATTTACGGTGAGGATATGGCAGTCCATCATGGCAAATCAACTCATTACGTAGCAGAGGCGGGACACGGCAGAATTGTTGCACGATGATTACACCACATGTCACCATACAGACTCGCATACACAGGGCCTCGGACTTTGTGAATCCCATTGAATTGCAATCGCGAAGCACCTCGAGTTCCTCCAACTCTGCCCTAAGGTACGGGTATAGCGATCCTCAATCAGCGATCCACGTCATCACGTCTAGCCAGCCTGCCGACCAACCTCGTCACACACAGATTTGCAGACAGATCTAAACGCTCGTGAAAATGCCCATTTCCGGCTATCCACCTCGGTCAATGCAGCATCTTCTGCAATCAAAACGTACTCGTGACACGACACGCGGAAGGAGACGACCACGACGACCAGTAGAAGCTTTTTCGTGTCTTGATTTTTACTTGAAAAAGTCGATTGTTGATGATGATGCAGATATCCGGACCCCAAACGCCCCCTCCATTTTTCGATGAGGTGAATTTTGGATGTTCCATCTTCTACCCGCAACACAAGGTCGGCCGATGAACTGATATGTCTAAACGCCCATGTTGAGAGGGTCTTGCCTTGCAGATATCCGATGTGCCATCGCGTAATTCATTGTCGTAAACCAGCCGTAAGGAAAGGGAAGCCCGATGTCATCTCAGCGCGCACACCTCTACTTCCTTCGGAAAGAGCAGCCCTCTGTGAGTCGTGCCTTACCACCGGTAGGTTGGCAGAGGACGGTGGTGCAGCCCTGGCAGATGACGACGGTCTGGGCGTGGGAGAAAACGGTGGTGATGGTGAAGCAGCCGGGGCACTTCACGTCCATGAAGAAGGAGCGGGGAGCGGGCACAAGGGTCTGTTTGTCGGGTGTTAGTGATTGCTGGCGCCGAGGGGCGGGATATCGTCGGAGTGTTGTATGCTGGGGTGCTATCGTACCTTGAGCTTGTGCTTCTTGGCCTCAGCCGCAGGGCTGGGGTTGAGGAGATCGACAGCGAGAACCTGGGAGGCAGGATGTTAGCTTGACTGTGCAGGGCATCGTTTAAGATGCACCTGCGACACTGCAGGTGCGTCCAGCAGAGGCCCAGCTGCCCCATGGTGTATGCTGCAGTCGTGGAGTCGGCGGGTGCGCCGTGGGGTGTCCGTCATGATCCGTCGATTGCATAGCTTCGTAGCTTGTCGTCGAGGTGTCGTCGTTGCCTTGCCGTCCATTTCGATTGATCTCGTGCAGACCTTGTTCCCCACCGCGCACCGTTTCGTTTCCATCGACTGCACACCAGGCGACTGGGCCATCATCGGAATCGGCTTACCATCTTGATTGATTTTGTCGGAAATTTGACTGGAGAGTCTTGTTTCGGTTGACGAGATGTCTTGACGCGGGAGAGTGTCCGTTGGGTCGTTTGTCGATGGCTGGATTATCGTCAAGACGAGGTCTCGCAGTGGCGGAGAAAAAGTTCGTTAGGAAGGGCTCCAGTTTGGAACGGGTGGCCGAGTGAGTGAGTGAGGAGATTGTGTGGTGGTCCGAGCTCCCTCCCGTCACGTGCCGCCGTCCCCACTAGTGCCTGCCATACCTTCTCGCTCTGGCTCTCTGTTCGCTGAGCGTTTCTTCCGGCAAGGGTCCTCTCCAAGGTGAACCGAAGTGAATTATTTGCCCAGAGGCTCCCCTCGGCCCCCACTGTGGGGTTGGTAGTGAAGCTCCCCATCTGCAACTCATGTGCACTCCAAATAGGGAGCTGTCTACATACGTAGTCCACATAGTTTGTTGTCTCTCTTCCTGGAGCTACCAAGTCCAGGACAGGTGTTGACAAGGGCTTGTACATAATTGACCAGTTGATCCCTCTCTCACAGTTCCTTACTTGATCTCTTCCTTTCTAAGACGTCAAGTGTCATCAGTACGCGTATACTACATTCAGGCAGCGACATTCTACTTCCAAGTACAACTGCCCCTTGCCTTCCCTGACGGAACCCAGAGAACCCACCTACCTTTGAGTAGTGAAAACCTACCAACTTGTGGAAGATGGCCGCACCAGGAGATCAGCGCATAGCTGTGCCAATAGATGACCCCAATGCCGACACAGAATGGTACGTGGGACCACCTCCTTTCCCTTCTACTGCCACTAATGACCCGGCAGGAACGACATTCTGCGGAAGCACGGCGTCATCCCCGAGAAACCCCCAAGTCCGACTCCCATGATCGAAGAGGCCATTGTCGAGGCCAGGAAAATCGCACACGAGAACCGACTCGAGGGCAAAGATCTCGACGAGCTAGATGAGCTCGAGGACGACGAAGATGACGACTTTCTCGAGCAATACCGACAAAAGAGAATGGCTGAGCTGGGTGCACTGCAGAAGAAGTCCGTACACGGCAGCGTCTATCCCTTGTCGAAACCAGATTACCAAAGAGAGGTGACGGAAGCATCAAACAATGGGGTGGTCTTTGTCAACTTGACATCATCCTCTGGAGGGACCAATGTCGAGTCAAGAGTCCTGTCGGACTTGTGGAAGCAAGCGGCCAAGGAGTACGGGGACATCAAGTTCTGCGAGATGAGAGCGTCACAAGCTATCGAGAACTACCCCGAGAAGAATTGTCCCACAATATTGGTCTACAAGAACGGAGACATTGTGAAGCAGATCGTCACACTCACCACCGTTGGTGGAGTGCGGATGGGTATGTTGGATCTGGACAAGATCCTGGTCGAAGTGGGCGCGCTCCCCAATAAAGACATGAGGGTTCTGAAGCGAAGGAGAGAAGCCGAGGATGCTGAAGAGGAGAGACTCATGGGCGGCAAGGGAATCAAGAGCAGCAACAGGACTGCCAACGACGATGACGACGATTGGGACTGAAAGGCCAGGTAAAGCGATAGCTGCGCGTCTATCCTTCTGGGCAAACAGCCTTACTGCATGTTTTCCTCGAATTTCGGGGATGACTGGTTAATGTCCCGGCACATTTGCGCTCCCAGATCACAATGGTCCTTGATATGCGTCATGGGCAGCATTGAGAAGACCCACGAGATCCAAGAGAAGCGGACAATCAAGCTACTGGATGTACGATCGAGCGCCCAGCCCACCTTGACGGATTACGGATTGATGCCTACGACATGCTTGCTACCAAAAGCTTCTCGTTCGAGCCTGGATTCGTGCGTATTTAGATACACCACAGGACACATCCAATCCAATCCGTACATGTATCTACCAATCAATGTAATCGCATATGGGGAATTCACCCACCGAAACTATGGTCGGTACTGTTGGTCCAGTCAGGAAAAGATAGCGCAATCGCGCAAAGGCAAAATGAGAAGGCTTACCCGAAACTCCAGATTCTCCTTGTCCGTGAGGTCAAGAAACTCGCTGTTCTCCTGATGCTCAACTCCAGCCATGAGACTCTCTCTGCGTCTATTCTCGTACGTGTAGTACGCCATTAAGAGGGCTGTCATGCAACAAGCAAATGCAGCGGTAACGACTATCGCGATCTTTGCGGGGATGTAGTCGGGTGCATCCTTGCCTCTGAATGTCAGAGGCCCAATGATGTTCCCGAGGCCTGCGCACCAAGTCAATCAGCCTCTCTTGCCAAAAATCATTGCCCGCGGAAGGCCAGATTTCGACTCACAAAAAGACATTAGAAGAACCGCATTCATGGTTACTTTCTTGGTATGGCCAGAATAGTTCGCGCCGGAATACGAGTACAGCAACGGCAAGCTCGCCCCGATAACGTTAGTAAGATAGTTTCCAGCCAACTTGGCCCCCTTGTTGTCGTTGGCAGTAAAGGCCAGGAGACAGCCGCCGATAACACCGCCGAGCAGGAGATATCCAATAATGATCGGACCTCGCAGGTTGAAACGGCCGGCCATGTACGTCGCACTGAGGACAGAGATCGCGCTGACAACACCCGAGGGGATGGAAAGTAATGCCGTCTCCTTGGAGGTATAGCCGAAGCTCTTGATGATGGTCGCCTGGTAGGAGGAGACGGCTCCGTTGGGCACATTGGATGAGATAGTGATGAGACTGATGAGCCAAGTCTGCGGGTCCTTGAAGCATTCCAAGGCTTGGTAAGCTTTGAAATGTTTATTCTCGATGCCCGTCTTGTTCTCGCGCAACCTCTCGATGGCCCAGATCTTTTCATCGTGCGTTAAGAACTTCGATTTCATTGGATTGTCCGGCACGATCCACATGACCAATACACCAACCGCCATCGTGATCAGCCCGAATACCAAGAACATGATTTGCCAGCTCGTGAATGCTTTGCTGGTGTAGTGCTGGAAGCCGAAGGATGCCAGCGCGCCGATGATCGTACCTGTTCCGGTGCCGACATACCAGAGACCCATACGCGGAGGCTGTTCGCTCTTCTTATACCACATAGTTGTTATCAGGATCTGGTATTAACCCGTGTTAGTCACTGCCAACCATGGTCTTGCGAGTCCTGAGGTACATTTTGTCCAGCGAGCGTGCTCCTCTCATCCTCCGAGCTCTGAAAGGCCTGATTGCCGAGTCTGACTTACAAGGGCGGGAGCGACAGCGGACTCAAAACAACCCAGAAGGACCCGGAGAGTGACCAGCCCGGCCCAGTTCTTTGCAGTGGATACGAGAGCGGTCATCAGTCCCCAAAGGATGACGTTGGCGCCAAGGTACTTTGCTGTAGGAAGGCGCTGCATGAGATATCCTGTGGGAAACTCGAATGCGAGGTAGGTCACGTAGAACACGAGCGCGAGCTGGGAGAATTGGTCGGTGGTGATGCTTGTGTCTTCTTTGAGTCCCATAACATTGGCATAATTGACTAAGGTCTTGTCGAGATATTGGAGGTTGTAACAGGCCCCTGGGAATTCTGTTGTTCAGCTGCATAGTAACTCGAGCTGTTCAAGCACCGGGATACTCACACATCAGTGGCACGATGCGCCAGTCTATTTTGCGGACCAGCTTCTTCTCATCCACATCTGTCATTATTGTGGTCTCCTCGGCATATAGGAATTCCAGCGCAGCGTCAGCATCCTTGCTCCTGAGCGCCTGCTTCTCGGAATCCAATTCCGAGTTGCTCAGGACCGTCTTGTCCGCCGGACTGGGGCGGTCGTCGGAAATCTCGTCAGCCATGTTGAAGTATTTTGGTCATGCAGCAGAATCAAAACACTGAGTGCTGGAGGACGGCGAGACAATCACAGAGCAGATCGAAATGCATGTTGGGGAGAGGTCGGATTGCATATAAGACTACCTAAAAATGATGGCAACTATTTTGAAAGATAGGCGACACCATCTCCATCTACCCATACTCAATGTAGCAGGACGGTCATCAAACACGCCGAAAATTGGCCTTATCAAACAAAGCTGCCGGGTTACCACGTCTTGACATATCTGTCGAAGGGACTTCAACAGGGAGCGCTCCGCAATTCATCAGCAGCAGCGGGTGAGATAGTGCTTGGTTGGTCGGTAGCTGGACCGGCAAATAATCAAGTGGCTACTCTACACCTGCGGTTATCTTTCCAACAATGAATGACGTCGACGGAATCAGCTTGGAGTGAGGAGGCACGGCAGTGAAGGAGGGTATGGAGCGTCCAGCACGTAGGATAGACCACAATAGATAAGAACCAGGGTTATGTGTGATGAGATAGGAGACGAAGAGACAGTGGCAGATTCGATTGGCGGGCTGGCACTTCTCAGCAGCGGTTCCCCACGGGCGTTATTCTGGAGCAATGCGGGAGCGGGAGTTGAGGAGTGAAGAACGATGCAGGGGCAAGTCTTGCCGGAGGATCTCCGAAGAGGCAGATCTCTCGACGATGGTGTTGTTGACAACGGGAAGCCGGGGTATGGCGGTATTGGAGTCTGTGTGCTTAATCCTGCGCATTGTCTCACAAGCCCATCAGTGCCTGGATGGTGGTCCGGTCTGCCTCTAAGATGCCCGTTGCACATGTACATAGTGCACCGTAATTGCATTCCGTTCTTCAACAGTGCGGCTGCGGCCTGTGCTCTTGTTCGGCTCTGCCCGCAGCGACGTGTGGGGCAGTGGACAGGGGTACAGCTCCGTGGCCCCCCTGGGCCCCCTAACAGGGAACCTTGTTGTGTCCCTGACGGGCGAGAACGCGTCGCACGCGACCACAGTCTCGACCCCCTTCACCTCTTCGCAAACTGAGCTGTCAGTTCCAGGGGTTCCAAGACATATACAACCGATCGGGTGTCATGGATTACCAGATCTCATATTAACCACAACTCATCCAAAATCTGCCATTGGAGTTGTTGAGCCACGTTGGCGCTGGCGTAGCAGAGGTGATCCCGACTCGAGCCCGCCGATATCCGTCTCATTTGCAGCATCATGGCGGCCCCTTCTGGACACAACGATCCAGAAGATGGAGAGCTGGGCCAGCCCATGGCGCACGAAGTGTCATCACCTCCCCCACTGGACGACTTGAACTCATTTTCTCGGCCGGAGACGCGTGAGCCTTCACTGCCGCCGTTGCCCGCCGTCTCCTGGGATGTGCATACTCAGTCCTTCGCCAAGAGGAAACGAAGCACCGCGTCACAGCTCTTTTCCGACTCAAGCGACCCTGCCATCTTCTCTAGCGACGATGATCCCGCTTTGGACAACTATGTCGAGGGCCGTCACAAGAAGAAGCGCTACGTCGGCTCCTGGTTCCAGCAACGTCCAGCAAGCTCTGATTCCGGCTTGAGTATTCGCCCCGAGTCCAGCGGCCGTCCGGGATCCAGATGTAAACGGAAGTTTGTCCCAGTTGACAGTGGAGTCTTCATGGGTAGTGATGGATCTATCGACGACATTCTGGATGAGCTGCCACCTGCCAAAGCGAACAAGGCAATCTTCCCGCCTGCCACGACAAAAACGATGGCGCCGCCGCCTAATCAGGTGCCGCGCCCTTCTCAGAGGGGGCAACTCTCCGAAGCCGAGGCGAAGGCGCAGGAAATCATCCGACGGTGTATCGATCGTGGTATCGAAGCTGTCGACCTATCGTGAGTCTCTGGAATTCCGCCATTGATGGAATACGCGAATTTGCTCACGCCTAGAACAGAGCCCAAGGACTGCAGCACATTTCCAATGCTACCATCTCTCTGATGTCACAGATCGAGCGTATCCCGAGCGTAGAAAGGGGTGTACCATTTGAACATCAAGACCCGGAGCTGCATCTATTTCTCTGGAGCAATCAGCTCACGCGGGTCCCCGGAGCTGTCTTCGACCTAGACCATCTGACGATATTGAGCCTGCGAGGAAATTCTCTCACAGAGTTGCCGCCTGCCATTCTGAAGCTAAAAAAGCTGCAGACTCTGAATGTGTCGCTGAATAATTTGAGATACTTGCCTATTGAGCTGCTAGAGCTCATATACGACCCCCAGAGTCCGCTCACAACATTGATGCTTCACCCAAATCCGTGGTACCAGCCAGAGGGGGCTGAAGACCCGGAAGCTCCTTGGTCATCCGAGAATGCAGATCGAACATCCTCCGGGCCTGGTCTACAGGGCAGAGGAAGCAAGTGGCTTTCCCGTGAGTCGAAGCAAGGCTTATACCTTGATGGAAAGCTCTGGGCAAAATCACCCGTGGAGTTCAAAGACACCAAAGGCAGGGTGTATTCAGCCTTCCGGGTCAAGCCTGACGACAAAATCCTGCCGACCGAGGATCTCGATACAGAGCCAGTGCCGCCGGCGCAGAATACTGCGCAACAGAGGGTTCTGCTCTCGACCGAGGTCAAGACCACAAAGGTTCCGTCCCTAATGGAATTGGCCCTCCAGGCATCCGCGAGGAATCCTTACCTCGCAGAACTGCCAGCCATACTCGCCGACACAACCGCGAACACACGCATGTGCGATCTGCTCGTGGACACCCAGGTGCACTCATACACGGGCGGCCAGCGGTGCACCGTCTGCAAGCGGCCGGTAATCAAGCCGACCGCGCAGTGGTTCGAGTGGTGGGAGATCTTCGGCAACTACCTGGAACCCGGAGACGACTCAGAGTTGCGCCCAAGAGTGCAATACCTGACCCAGTCCCCCGGAGAGAGATTAGTGCCCTTCGTCAGGCGCGTGTGCTCTTGGAACTGTGCGCGGGACCCGATTAGGGGGTTGGGAAGGCTGGGAGAGGGCGACAACGCGCAAGTAAAGGGTCCGGAGGGCGTTGTTCAAGAGTAATACTATAATACAATCCACAAGCGTGTGTTCAACGTCTGAAGCATTTAACATCGAAATCACGGACAACTGAAATTCGTTATGAAAGATATCCCTGCCCAGAGATACACGCCAATGGGCAGTGATGAGCATGTGATACTTATGAACCTGGCAGCTAGATTTGACTGCTGCTCCTCCTAGATTCTGATGAAGAGGTGCCTCTATATCATGTCCATTTCAACTAGGTTTCCTTGGCCATGCACACTGTCGGGCTCACAATTCATTGCAGGTTGAATGTGCCAGAGCAATACCGATATTCCATCATTCAGGCAAGACAAAGGTGCGAGAAAGAACCTCTACAGATCAAGTCTCTTTGCTTCGCCACATTTGCAGCGATAGTCGCGACATCCCCGGCGGTCCAGGTTCAGTTTCAGCTCGACCTTTCCAGCCGCTCGCAACATATCTGGGTACCATGAGGAAATTCCCGAAACTATTATGCGCCACGCGATGCACAGCATGACCTTGATTAAAGCTCCGAGCCGTTTCGGGGTCCACCAGGTCCCTTCACGGCGAGCAATGTCTCAAGGTCCAGATGGCTAGCTCACGAAGCGCTCGTCTCTCCTGTAGCACTCAGCTTAGGCGCCCTCTCGCCCCTTTGGTACACGTAGAGCGCCTCGTCCTTGCCGGCGAAGCTCGGGAGTGGAATCTGAACTACCTTGGTCCATGTAGGCTGCTCCCTGGCCATGTACTCGTCAAAGGTCATATCCCTGAACGAAGTATAGCCGTTGCGGTTCTGCGTGCCGACCACGGCGACCGTGTCGCCCTTGAAGGCCTTCATCAGGTTCCTCGTAAAGCCGCCCTCGACACCACCCGCCAAGCCCCCTCCGACCACGGGGTACACCATCAGGAGCACCATATCCGCGCCGCCCGCGTTCTGCGGCTGGGCCAGCCACTTCGTGCCATCCATGATGACAGTGTCAGAGACCCAGCTCGCGCGCCAGTCGCTCTGGGCGTTGTCGACGGGCACGACCTCGGCCAGGCCGTGCAGGCGCAGCATGAAGGTCCAGTAGCCGTTCCCGCTGCCCATGTCTACGACCGTCCTCCCGGCCGCGACGAGGCGCAGGATCTCAAGGCTCTCGTACGAGGGCACAGCACACCCGAAGTGGTGCATGAAAATGGGCAGCACGTGGTGGCTCTGTTGTGGGCGAGCCTCGGACTCAGGGCCAGGGCCGCACCACTCGAGGTTGCGGCATGACCACTCCCAGAAGTCGAGGTAGATGTTGGGGGGCACGTCCTTAGCGGCGGGCTTCTTCTTGGGGATGTTGAGGTGTGCAGCGCCGGGGTGGATGAAGCGCTTGGAAGTGACGTATGCGGCGACACTGGAGCGGATGCTGCCTTTTTTCGCGTTGGATCCGAGGGCCTTGAGGGCTGAGGATGTGAGGCTTGATGGCTGGAAGACCCGTATGTAGTCGTCTATGTCTGGCCTCGGAGGCGGGTCCAGTGGCGTCTTGGGGTCACCATCAGGAGAGCTGTACCATGCGTGCAGGCCATTCTGACCGCCCAGGCCGATTATATGCTGCACCTGGGGCAAGGTTACAGCGGTGATGGCGTGGTAGGTCCATGTATCGTTCTGCGGGAGCTGGAACCAGGTCTTGATGGCGGCAGCGAGGTCATCGTTGGCCAGAAGTGAGAGCGCCTTGGCCCTGGCGTCGGCGTCCTTAACACGGGTGGTGGGATCAAACGTCGGGGAGCCGACACAGGGCACTGGTTTCCTAGCCATGAGAAGATTGGGGGGGAAGTGTCTGCAGACTATCTCTGTGTGCACATGCAGGACCCTGGGTAGGATGAAGCTACGACGTGCCCGTCCAGGTCTGGCTGGCTAACAACAACCCGATGTGCGCCGGGGCATCCGGAGAGCAGGCTCCGGACATGCGAGTGGGTCGCCGTTCCGCCCGCTGTACAAATAGGAATGTAATGACAAGCCGCCCGTGCGGATCTTGATTGGGGCTGGCCACTATCAGTTGCAGTTGGGAGTGAGCGATCTGATCAATCTGATCTGTGATCTCTGATCTCTGATCTGGTCCTTGCGTGGCATGGCCTGGGCGTGCAGGCCGGCCTTGAGTACATGTCACTTTTCACTGTCGGACTTGTTGACCCAAGCCCCGATTTGCTTCCCTTTGCCCAGTCGCAATGCTATCCAATTTGGCCTAAGTGGGACCTTGCACACTGCATCCACGACTGAAAGCTGGCAGGTGAGTCTTTTATCCCCCTTGACATTGCTTTTTATCCCCCTGTCGCCGCATGTGTGTGCAACGACAGGACGAGCCGGTCGGACACGAAGCGCCGCAGTTTTTGGGGGACGTTCTCACCGCCCAAGCAAGGGCGCGTGGCATTAGGTTCAGTCGTGCTGCCCGATCGGCCCAGCTCCCCCAGGTTCCGCGCATCACGTAGTCTAGTGGAACGCAAGACGGGCTCGAGCCATGGCGCATTGAAGAGAGACCCTGAGCTCCGAGGGAACAGCAGCTAGAAAACTCGAGGAACGGCGACCCCTGGCACGAGATGCTTTGGGCCATGAGGGCCTAGACTGCAGCCACTCCACGAAGCTATCGTGTGCTAGGCATCATGTCACCATGCCCAACTTGGCCTGGGGTGGGCTGGGTGACAGAAGACTGCCGCTGTCGCTGTCGCTGTCAACGTCATTCGTGGGCAGGATTTGTGTTTGTGTGTCTCGTGGCGGAGAGAAGAAGAGAGGTCAATCCATTTAGAGTTCAACATGACAGCCACCTCCATGGGTGATGATCAATATCCATGCAATAGGTGGATTGACTGCAGCTTGAACGAGCATGACATGGGCCACGCATCGACTGTCAGTTGTCTGGCGTGTCTGGCACCTGAGCGCCACGGCGCTGCAATCTGACTTTGCAGTAGCCTGCCAGCCTAGTCACAAAGAAATGGAATAGAAGGAAATAGGGGGCCGGCAGAGGCGGGTCAGTAAGACTAGTTAATGTGGGATGGGGACGGGGGAAATAGATGGAGGAGGGAACATGGAGGATGGGAAAATGAATGGGAGAATGGGAGTTGCCGTGGGCCGAGGCTGTCCCTACTACAGCAAGGTGCTGGCTGTTACTGTTACTTGCTGTTACTGTGGTGCTGCATTACGGTACGTTACGGAGGCAGGTAGCGTGCTCTGCACCTGCCCAGTTGCCCAGTTGCCCCGCTGCCCCGCTGCCCAGCGGTGATGCTCTTAGAAGTTTTGCTCTGTTCTGCTCCTTCCCTCGCACTGCTCGCCCCTTCCCGCTGCTGTCTTTCCCACATGTGGCGGCAGCGTGGCCCATCCTAGTCCCGGTCGTACTCGCCTATCTCGTCTCGTGTGACGTCTCCCCCACTCTCAAGCAGCCCATAAGTCTGAGTACTGAGCACGGCACTGAGCACGCACTGAGCACGCTGCGCAATGCAGGATGCATGCTGCACGCTGCACACTGCACGCTGCACATCTCACATCTCACATCTAAGTCAAGCCAGCCCAACTAACACCCACCAAGACCGACCTACCGCCTACCTACATACCGGCCTACCTACCCAGGTTGGCATAACGAAACACATCTCAACCTTGCACTGCTGGGTATGGTAGTACTTGGTTGATAGTCTACCCGTCTACCTAGGCATAGTCGGTGGTCGGCGGTCGATGATGGTCCATGGTCTGTTCTATTGTATATCCATGTCCCTGTCTTTGTCCCCCTTCTGTGCTCATCCTCGTCTCCCCCCGTCCGAGTTCACGTCCATGTCCATGTCCATGTCCATGCCTGTTCTGAGAGACGGCGAAACTTACTTTTCATTCCCTGTCTCCCTCTGAGCGACTTTTCCTTTTTTCCAATGACACAACAAGGGGGCAGCGGCAAGCAGTACACAACTCGCCAACTAACTCGACTGCAATAATAGGATCCTATATCCCACCAACACTGCCTCATCGCGTGCCGCTCTAACTGGCTCGACCTCACCCGCCGCCTCACTCAACCAGCTGCATAAGCCAGTGCGTTGCGAGCTGATAGCGCACATTCGGCCTTCCCATCATCAGCATCAGCATCAGCATCAGCTCTCCTGCTTCTGCCCTGCTCTGCCCTACTCTGCTCTATTCTGCTCTGCTGTGACTTACCCTGGACCTCACCACCTTGCGTCGCCATCTTAATTCATTTATAACCCGACCGATCTTTTGCGCGCCTACTCTTCACCAGAGATATGAGATAGCCATGGACCCCCTCCACAAGACCGACTCGGCCATTTCGGTTGCATCCAAGGACAATGACGTTTATGATGAGCTCTCGGCTTACCACCAACACCAACCGCCACCTTCCAAGAGGCTCAGGCCAGATGACGACTCTCAAAATCCAGCCAGCTTCCATCAACCCTCAACGACACCACAGCCAGAGTCTTCCCCCCAGGAGTCTCTGGCCCCAGTAACTCGACCATCCGTGGCCCCCACCATAGCGAACCTCATTTCGCCTCCTGATGAATCTTCTCCGCCAGCGGCGCATGGGAGCCCATCGCTGCCTCCTTACGAGCATGCCGGATCACCGCCCTTGGCACACCAGCAACCCGCAACCACTCAAACGCACAGAGCTGATCCATGGACCTCCACCGATTACCAACATCCTTACTCGCCTCATCAATCCAGCGAGCCCATATACGCGCCGCCGACGGCTGGTGGCGACCAATACGACCAGGATTCTGTGCAGCAGGCCGGAAATGGCAACATTATCGTTGATGAGGACGAGCTGGAGTCCGATCCAGGCTACGAGTCTGACCGCGCCAGCTTCGCCTCAACTTCTCTGTCCAGCAGCGCACGAGACTATCTTTTTGAGAATGGGCGTCGCTACCACAGGTTCAGGGAAGGCAGGTACAACTTCCCCAACGACGAGGCCGAGCAGGACCGGGAGGACATGAAGCATGCCTGCGTAAAGATGCTGTGTCAGCAGCTCTACTTTGCGCCACTCGATGACCGCAAGGTGCATAATGTTCTCGACATTGGCACAGGGACAGGGATATGGGCAATTGAGATGGGCGACCAGTTTCCAGCGGCAAATGTCACCGGTATTGACCTCAGCCCCATCCAGCCAGACTGGGTGCCGTCAAATGTACACTTCGTCGTTGATGATGCCGAGAGCGAATGGCTGTACCCAGAGGACCACTTTGACTACATACACTCAAGACATACGGTCATGGCGATCAAGGACTGGCCAAAATTGTACAAACAAGCTATGACGTGAGTTTTTGACCGGGTCCAGTCCTGCGCAGATAGATATCTGACAATCCTCTAGGCATTTGAAACCTGGCGGCTGGATCGAATCACAGGAAATATATCATTACCCGATCTCGGCCAATAATTCGATGCCGCCGGACCATCCCATCGCGCAGTATTGGGGACTCATCAAAGACGGGCTGGCACACCTAGGGGTCGACTTCCATGCAGCGGCTGGCGGGAAAATCGCGAATGCGATGCACGAGGCCGGGTTTGTGAACATTCACGAACGCGTGCTCCATGTGCCGATTGGGACCTGGGCCAAGCACCCCAATCTGAAGATGGTCGGCGAGTACTGGAGGCAGGTCCTGCTGGATGGCGCACAAGCTATTGCGCTGGGCCCCCTAACTCGGGGCTGTGGGTGGACTCGGGACCAAGTAGAAGTCTTCCTTGTCGACGTAAGGAAGGCGTATTTTGACAATCTTTCCCTGATGTATATGCCGATGCACATAGTCTGTGGGCAAAAGCCGGGGCATGGATTCTGAAAGCAAGCGCCTAGAGCATTTTGGATATAAGATTTCACAATCATACTGCACATACTGGACCCCGGGAGGCGGTTGTGCTTTTCATGATATGAGATGACTGCGGACTGGAATGTAAGCATGGCGCTGGGTCGGGCTCCTAAGAGCTCCCTATACCTGTGCACACGCTTGTAGCGTCCTCCTAAACTAGAGACATAGCACTGATGTCAACCGCCTGGTGACCTCAGAAGGATACGGCACAAACATGTGAGGAAAACCACTTGACTGGCCGGCTGGCTGTTGGAAGAACCCGTGGGGTTTAACAATCAACATGTGGGTTGGCGACGCCCAATCCACCGTCTCTGCTGACATGACAATGGGATTTTCGCGGCAGTGGACCCGACATCTTGGTACGGAAGCATCTACGATACTATTGCCGGCCCCGCCGTAGCCAATCGCTCAACACATCTACTTCACAAACCATGTGGTTGGCCGGATGACGTGCAGTGTTCCTGCTAAAGAAGGGGGGCGGGAGAAGAGGAAGGGGTGTTGTCTCAGTGGCTCCAAGCAAGCCGGGGTAACACAACAACACCATACTTTACTTCTTACCCACCATAACAACGTCGGAACGACTTTCTCTTTCCAGCATTTCAATGTCTGTCCGCAAATGTGCGCACACGCGACGCAAGCAGGAAAGGCCCAGAGAGTTGCAATTGACGCCGTACTAAAAGGTAAGCTGATCTGAGTTAGAGCTGAGGCAATAAACAGCACACGATGGATTGTGAGTGAGAGCTCTTAATAGAGCTATACGTACAGAAGGGGGCAGCCCGAGAGGCTGTTGTTCCAGTGCGCCACAGCAAAAAGCCAGATGCGGCCATCGATGGCACCCACCCCTGATCCAGGATGGTCCCGTCAATCCCAAGGGCTTGGCTTTAACCACTCCCATGGTCTTGGGCTGAGGAGCTTCCCAGTTTCCTAGGCGCACTAGTAGAGCCTCCCACGCGGTTCTCTGGCCTGCTCTCTCGCTCTCCTCCCCCTCGGGTCGCAGTCTTGATGCGAGTTCTCCCCAACTCTCCTTTCCATGGGGCATGGATCACGGCGCTATGGACAGCCACATAACTCTAAACGAGGTGAGCTCCGGCGCCTCGGCGCTCAGGCCTAGAATGCCAGCGTTGTTAGCACTGCTAGCACCTATAGTGATAGTCCTGGAGCTCCTGGATTCTCGCTCGACTCTGCCGACAGACAGCCCAGACCACGCGAGTTGTCGTCCCGATCCTCGGCCGCGATCATCCGGGCATGATACCCTTGAGGCTGGCCGCCAGTAGGAAGTCGGCCGGCCGCCAGAACTCCTCGCTAGCCCCATTTCCTCGGCGCCATTCGTCCCAATGGGCTACGGGAATTGGACGGAGAGACCCACGACCTTGGACCCCCCAAGACAGAGGGGGGACGAAATGAATTGTGGAATTTCCCTATCACCTGCTGAGAGGTGCCGAGCAACACTTGGGAAGCAAGCCGCCTCATAGAGCTTGCTAGCCTCGCGATGCTGCTAACCCCATCGGAGCAAACTCCGATCATGCCTCTTTGTTGTTAAACTCGCCATTCCCTTTCCTCGCTGACCTCTCTTCGGGCGGCTCCTTGCAGTGCTCTTCCCATCTCCCGATCCTCGACCTACGCATTGTTGAGGTGTACTGTCCCTGCGCTGCCACGACAGTTTTTGGTCCTAGCTGCCAAGGACGAGACAAAGAGAGAGGGACAGACCCAGGATACCTGCATTGCAGCAAACGCCACGAATTGCCGCCTTTTTGCTTATCTCACCCAGTCACCTGGACGCCGGAACACATCGTGGCCCTCTGGTGCACGTCTCGGATCTGGATCTCGGCACACCACCCGTTGTCTCTCCTCCGGCCAATCCGCTGGGTTCCGACTGACGAGAGCAGGAGCACGCGTCATTCTCCACCGCCCCGAGGTAAGGGGTGCTGGAACAGGCAAGGAGATCATCGGGCACTTTCTACTGCACGACTGAGTCCCAGCCGGGTGGAACCTGTCACGAAACGGCTTTCTGCTGTGAGCAGAACGCCCTGCTGGTACCAACCCAGGTTCCTGGTTGCATGGTTTGATTTCATACGAGGCACATCAAGGTTTACCTGCTGCCAAGAACTTACCAGGGTGGACGCAGACGTGGCCCACGTCTGCTGGGTTCAAACCCTCGCGAGTGGGTGCGAAGACATATATAGGTATGCATCATTTTTTTTTCCTTTTCCTTTTTGGCTGTCTACGTCGAAGACCGACCGAGCCAAGGTCACTGCTGCAAGTGCTCCTTCTCAACGGCCGTCTTTGTTTTTCCCTTCTCATCCCCTCCTTGCCTTCGAGCTAGGCCCCGACGCCATATCGTTGGTGTCTCTCACCGCAGTTTTGATAGAAGCTCCCCAGACCTCATTGGGCCGTTGCTTTATTGGTTCTGGTCATGGCACGTTCTCGACGTCGTACATGCAGTGGCTCTGGATTGGCACTCGCAGAAAAGTGGCTGCTTGCCGTGTAACACATGGTGCTGTGAGTGACCGGGGCAGGCGCTCGAAGCAACTCACTGGGCTTCCTTCCCTTACTGAGAGTCATTTCGACGGTGATTGGGCGAATCTGACTAGTAGCAGCGGCGTACTTGTTACACCCTGACGGTTGGTGAATATCTCGACGAGTTTCGGGATATACATTGACCGACCGGACGCATTCATCTATTATACAACCCCTCTCAGGGTTTTGTTCTGGACAGGCCGCAGCCATAGGGAAACAAACCTTCCTGCTCAGAGTCTCTGCTGCAGAGCACTCCGCAACCACAAAAAGAGCAGCAAGCATGGCCAAATTCAGCCTGGGCTCGTGGCTCACCACGAAAAACAATGGTACCAGCGATGTCGAACGGAAACGGCAGAACCGAAGGACCTTTTCGGGATTTTCGTCATCCTCGTCTTCGGCTTTCAAGGCCAGTGGGAACGGCGCAGGGACTGGCAAGGTCTCGAACGTTGAGAAGGAAACACGCGTGAGCGGGAAGTCCGACCAGAATTCACTCAGCACATTGGAGCCTGCCTCTGACGTGGCAAACGATACAGCGCAACCGCCTGTCTCGTCCACGGCGAACATGGTCGCTCTTTCGCAGAAGATTGCGAAGGAGACCGAAAAGCTGGAGACGTATATGAAGCAAAATGGTCTCGTTATGCCGTCATTTGATGTGGATGCTGCAGATGATTTCCCCAAGTTGCCAGAAGAGATCCAGAGAAGCAGACTGGAGATCATACATGCCACGAAGGAGCTGCGAGATCTGGCGGTTGGACCTCGTGAGAGTGTGAGATGGGGTGTGTGGGAGGTGAGTTTGTGCATGCGCTTACTCATTTGCGGATGGAGGCTCATGATAATTCACAGTTCCTTGACGTCCTCGCACTGCAACTGATCAACAATTATGGAATTGGTAAGTATTGTCAAACGACGATGAAGTCTTGAACCAACTCGGCTCACCAGCCCTTTAGCCAAACTCGTCCCACTCGAGAAATCCATAACACTGGCGGAACTCCAGTCCCTTACACCCCTCGACCCCGTCAACCTGGCCCGCACCCTCCGCATGGCAATGACCAACCACATCTTCTGCGAACCCTCTCCCGGAGTGATTGCCCACACTGCGGCGTCCCGCCTTCTGGCCACCGACTCAGAGCTCGCGGCATGGGTGGGCTTCAACGCTGAGGATATCTTCCCGGCCTCAGGGCACAGCCTTCAGGCGCTACGGCAATTCCCCGAGGCCACCTCGCTGACCCGCAGCGGCTTCCAGTTCGCCTTCGACACGGTCGACAAGGAGCCCATGTTCGTCACCTTCGGCAAGGACCAGGACCGGGCCAAGCGGATGGGCCGAGCGATGGCGAGTCTGACGGGCGGTGAGGGCTACGAGGTCAGCTTTTTCGTGGACAGCTACGACTTCTCAGAAGTTGATGCGAAGAGTGGCACCTTTGTGGACATTGGTGGCAGTCACGGGTTTGTATGTGTCGACCTCGCGAAGAAGTGGAAGAGCATGAAGTTTGTGGTGCAGGACCTGCCCAAGACGGTGACGAGTGCGCCCAGCCCGGTGTGCGAGGATGACCAGGTGGCTGAGAGGGTGGAGTTCATGGCGCATGACTTCTTCACAGCGCAGAGCGTGAAAGGTGCAGATGGTAAGTTTCTTTTCTTGTTGCTCTTTTTTTTTTAAGAAAAAAAAAGACAACAAGTCCACCTAGCCTCACCCTACCATCCACGCCTCCATCTCCAAAACACTCGGTAACGACGCTGACGCTTGTCGCAGTATACTACTTCCGATGGATCATGCACAACTACTCCACTCCCTACGCCGTCAAGATCCTCAAGAACCTCGTGCCGGCGCTGAAACCAGGCGCTCGCATCGTCATCAACGACCACTGCCTGCGCGAGCCGGGCCAGGAGAACGCTTGGGATGAAACGATCATGCGCCGCATGGACATGGTCATGCTCGCGCTGCTCAACGCACAGGAGCGCACCGAGGCCGAGTTCAGGGAGCTGTTCCGCTTGGCGGATGAGGGCTTCGTGTTTAAGGTGAGCCAACCTGGTCTCTCAGTTTTCTATGTAAAGGCAGGGGGGTCTCAATGAAGACTTATTGCATGCTAACACTTGTCCCCGTGCGATAGGGAGTTACGCGGCCTAAAGGCTGCCGCATGAGCATCATCGAGGCCGTGTGGCAGGGCGAGGATAACGCCTCCAAAGTGGTGGACGAGAGCGAAGTGCAGGAGGCATAGGCCTCAGACGCCATCGTGCGCGTTGTGCTTGGGCGCCGTGTATTTTTTTACGTCAGCGGGATTCTGCCCTCGAACGGGCCCTAGTTTCGTGGGAGGTTGCGTTTTCTTGCAGTCGGGATAGCCTTGTGTTTTGAGGAGTTCGACGTCTGCTTTGGTTCGGCACTGCTTCCTACATATACATTCCGAAAGTCAGAGGGGCAGGGTGTGGGAGTAGACACGGCTTGACGATGACCTCATGAACCCTGGCGTTATATGTCGCGGTTCTCTTTACTTCTTGTACCTGTTTGGCTTGATACCCTTCTATTGCAGTAGCATGATCGGAAGACACATATACAGAGGGCAAGCTGCTACACATAATTACCAACTTCAATGATGAGAACCAGGACCATCCCCGTCTTTTTTTTAAACGAAGCATGGCGTTGTGAAATGCTATCCTATGTCTATGTGCCGCTTCCAGTGTCGAAGGCATCGATTGTGCGTATCTTTCATGATGACTACCACATCTTTTTAAACATCGTGCCACTGTTCATCTATGTATGACATCTGTGCTGAAACAATTGGGTAAATCACGGCAGGAGCTTTGGCCGCGATACCGCGAGCTGTATGTTGTCCCTCTAGCCAGTGTATATCTGAAAAATCATGTCGCTGCCACCTTCGGGCATTGCCATGGATTGATTCCCAATGGACGTTTCCCGGCCATGCCGCGAAGACCCGCGACAACATCAGAAAGAAGAAAACTCAGGTACTCTCATGGAATATCTAGCCTCTAGTTCCGTTTTACACCATCGAAGCTTTCCTTCTTCTTAGGCTCGTCATTACAGAAACCACCCTATTGAGGATAGAAATGCTCGACTTTCAGTGACTGTTATGTTTATAAGAGCACTGCATCTGGACCGGGGCACACAGGTGACGATTTGTCACAAGATTTAAGCGGAAAGCTAGCGCCGCTAAGTTTCTATGCGCCAAAAGCCAAAAGCCAAAATCCAAATAGAGCCTTTTTACTGGAGTGGTCATATACGTGGATTGATATAGTTCCTCCAATCTTGCTATTACAGCTGAACAATAGCTCAACATCCGTTGACGAGCACTCTGCCCTATTTTCACCGACGCAAGCTCCTCATTCACAAGCTTTAAAGTCACTTTCAAAAGCCTGCAATCAAGAAGCACGACTTGCAGAAATTCGCTGCCTGAAGCAGATTCAAATGAAGTGAACGCGAAGCTACCTATCTTCAAGTGTTGAAAATCCGGGACTGGGACAGCGTGGGAAGGCAAAGAATCACATGATTTGAATCAGACAATCCTGGATGCTCGTCCAGACATAGATACACCCGCGCCACTGTCTAAAGTATATTCCGTACGTCTATATCGATATAACAAAGACAGCAAGCCAAACACCAACCAGACAACGGTTGTGTGCACTCAGGACGAACATAAATCTCCCACAGCGCGACTCAATGCTATCGAGATCTCAGATACCGTAATGCCCGATACAAAGACCTTTCTATATACTTGGGATTTGTAAACAGGTGTTCGGGCAGTTTCAAGCAGCCACATACGCGAAGTGGAATCACAAGTCAACAGACACGAACTAAACGACTTAGGTAGGTAGTAACTCGGTCTTCTTATTCACCCATCCATTCCTCCAACAGAGCATATATTCATACATACATCTCTTCCCTTCTTATTTCCCCAAAGGGGCAAAACAATTATGCTAATTTAAAACACACAGAACCGAAGATGTAGTAGTACGGTTGTATGGGGGTATGCAAACAGAAACTCGAAAACGGCCGATCCAACCAGGTAAAGCTCCAGGACGGGCAGCAGAAAATAGAAGTGTGTAAAACGACGTGGCTGCCCTGAGGCAAGACAAGAATATTAAAAGTTCAGTGTCCTTTCCCAGTAAAAGAAGAAAACCCCCCCAAAAAGAAAGATCGCACCAAACGCCGATTCATGATAGCCATAAAGATGCCCGTCCTCAATAGTTGACGCGCACGCCGGCATTGATGGTAAGGCATTGGGCACAATTCAGTCGTCCTCATCGTCCTATGAATCCAACCTCTTCCTCCAGTCGGCCAAGCTCTGATTCATGCCCAATCCATTACTAACTTCGGGGGCTTCCTTCTCCTTATCGTCTGTCGCCGCACTTGCTCCTGTCGACGAGATACCGGGCCCTGACGTGGGCATCTCGAAGTCGAAGGTGTTGCTCAGGCGATAGTTCTTGTTCGTCGCTTCCCAGTGACTCCGCAATGTCTCGAGCTCGTTGGCCAAGTTATCCAACGCAGCACTGTTGCGGGCGTCACCCATGGTTTCGTAGACCGATGTTGAGTCGGAACTCTCTGCCCGTGCGTGTCCTCCTCCGTTTGTTGTGGAGCTAGCGCCGGAAGGTGCCTTGTGCAGGGCTGGCGTGATTTGTTCCGCGGAGGCAATGCTTGGAACCTGCCGGCTCTGTCGGCGGTAGTTGCCCACAGAAGTCTCGACTTGATCTAGTAACATAGAGACCTTAGTTTCTGCGTCGTGAGCTCGTTGCTCGAGGAGTGCATTCTCCTGTTGTAGCTGCTCGAGATCCTTGCGGCTCGACATCAAGCGGGCGTTGGTCTCCTCACTATTCTTGGATGCTTCTGCCAGTTGTTGTTGCACGTGCTGCAACTGCTCTTCGAGTTGCTCCTGTGAAGACCTCATCTCATCCTGAAGTGCCTCGATCTTTCTCTGCAGTTGTTTGCGCTCTGACTCCCAGTCGGCTGGCGCATCACCCGCCGCCGATGTGCCCTTATCCTCCATATCGGCCAGCTCTTCTTTCAGCCGAGAATTTTCCGTCTTGTATCTTGCCAACTGCTCCTTGAGCTGTTTGAGCATCTTCTCGGTCCCCTTGACATAGTGCACGGCAGACTGGTAGTCATTTTCAAGTTGTGTCAGCTTTTCCCGGTAGGCAACCTCAGACCCTTGAGCCTGTGACGACATTGTCTGCTTGGTCTCCTCATGGGCGGCCATTGATGCTGCAAGTTGCTTTTCCAACTCACGCAAGCGGGACAACTCCGGAGAACCCTCGCGAGGGCTCGCCATAGAGCGAGTGCGGCCCGCGCTAGTTGGACTGATTCCCCTCTCTACGAGTATGTCTTTCAACGTGTTGTGCTGCACTTGGATGGCATTAGCCTCAAGCTGCTGACCGGCAAGCTGGTGCTTGAGGTCCGAGTTCGTAGCTTGCAGTGACTGAGTCTCCCGAAGAGCGGCCTGCAGCTGCCTCCGAATGGTCACGCCTTCCCTGCTCGCCTGCTCTTGGTATGCTTCCAGGCCGGCGATACGCTCTTCTGCAGCCCGCAACCTATCCGACGCAGTGTCCGCCTCCTGTTGATACCTCTTGACCAAGGCATTTGCGGCATCTAGCTGACCTTGGAGCGCTGCTGAGCGATCGTGATCAGGCTTATTTGCCGATGAGACATCTCTCGTCGAGATCTTGTCGAGGCCGGATAAGAGTGCTTGACGATGTGTTCGTGCTTCGTTTGCGTGACGCTCGGCAATTTCCTCCGCGTCTCTCAGACGCTGTGTGGCTGCAACGAGCTCACCAGTCCGGGCCTCATGTTCGGCTTTGAGCTTCGTCAGCTTGTTCTCGACCTTCTCTCGGAGCGCCCTTTCCTCGTCGAGCTTCGCTTCCAACGCAGCCTTGGTCTCCGCCGAAGCAGCGATGGCATCTCTTAGGGAGCCCAGCGTCTCGGTGTGGTCTCTGGAGCTTCCGACTGCCTCCTGATATTGGCTCTCAAACTTCGTCTTCTCGGCCTGCAGCAGTTGCAGGGCTGCCTGAGACTCGTGGGCGAGGACGGATTGTTCTCGTGCCTCTCTCTGTACCAGGTGCAGCTCGGCCTTGAGTTGCTCTAGCTCGGATGAGGTTTGCTGTTTGTATGCTTCGAGAGCGGCCATCCGCTTTTCTGCAGCGGATACCGTATCATCGGCAATCTTACGCGCACGCCTCTCAGACTCCACTTCTGAGGACATTCTGTCCAAAGCATTTTGCAACTCCCTTTGAGCGTTGAGTGCAGTAGCAAGCTTGCGCCCAAGCTCGTTTGAGCGTTCGTCTTCTTCACGATCGTTGTCGAGGTGAGGGGAATTGGCGGCACTACCTAGGTGGCCTGCTAATTTTGCCTTGGCATGGACAGCTTCCTGGATGGCCGCGTCTCTTTGCTTCTCTGCCTCTGCGATATGCTTGGCAGCAAGTACAGCCTGTTTATCAAGAGATGCCTGGACATTGGCCACTTCCGTTCGCATAGTCAAGAGCGCCTCGATGAGAGGTCTGTCGTCGTCGTCGAAGGTCTCAGCCGCTCGGCTATCCAAGGTTGGGCTCAGGGAGGCGTTCGGGACATATCCGGATTTACGGGCCAGCTCAAGTTCCGATGCATACCATGCATTTCTGTTGCGTGCTGCGTCAAGCTCTTTGAGAATAGCCACGGTTTGAGAATTCCGCATAGATGATCTTCGGGATATGGGGTTGCTAGCCTGTCGCGTTGGTGGTGGAGGCGACGCTGGTCGTACTGGAGCGGATGCTGGCTCAGGTTTCGTAGACCTAGAAGCGGGTGAAGCTACCATGTTTTTCAAATTCGGTTCCGTTGTACTATCGACAGAACCTTGACCACGCTGGCGCGCACTACGCGCAGCCTTTGGTGTTTCTGCAGGTGCAGTATCAGTTCCTGGGCCAGGTTTTGCGGTCTGAGCTGTCGGCGTCCGGCGTCCATTCACAATCGGGCTCTCCGCGTCCTTCTGTTGCGTGACTGGTGACTGGTTCTGACCGTTGACACCTGGTGCAGCCCCTGCTATTTCGTTCCTCTCCAGAGATGCATTCCTGCCTTGTCTTGATCCTGTTCCAGTGTTGACGGTTGGCCTTGGTGGTTGGCCCTGTGGCGGAGGTCCGCTTGGTGGTAGGGTCACCGGGGGTGGGCCTCTGGGACCACGAGAGCCTGGCCCGGGTTGGCCGTTAACAGGACCTCCCTCGGGATTAGTCATGCTCCTAGGACTGTTCATAGCGGTGGATTCCTTGGATGCACCCATCAGTCTCCCCTGGCCTGGCGGGCCTTGTGAACCATCACGGGACGGCAAGCGGCCGTAAGACACCGGTGATTCAGCCATGCTCGGGCGCCGTTGACCGGGAGCCCTTTGTGACTGTGACTGAATCTGAGAGTCGCTAGGATATCGAATCTTGGTCGTATCCAACAAGTAAATGAGAGAGAGATCGTTCACTGGGGGTGCAGCTTGGCTCGGCTCTCCTCCAACGACCACCACGGTCTTGCCGACCGTCGTCATCGAGTGTCCCGACCGAGGCGACGGAGACGGGCCCATATTCTGGAAGGTGTACCATCGGCGAGAGCTGATGCGGAAGGCAGCCAAATCACCTAAGTCAGCCCCTTCTTCAGTCCGGCCTCCAAAGATGTACATAACGTCGTCGACCAGCGCGGCAGCGTGCCCCTCACGAGGCACTGGTATGTATCCTATGCAGTCCAGTTGTGACCAGGTGTTGGTCGCAGGGTCGTAGACCCAGACGTCGTTGAACCACTGGAAGCCGTTTGTACCTCCGAAGCTGTTCTGGGTCAGAGTTGTGCGAGCCGAGGGTGGGGATGATAGAACTTACAGGTACATCTTATCATTGAACGTCACCATGGTATGGTTCGTTCTCGCAGGAGGAATCTTACCTGGGGGCGGACCGCCGCTCTCGCTGTTCATGATCAGCAGTTCCCACCGATTATTGGCCATTTGCAGTTGATTCAAGTCGAAAGCCGCCAGATCATTCATGAAGATACCCTCGACTTGGCCTCCGAAAATGAAGATCTTTGATCCTAGTATATTCAAGGTGTGTCCGTAGCGACCAGACGGCCGCGGGCCCGCGGGCAGAGATCGCGACCATTGTCGTGTGGCTAGAGGGGTGTCATTAGCATTCCAGACCCGTTCATATGGGACATTAGACGGCGGGAGAGAGCATGCAACATACAGGTATTCAGAAGGTATAAGGTTTCATCGAGGGAGTCATTCTCCTCGATCTTGGTATCACCACCGTAGACGATGAAGGCGTTACCAACAAGCAGACTGGCATGTCCAACCCTTGGTCCTGGCCCTTCAGCAGTAGTAGCTAGAGGATAGCATGACAGACTGCCACCCGCTTCGATCATCCAAAGATCCCCCTTGACAGTGGAGCTATTGATCAAGCCTCCCATCACATACATGTCGCCCTCTTTCGACGACATAGCGTTGGCGGCTGCGCCATAACGTGGAAATGGCCCGGGGTGGGACGAGGTAAAGTTGAGTTTCCGCTGCGACCAGGGGTACAGCGACGAGTTCGGGTTTGGTGGAGAGGGGCCGTTGCGAAACTATAGCAGCCAAGTTAGCTTGCACGAGCAGGAAGATATGTGATCGCGGTCCTGCCGGCGACCAGTCGGTGCGTGGATGCTTACCTGTTGTTGTGCGTCGGGCGGCGCCTGGGCAGGCGGATCACCAGTTTGTGCCCGTCGCGGTGGGCCGGGATTGAAGCCCTGGTCTGGGCTTGCATTGCTGGCGTCGTTGTCGATCGAGTTCAAGCTGCCGGTTGGGGTCGACCTGTGCGTTGGGCCCTTCTCCTCTCTTACGACGCGGTTTCGAGCGTCGGGGCTCTGCACCGACCCCTGAGAGCTGTTTGGGCCATCGCGACCTCCTGCCAGCGCCCTATCCTGGTGTTTCTTTGATTTGAATAGGAAAGCCATGGCCGTTGTCTACAGGGCGGGCGCAACAGACTGGATGCGATTTGAGCAGGATTGGCCAGGGCCAGGTCGATGGCAGAGTGCAGCCCGGAGGCTAATCGTGGTTATCGCGAGGGCTCCCGGGAGCAGAGGCGGGAGGCTCAGGGCGACGGGCTGCAGGGCGAGGGCTGGAGCAGGGGCTGGAGCAGTCGCGGGAGCAGCAGTGGCGGCCGTGGCGAGAGGGTGACGGCTGAATAGAAGAAAGTATGGTCGAGGCTGGCGAAGGCTGGGCCTGGGGGAACATTGGGGTGCACAGATGGAGCCGTTGAAAGTTGGCGGTTGGCGTGTCTCTGATTGTCCTGGCTCTTCAACCACCCACTTTATTTTGGGTGAAGTTTTGGCCGTGCCGCCTCGGACGAGAAAGCGACACAAAGATGCAAAGCGCAGGGTCAGCTCTGACGGTTTCCGACCGCGAATCCAATCGAGTCGAGCCGGTGCAAAACGAAGACAGCAAGGAGCGTCAAAGAAAATAGTCGGAGATAAGAGGAGCAACTAAATCATTAGGATAACGTTCATCATGCTGCGTGCACAAGACGAGGTCGAGATCGATGGGAGGTCGGTCGGTCGGCCGTGTTGGTTGTGGTAAAGGTCAACCACCGGTGTGAAAGGGGAGTAGCAGCAGTAGTAGCAAGCAGCAAGCAGTAAGGGTAGCAGGGCAGGGCAGACTAGTCTAAAGCGTAGTGGAGAGAGAGGAATTGGGACAGGCGAGGTGAGGACAGGGCTAGGGGCGGGCGGCGGGCGGGCGAAAAGAGAAAGGTGCCGAGCTGGGAAGTCCAGCTTGGGCAGATTGGGCCGTACTGTACTGCATGTACTGCTGGTGCTGGGTACCTGGGTAAGGCAGGCCGGCAGGCCGGTAGGTGGTACTGTATGGCAGTCGCATAACAACCATGCAGGGCTGGGCTGGCCCGTCTGTCTTTCTCCGTCCTGTCTGCTTGTCTGCAGTACCTTGCCCAGGTGAGTGAGGTACCTGCAGGTGCTGCAGCATATGCACAATCCACAGACCGCACAGCTCGTACCGTGGTATGATGCTCGTGGATGCTCTCCCAAGTATGTCGCACTGAGCAAGATGACAGTACCCGAGGCAGGTAGGCTCCTGGTAAGTCTTACCCTAGATACCCTAGATACATGGACCTTCCGCGATCGAAGCCGGGGGTGAGGCGCCCACGCCTAACCAATCAGCGATGGACCTGCTCACTCTCAATCCTCATCCTCCTCCTTACTCCCTGCTCCTTGCTCCTTGCTCCTCGCGCGTTGGTGGGTCCTGCCTTCCCGACTGTTTCCCTTCCAAGGTGATGATGTCCTACCAGGCCTTCCAACAGTACTGCTCTGTGGTAATTGAGCGCTCACTGTGGAGAAGCCAGGACCCGTACGTGGCTGCCCTGCCTGTCCTTGCAGGTACACTACCCTCTCGTGAAAAGCTGCCCCGTCGTGTACCTGACTGTTTAGTCGTATCCTGCTTGCTTCTGATATGCGAATCATCTACCACCAATCCAACAAGGGAGACCTCAAGACAAGCACAAAAAGATGGGCTGGCTGGCTAGCCGGCACGCTGGCTGACTGGTAAGACGCTTGCCTCCTTCCCACCCATACACCCATACACAGTATTCATCACTGCATCCATCACACCATCCGCATCAATTCCTAGAGGCCCATCGCCCGTTGGCTCTTGCTGCCAGAGTGTTTCTATAATAAGCCTGTTCCGTCAGACAAGGCTGCTTTGATGATGAAGGAGGGTCGGCTGGTTCTGGGTTGACCCGCTGCTGCTGTATACCTAGCTGCGCGGGGTGCGTTACCACCTGATCCTTTGGTGGATTTTGGACCCCAAAAGGCGGTGCGTTGCGGTGTAATGAAAACAAGTGGTGGTGATCTTGTTTCACTCGGCCACACACAGCCAGCTCCTTTTGCGCTCCATTGGGGCCGAACCAGGCAAAAGCGCGACCACACTGCCTGGGACCATCACCCTGAGTCTCCAGTAATGTGCTTTGGGCTGCCACGACCACCTCTCGCTCCAAGACACAGTACCTGTTGTCTCGTTCAGCCTATGTGTGTTGTGTCGAGATGACGCTATGCCAGTCCAGCGGCAAAAGGGGCTCAAGCGTTGATGGAGAGCGCAACCTTCAGCCTTGGGAGCCCTTCGGAAATTTTGCTGGTCGGATATCCTTCAGGGGTTACACTACACATGGCTAGCCAGGGCAGCCGGCAACCCAGCAAACTCCTCCCCGTACCCACTCACGTCTTCTGTGCCGAAATTCGCTGCCCCATCCGGTCGACGTGATAAAATCCGACGACGCCAGAGACGCCCCGACGGCCTAACAGCCTGACGGACCTGACAGCCTGTCACTGGGCCACCAAGTTCGGATCTTCAGCCGTACACCACTCCTCAAGCTCAGCCAATATCTCCAGGAGCTGCCGCAACTTTTTCCCTCTCCGTCGCGCTCAACCTGGCCGACCATTCCGGGCAAGTTTGGACGGTCATTTCGCGTGCAGAACACAGACCTGGCCTATAGGTCTGTGATTTTATATACGGAGGTATCCTGGTATCATCCATGGCAGCATGGCCATCCCATCTTCGAGCCGTCCTCGGAGTCAGGCACCCGCATGATCTTTGTCGATCCCAGCGTGACTGGACCCCATCTCAAGTCCCCTCGCGTCCTCTCGGGTCCTCGCAAGCATGCAATTTGCAATTCTGCCCGCCGTGTCACTGCCCTTACCGGTGTTTCGTCCGAGTCCGGATCTACCTCGAGTCCTGAGGATGAGCCTCATCGGACTGTCAAGGCTAACCCTTCCTCCCCAGGGCAGGATTCCTTGATTTGCCAGAGCTGCGGACCTGCGGATTTGAACCAACGGCGCGACTGTTGGAAACCGGTACCTGGGTTCTGTGCGCTCTAGCACACCAGCCGCGCGTTTCAGGTATCCCCGAGCATTACATGCGGGCGAACATCCGGAAACCTTCACAGATCGCCTAACCCGCCGAAACAATGATGATCTAGTTCGCTTACCTCTACCCACGTGGACAGTGGGCTGTGATTTGCTCAATCGCTGCGACACCAGGTCGCTGTATTGGCGAAGAGCGTTTCGTTCGCTCATGTGGAATTTAGTCTACCATCCCTTGGTGTGGTTCATCTGTACTCCTGGGCCCAACTCCGAGGACTGGTTATAAAGTTCACCCATAAGCACTGAGCTATTCGGTCAGATCAAGGAAAGGGCAACTATTGCAGAAAAAGCTGCTCAGTGACCCGCAGGTGTCAAGGTGACAAGTGACTAGAAATCTACGTCGACAAAGCCCGTGGAGACTTACTTCCCCGTTCAACTCGCGCAATGCCTTAGACCCCAAATCCAACTGTTCATGCTACAGTATCAATCCTCCTATCGTGATGAAGGGTTCATGCCAGAAGCGAGCTTCGTGTGCTCAATTCCGAACGCGTCATCCATTCAAATGTGATGGGCCTGGTGAGGTGTGGACTTGTGCGCGCAGGATGCTTCGGAGTAGACCAGAAGCGCTTCATTCTTTGAGCACAACGTATTCACTGCCTTGAGACTGCTGGTTCGCCTGTGCAGAGCCGAACACGGTTGAGATGTGACTACAACGCAACGCGTTTGGTTTCTAGGAGAGCTTATTGTAATTTTGAGTTTCCTTGATGTGGACGATGAGCGAGATGATGTCACCAGAAGTTTCTCTCCTCAGCAAAACCTAAAGGTGACTGGGTCCTGAGACTCTTGATGCATAATCAGAGCATTTCCCGGCCGGGCCAGGAGAATCATTTACAATCACGTCGGCGTATCTCATAGCCCAATTTGGACAGTTACCATGACGAGTAACTGCTTTGTATTATGAAGTAAGCCAAGTTTTCCTGTTCGTACTCATTATTAACACCTCGCTTATCTTTTGGAGAGCAAGGATTCAGGGACGGATAATTCGAATCCTGGAACCCACAGTCTTGGGGGAAGAAATGTTCTCGAAGCATAGAATGCCAGAACGGATGACAGATGTTATCGTTATCGATAACTCGGCCCCATCCTGGGGAGAAAAAAGTTGTAGACCCATGGCTCTGACTCAGCAAACGAGAAAAAAAAAAGGTTAGCACAGACTTTCAAGGTTGGTTCTCCCCGCTTATTTCCTAGCTCGTGGCTGCCAACCTCGGGGAGATGGCTGCCTGCCGAGTTTGGGGTAGCGGTAGGGCGCCTGAGGGGATGGAGATGCAGCTGCTTTGGGTTGCTTGAGTTGCTTGGGTTGCTTGGTGCGCCAATGCTGGTTTGCGCAAGGTCGAGTCTGCCTGCCATTGACTTTGGGCGCTTCACATGCTGCGTACAAGTCGCATTCACTTGTTATTACCAATCACTTGCTTGAGGTTTGGTGGACTTCCCCCGTATGATAGATAGTACCTGGGCCCGTTGTTGTTGGCCTTTGGCCCGGTAATATCTAATAGACTAACTTGCTGCTGAGCTGTTGCTGCAGCTAGGCCCGTCTTTCTGTCTGTCTGCCTGTCTGCGCTTGGGTCGGGTTAGTCACCGTGTCCCGCAGCCTCACCTCACAGGCACAGCGCAACACAGCAAAGCTGCTAGTCGTGGTTCCTCACCATCGGCATCGGGTTGCGGCGCGGCAGAGCTGCTCACTCTAACTCAAACTACCATGTAATTTCCAACCCAGCCGACATCCAACGACTCTCCATCGTCGCGTACGGTCATTGAAAGCTGAGCCGCCCCGGTTCCCATCCAGACAATTAATCATACTGCGCTGCGCTGCGCTGCATTGCACTGCTTCTTGTTGCTCGCTGCTGCTGTCGTGGCGAGAGGTCTCGAATACCCCTCCCAAGAATGATCAACTTGCGATACAAGGCGCCTCTATTATGACCGCGGTCACGACTCAATCCGGTCAACCACAACACACCGCCCGCTCACCCACCCTCTTCTCGCGCAATCACTACCGATAGCTCTCTGTTCTCCACCAATCCTCCCAATCGAGCGCCCCGGCACCCATCTACTGAGCTCCCGTCATCGACCGCGGGAGCCCGGCCACCATGCCTACCGCAGTCCGGACGTCCTCGGGCGCAGGCGTCATCAACCTGGCCGCCTCCCGCCCGGACGCCCAACCAAAGTCTACCGCGCCGCGCCCGCAAACAGAGAATGGCATCCCCCGCCGCAACTCGACTAGCAGTCACAAGCGACCCTCCAGCGCCCCCGGCGACGAGAATAACAAGCCGAATGGCGCGCACAGCGCCGACCTCCCGGCAGAAAGGCCGAGGAAGCCGCCACTGATGCGCTCCAAGAGCGACCATCCGTCGAGGGGCTTACACATAGATACCAGCACCGACTCCTCCAATGACGAACAGACGATAGCAGCTGCCGAGGACTTTGGCACCCGGCACGGCTTCGACGGACACTATCAAAGCGAGGACATAATATCCCAGCTTGCCAATGTGGGTGTCTACTCCTCTACTGCCTTGCGGCCCTGCCGTTTTGCAGGTCGTCCGTCTCGTTGCTTTCCATGGTCAATGTCAGCACTCGCACGGCAAGCACGGCCTCTCGCTTGGTGGTCGACAGAAGTGCTGGACCCAAGCGGTGCGAGGCCATGTTGCTCCGTGCGATCGGGATGAAACTTCTGCGTGCCTTGGGAGGAATAGTACCTCGGTACAATTCTAGACCGACCGTGAAGTTCTTCCATTTGTAGGGCCAAAGAGGGAGTTTGCGGCCAGGTCATCCTCACAATTACTTCGAGATCATGCTAATTCATTTCTCGATCCTCAGGGCTGGTACATGTATTTCACAGACAAGAGGCACGAGACGACGGGGAAGCCAAAGGCAGAACCATTTAATATCCAAGACTGGCGAATGAGAGACCGCCTGAAGACAGTCTCTGCAGCACTTGCTGTGTGCCTCAACATCGGCGTCGAACCCCCAGATCAGTTGAAGACTAATCCAGGCGCAAAGTTGGAGGCCTGGCAGGATCCGACGGTTCCACCGGTCCAAAAAGCACTCGAGAATATCGGCAAGACATTACAGGGACAGTACGAGACACTCGCCATCAGGACAAGATATAAGCAGTACTTGGATCCGTCGGTCGAGGAGACCAAGAAGTTCTGTGTCTCTCTCCGTCGAAATGCGAAGGACGAGCGAGTCTTGCTCCACTACAATGGCCATGGTGTGCCAAAGCCGACGGCATCGGGTGAGATATGGGTTTTCAACAAGAATTACACCCAGTATATCCCAGTGTCATTGTACGACCTCCAGCAGTGGCTCTCGGCGCCTACGATATTCGTCTGGGACTGCTCCGAGGCTGGCAATATCTTGAGCAACTACCACCGGTTCGTCGAGAAACATGAACAGGAACAGGATGAGCTGGCCGCGCGCGATTCGAATTACGAAAAGGCGAACTTCAAGCCTTACATCCACTTGGCAGCGTGCGCAGTCAAGGAGAACCTGCCAACAAACCCACAGCTTCCAGCAGACCTGTTCACCTCCTGTTTGACCACGCCAATAGAGATGGCGCTGTGGTTCTTTGCCCTCCAGAACCCGCTCAACAAGGATCTGACACCTGAACGAGCCAAGAAGCTCCCGGGCCGTCTTCAAGAGAGACGTACTCCGCTGGGCGAGCTTAATTGGATCTTCACGGCCATCACAGACACGATTGCCTGGACGGTGCTTCCGCGACATCTCTTCAGGAAGTTCTTCAGGCAAGACCTCATGGTCGCTGCTTTGTTCCGTAACTTCCTTCTGGCACAGAGGATCATGTCCGTGTACGGCTGCCATCCTGAATCATACCCGAAGCTGCCAGATACACACAACCACCCCCTGTGGGATAGTTGGGACTTGGCTGTGGATATGGCACTTTCTCAGCTACCGGCCTTGGAGAGGAAGGAGACTGAAGGCATCGAATACGAGTATCAGAGCTCGACTTTCTTCACCGATCAGTTGTCAGCCTTCGATGTGTACCTCACAAGAGGTGATGCGATGCTACAGAAGCCCCCGGAGCAGCTCCCAGTTGTTCTTCAAGTACTACTGAGCCAGCAGCACAGGGTCAGGGCGCTGATCTTACTAGGGAGATTCTTGGATCTCGGTCCTTGGGCAGTTCAACTCTCACTCAGCATCGGCATTTTCCCATACGTGCTCAAGCTGCTCCAGTCGACTCACGCGGAGCTCAAGCCGGTCATGGTCTACATCTGGACTCGCGTGCTTGCTGTTGATATTACATGTCAACAAGATTTGATCAAAGACAGCGGCTATAACTACTTCGCTCAGATATTGAAACCGTCAGAGGTGCTTGTAGTAACCAACAGCGATGAGCACAAGGCTATGTGTGCATTCATTCTTGCTATGCTCTGCAAGGACTACAAGCCCGGCCAAGTCGTATGCAATCAAACGGACATCATGTCGTACTGTCTGCACTATCTACAGAACGAGGACAACCCGCTGTTGCGACAGTGGTCATGTCTGTGTCTCAGCCAACTCTGGCTGAAGATGCCTGAGGCGAAGTGGCGGGGAATCAGGGAGGGTGCGCCCACGAAGCTTTCTGCTTTGACCAAGGATCAGTGCTGCGAAGTTCGAGCGGCTATGCTTGTTGCGATGACAACTTTCATTGGTATCCCAGACTTGACGGCAGAAGTGCAAAGGATAGAAGAAGCGATTACATGGACGCTGTTAGACATGACCAACGATGGTAGTCCGATGGTTCGACGAGAACTGCTGGTCTTTCTGTCTCACTTTGTCCTCCGGTACGAGAGCAAGTTCGTCGTCGCGGCCTACGAACATCTCTTGGAGGAAAAGGAGTACCTGCTTTACCCGCCTAGAGATGATGTTTTCGACCGGCAGAACATGCTGCTGCACTACGCACGGCCCGCAAATCGCGACAAAGATGGTTCCATCAAGCCCCAGGCGGAGGGGTTTTCTAATAACACTGTCATCGCGGCCGCCTGGAAACACATCATGATAATGAGTGTGGATCCTCATCCCGAGGTTCAAAAGGATGCGACCGCTGTCACAGACTACGTGCACAACACACTGCTCCACTCTGCCGTCGGTGCACAAGCGCAGAACCTCATGGAAGAGATACAACGTAGGACGAAGCGTACCTTCATGAAGAACCAAGCCTCTCACCAGCGGACCAATACGAACTTGTCAGTAGCCTCTGACACATCAGTGCCGGCGTCTCCGGGTCTGTTGAAGAGAACCTTCAGCACGATATTTGGGCTTGGAGCCGGTGCGGACAATCTCAACGCATTGTCAACACCACCGCCCTCTCAGTCGGCTTCCAGAACAGGCTCACTGAGGAACAGGACGGGCCTTCCCGATGCTCCTCCAGAGCAGAATGAGCAGTCTCAGGCGCCTGCCAATTATCATGTTGCTGAAGAACCCGTATCCGCTGGATTTGAAGAGCGGGACATGAAGGAAATCCCTTCGCTCCCATTGCCGAGTGGTTTCCTAGATTGGTCGATCGAGTATTTCAGGGAGCCGCAAATGAAGCCTAACGAGGCCGAGGAACCTGGCAGTGTAGAGTATAATGCGCGGTTATGGAGGCGATCAAGGAACGAGAGCATTCTCCGAGAAACGCAGCCTCAGAAATCTCATGCCGGGTCGCATAAATGGAACCAACAGCTGGCACTCATCAACAATGGCGCTCAACCATCAAAGATGACGTTCCACCAGTTTGAAGACCATCTGGCCGTCGCAGACGATGCCAATACCGTCTATGTCTGGGACTGGAAGCTGCAAAAGCGGAAGAGTAGGTTCTCGAATGGCAATCCGGAGGGATCCAAGATCAGCGACATCAAGTTTATCAATGAGGACGACCAGGCGTTCCTGATGACCGGATCCTCAGATGGTGTCATTCGGATGTACCGCAACTACGCTCCCTCTGATGACGAAGCCCATCTCAAGAACAAGAAGCCAGAGCTCGCCTCGTCCTGGCGAGCTCTGACGCACATGGTCGCGAGCAACGTCAATTCGGGCATGGTATTTGACTGGCTTCAAGTCAACGGTACGGTCTTGGTTGCAGGCGATGTTCGTGTGATACGGGTGTGGAACGCCAGCTCGGAGACGTGCATCATGGACATTCCCGCGCGGTCTGGCAGCTGTGTCACCTCGTTGACGTCGGACCAGATGACAGGGAACATATTTGTTGCCGGGTTCGGCGACGGTGCGGTGCGCGTGTTCGACCCGCGGCTGAAGCCACAAGATGCAATGGTGCGAAAGTGGAAAGACGAGCCTGACAGACAATGGATCCGCAGTGTGCACATGCAGCGAGGCGGGCAGAGGGAGCTCGTCTCGGCATCGAGGAACGGAAAGGTCCGGCTGTGGGATATTCGCAAGGACCAGCCCCTGAAGGTATTCCAAACAACGAAGGATGTGCTGAGGACGGCGAGTGTGCATGAGCATTTGCCGGTCTTTTGTGTGTAAGTGCCTGACCAACCCTCACTCTGTGATTTCCGTGCAACTTGTGTGCAATGCTGATACCGATGTGCAGTGGCACCTCGGCCCACATAGTTAAGGTGTTCAACTTCCACGGCAAGGAGCTCTCGCGCTCAGAACCATACTCGAGCTTCCTTGGACAGAACCGCGGCTCGCCCATCTCTGCAACTGCCTTCCACCCACATCGCATGGTCATGGGCGCCGCAGCGAGGGGGGACCATCATATCAACGTTTTCAGCTGTACGAACGAGCCGGCATTCGGCAACAATCTCTAATTCATAAAACGATTGGAATAGGAACTTGGAGGAGTAGAGATGGCTTATTCTTTTACGTGATGGATTTGCAAAGCAAGAGGAAACCCTCCAAGGAGGAGGGTTCGTGGCCGTTGTGCTGTGCTGCTTGCAAAGAGCTGGGGTCTTCGAGAGGGTCGACTTTTCTTTGGCATAGCGAAGGAGGGTTTCATCATGAGCATTATGATTTTCAGAGAGCTGACTTTTTGCTCTGGCTTGTTTAAGACGCTGCAAATCTCCATGACTGCTGGCTTTTTCCCTGCTTCATTTAGGAGTTGGTTGGTAAAATGCTATTTCCAAGGGCATTGGTACGACAAGCGATGGCATATTGATTAGGGAGGGTTAATGAACTTGTGCTGTCTGATAGGTCTATCCAATATTTTACCTCGTTGTCCGTCTTGCTTCCCTCTTGCGCATAGGAGGAACAGAGCGGGCGATATGATAGTCGGGGGGGGGGCAGCAGGGCGTTCGTGTGCCAGTCTGTCCAAGCCTAGACTCTCATCAATTGGAATAAAGCATGATCAGTTTACGATAGAATGATCAGTCCACGGAAAATGGAATCTCCTGCTCAGTGAGACGGGTCACTGTCCCGGATGACTCTTATGAGGGAGATCTCCTGATTGGAGCTGCCACCAGGCTCAATGAGCCATTGGGCGGTCTACATAGGGAACTTGTTCTTCAGATGACTCGGCTCTTGGAAAGCATTGTAGTTGGTGTACAAATTGCCTCTCTCAGAGAACCCTTAATATGAATTGGCTACCTAGGTACTTAGGCGGTGGACTCTCGTGGATGTTCTCTTCAAGCACAGAGAGTGACGTACCTTGGCTTCAGGTGTTGGTGGGGGCCAAAGTGGGCTCACTCTGCGGGAGGCAGCTCCCGACCCCACCTCGACCTCGACCTTTATCCTGGCCTCAAAATTTACCCCTCCGAAAAAGGCACGCGCTTCTAACACCACCAGATTACCACGAGCACTTCTGGGCAGGATTCTTCTTGGCCGATTGAGTCAGACCACCTCGGGGTTCTGTGACTGTATTGAAGCTGTATAAAGGTATTAAACGCCCCCTACCCCATTGATATTGCGCCTCATATCCTAGCACCGTCAATAGTCCCATCGCCCTGAGCACCTAGACTGTACCCAGCATCCCCGGAGGAGGCAGAGCAACTACAGCAGATCACAAATAGATCAGACCAGAACAAGCCTCAACGATTCCGACAGCGAAGGGACCGGAAAGGCGTGCCACTTTCGAGTTGTTGTCTCGTCACAATCGCTGACCGTCCTCTCTGTAGCCGGGTTGTCTACTCCCAAACCCCGCCTGAGTCACAGCCCACACAAGAAGATATCATACGACCACCCAGCATGGCCGACAACCCAGAGCAGAAGCCCACTCCCGCTGCCGAGCCTGCCGCAGAGGGCGGTGCTGAAGGCGACGGTGGTCCATCCAAGAAGGCCCTGAAGAAGGCCGAGGCAAAAGCGAAGAAGGAGGCAGAAAAGGCCAAGCGTGCCGCGGAACTCGAGGCCCAGCGCGCAGCCGCCGCTGCTAAGGAAGCTGCCGACGACAAGGCCAAGGACAACTATGGCGACCGCGATGTGGTCAAGCTGGAGGGTGAAAAGGTGGCCCTGAAGAACTACGGCGACGAGCACCTCGGCAAGACGGTCAAGCTGCGCGCCTGGATCCAGCAGAGCCGTATGCAGGGCGCCAAGATGTGCTTCGTCGAGCTGCGCGAGGTCGAGGACTGGAGCATCCAGGGCATAGTCACCGCGTCGGCCGAGGGGACGCCCGTCTCTAAGCAGATGGCCAAGTGGGTCGGCTCTGTCAGCCTGGAGAGCTACGTCGCCGTCGAGGCCACCGTCGCGAAGCCCCTGGAGCCCGTCAAGAGCTGCAAGGTCTCCAACTACGAGCTCCACATCACCAAGATCTACTGCATCGCCCGTGGCCCCGAGGTGCTGGGTTTGACGCTCGCCGCATCCAACGCCGCCATCAGCAGCTTCGACGTCGACGGCAAGATGCAGGAGTTGAGCATTGGCGACGCAGCCCCTGGCCAGTCCGCCACCCTGGAGACGCACTTCGACAACATCGTCATGCACAAGCGCTCCCCATTGCAGCAGGCTATCCAGACTGTGCGCGAGAACGTGCGCGACTTGTTCGTCGAGTACCTCAAGAAGAACGGCTTCCACTCGTTCGAGCCACCATGTCTGATCGGCGCCGCGTCCGAAGGTGGTGCCAACGTCTTCGGCCTGCCGTACTTCGGCAAGAGCGCCTTCTTGGCACAGTCCCCACAGTTCTACAAGCAGCTGGAGATTGCTGGCGGAAGGAAGAGGGTGTACTGTGTCGGGCCTGTTTTCCGTGCTGAGAACTCTAACACCCCAAGACACATGACTGAGGTATGATGACCACACAACTTTTGCCGTTCTCATTTGCTGGTATTCTGACATGATGATAAGTTCACCGGCCTCGATATGGAGATGGAGATTGAGGAGGACTACCGTGAGGTTATCTTCATGCTCGAGGGCCTCTTCCTCTACATCTTCCGCGAACTCGAGGAGCGCTGCAAGGAACAAATTGCAGTGGTGCGGTCCATTTACCCGTCCGAGCCTTTCGCCCTGCCCGCAGATGGCAAAGAGGTCCGCCTCACCTTCGCCGAGGGTCAACAGCTCCTGAGAGAGGAGGGCCCCGAAATCTACCGCAACGTCACCGACGACGAAGATATGTCCACTGCGCAGGAGAAGGCGCTCGGCGCCATCATCCGCAAGAAGTACGGCACCGACTTCTACGTGCTGGACAAGTTCCCCGAGTCGGCCCGGCCGTTCTACGCCAAGGAGGACCCGGAGAACCCCAAGGTGACCAACGCCTACGACTTCTTCATGCGTGGCCAGGAGATCATGTCGGGCGGCCAGCGTATCAACACCCCCGCCGAGCTCGAGAAGCGCATGCGCACCAAGGGCGTCGATCCCAACAGCTCGGGTCTCAAGGAGTACGTCGACTTCTTCAGGCAGGCCGGGTGCCCGCCGCACGGCGGTGGTGGCATTGGCCTGGACCGTGTGGTGGCCTTCTTCCTGAACCTGCCCAACGTGCAGCTTGCGGCCTACTACCCCCGGACGCCAAACCGATTGACCCCGTAAGGTGTCATGTGGAAAAGGGTGGAAGAGATGAGTTCAGTGGTATAGATCGAATGAGAGCAAGACTGATACAGCACAGTCCGAAACATTTCTGTCCAAAGCTTTACTGATCTCCATCCTGTGACTAAGCTGTCTAGCAACCCGCTCTGTGGCTGTTGATGTCAGTGCTTGATCAAGTATTCTTGGTGCTCTGCTCAGATGTGTGGATTTTGCTCAGGGCCCGAATGGTAAGATGAGTAGTTCTGTAGCGCTTGAGCCAAGCATCATACACATCAGACAGGCTTTTCTAGGGTAAGCTCTCAGCAGACAGTCGTCACCTGTGCCGGCACTAGAGTGTCCTCCAAAATAATGTCCTATCTAGGCAGTACCCTGGTTGCGAGCCAACTTCGGTTTCCAACAATAGGGCTTGTCATTATAAAGACCATTCATACACAACACAATATCATCGAAAGTGATAAGTCATCTCTACGGGACTGAATCGGTTTCTCCTAGTCCCTTGGCTTTTGAACGTCTCTAGACTACCGAATGTGTTGGTGCGTGGTGCTTTTGCCTGTTCAAATACTACTGAATTCTCTATCACATTATTTATGTAACACTCCGTAAGGCAAACCCCAGGTTCTGATAGTACCACGCACCCATTTCAAACATAACTCGGTCATAAAAGCAGAGACAGCTCGACCCAAGGAGTGATAGAGAAGCAAGAGTACATTCTTAAGTCACCTGAGAAATGGCATTTGATTTTCAGCCGTAGACTAGCGTCTACTGGTCCAATATTGAGCATCGCAGCAATAAGTATTTTTTCTTGGTGACTCCAATAGACCTCAGCGCGATGAAATTATTGCGCCACATCTGGAGTTCAGAAAGGGCCCATATACAAACACCTGGACAATACACAATGAATCCCCATCAAAGCCCATCTTGAAGCTTCTTAGAATCACCATCATCCTGCGAATCAGGAATATGGGTCAGGCCTTGATCTTTATTGTAAAATTGCTATCAACCGGACTTCAAGGGCTAGAACCGCGAATAATCCTTCAGAACTGACTGATGGAAGCTTTGCTTAGTCGGCGGCTTGATGTTGTCACCAGGCAGTCCGAAATTCACAGCTTGGTGCAACCGGCCTCACCTATCTCAGCGGTCGCCGAGCCATACCAGATCTAATTCAACCAACAGTAGCCATCTTTACCTCAACCCGAGCTCACCTCGCCTGATGACAAGGAACCGTCGTCCCATCTCTCTCTCAGCAAATTCAAACCTTCAAGATGCCCTCCAGCGAGAGAAACGAGACTATCTTCGGTTTGACCGAAAAGGAGGTCAAGTTCCTCCTCATGAGTCTCAAGTGCGTAGAGGACCACAGCAACCGTCGCTTCGTAAGTTTCAACAGCCTTGCACGGGAAAGGGCTGTCTTCCTGTTACCACCATGACATTCTTGTCGAGATCCTCACTTTGCTCACAGTGAATGGGAGCAGCTGATACTCGTATCTCCAGATGAACTGCGCGAAGCTTGCCAGACTCACGGGATACACCGCTCCCCAAGCCTACCAACTCTACGTGGCCCACCTGATGCCCAAGGTCATGGCGCTACCTCCCATCAACTTGATCTGTGATGACAACGACCAGAAGGACGCCAACACCACTAAGGCCAATGTTGTGCGAGCCTCGACTTCTGCCGCCAAGAACAATGGCAAGACTGGCACTGGCCAGGACAGCAAGAAGGAGGAGAATAAGGCGGAGGAAGACTACAACGGCATCAGTGACGGCATGGATGGTGTTGCCGGCGACCCAGAGGACGAGGAGGAGCTGGAGGCTCTCGGAAGTGCCTACGCCTGGGATGTCTAGGGAGCGGTGTGGGCGGAGATAAATGCTTGGGTTGTTCATCGGATTGTGCGGCCGAAGAAAAGTGATTCGGTTGACTGGTTATTTCGTACTGATCTCATGGGTGGAAGCAAGTATCAAAGCTCAGTTTGACCTCAATTACCCTGCTTCCTAAGGTGTTGAACGTGACCAACGGGACTTCAGACCAAAACGTCATATTAGTGACCTTGCTATACATTCACCCATACGGACAATTCAGATGAGATATCTGGACTGCGATATGAAAGCCGCCAACAGTCTTTCTGATTCATCCACTGAATGGGTCCTAAGCCCTGTGCTAGCAATTTAGATTGCTTAGTGCTAGTACGTGATATTCCGCCAGAGCTTCCAATATTCACCATGACTACAACGCGAGCCAACCATTTCATTGAGCCATGTTCAAGACCGGCTCATATCGAAGCTAAGAAGGCCGATGCCCATGATATCGTGTGATGATAATTTTATGCTGCCTCGTTGAGCAAAGCCCTCTTCGGGATCCAGTCCAACGTGCCTCGAGTTTCTTGACTTGGCGGGGAGACCAGCTGAGATATTCCCCTGACAAGCAGATCCTCGGATCCTCAAGTAGGGGCAGGTCACCTTCGGCATCGAAATGCTGTAGCCCTGGTGACCTATTGTCGTCCGTCTTCTTCACAACGCGAGCCTATCTCCCATCTGGTTCCACTTCTCCTCAGTCATACCATCTCCAATCTCATCCCAAGCCTGGTTGGTGCTGTTCTTATCGATTGGTCGCTTGAGGACTTCCTTTTTCTTGCTCTTTCCCTTGCTATTCTTCATGGATCCGCTGTTGTCGTCCTCATCAAGGTCAAAACCATCATCCTCGAACAGGGATGGCTTGGCGACTTGCTTCAGTCCTCCCCTCGTCTTGACCTTGCTTCTGGTTTTGACTTTGTCCTCCTCATCGCGGCCATGAGCACCGTCATCGACGGCCTCATTGCCCATCTCGGATCCAACGAAGATGCAATCTTCGATGATCTCCTCAGCCTCGTCGTGCGGCTCCAGAGAAAGGCTCTTGTCGGGCAAGCGCGGCAGCGCCATTAGCCTGCCGTTCAGGTCCTTCCACTGGGCCCTGGCAGCGGGGACGGTCGTGTTCGTGAGATCAGCAAACTCCTTCAGGCCGACCTGGGGAGCGGTCAATTCTAGCTTTTGGCTGTGTTTTGATGAATATGTTTATTCCGGTGCTAACTTACTTCCCATCCTCTGGCGTATCGCTTGCTTGTTTTGATGCACTGGACAGACATCAGGACTAGCTTGACCTCATCTTCAGTGAAGCCGAGGATGCGGATGTCTTTGTTCTTGTTATCAGACATGTTGTTGGCCTGTTCTTGAACTATGGTGTGCGTTGTATGAGTGCTTTCGCAAGCAGTGTGGTGGTCTGGCACCTCAATATGAGAGCTCCGGCAATTCAGGCTCTGGGAGTCTTTTCCCTGTGTCGCGTGGAGTCAAGTAAGTGCGGAGGTTCTGTCCCTCGCAGAAGCGACACTCAGACTCTTTTAAAGTGAATTTCAAGAAGGGAAAAAGCTCTGAACACATTTAGAAGTCATGTCAATTCCAGCCTAGCAATTCAGTAATGTCCACTGTTCCCCGAGGCTACAGGACATAATTAGGACAAAGGCTGCTTAAGAGGGCACCTCTCAGCCTGCCACGGTTACCTCAGGCACAGAATTAGGCACAGATGAAGGTATTTTCAGTCAGCCTTCATGTAATGTGCACCAGCTTGGGAGCGTCAGTACAATCTGACGCGTTGGCTTTATTCCCGAGAGTGGCTTGGAATCGAGACAGGTAATAGTCTATTTCGTGACAAACGAAACCGTTCTGATCAATTATTCATCAATGTTCCAATTCATTCGCTTCCACCAGGTAAAGAGTTCACCGTGGCGTCTATGTCAAGATCACTTCAAGTATGCAGAATCATGTATCTGATCTGGAAGAAGCTGTTGGAGAAACCAGGCCAGGCTGGAATTACTTCTAGTTGAATATCTCGACCACATATCGACCTTGTGGCAGGCCTTTCAACCAACCATCAACTGACGTCTCAGTCGTCTTTCCTGCAGTGCGATCCATTTCCATGAGGACAGGAGCGAGCACCTTAAAGACCCCATCGGACATACTCTTTGCTCCGCACACATATAATTTGGATCCTTTCTTCCACAACTGGAGAATTTCCTCAATGTGCTTTTTCACCGTGTCCGAAACATATCGACAATCACCATTGTCTTCGTCCTGGCTGAATGCCCTCCGCACACTCACAATACCGTCTTTTTCCATCCCATCCAGCTCTTCACGGTACACATCATCGAGTTTCGCCCCTCGACAACCAAAGAAGAGCAGCGCAGGTGAGAATTGGTCTCTTCCTCCTTCCTTGGTCGCGATGGACAAAGCACGCTCCTGTATAAAGCCACGAAAAGGAGCCAGCCCCGTCCCGGCTCCTATCATAATGATTGGTGTCTTAAGCTCGGGCAAAGGCAACCGAAACAGAGAGGGCTCTTTCTTGTCTGACATTGAGATGTAGACAATCGATCCAGGTTCCCGAGAGGCCAAGTGATTCGACGCAATTCCCTTGTTCGGACCTGCGGCAGCCCGATCGACAACGCTGTACGTCAAAGTGCCGTGGCCAGATTTCCAGCGCGGCGATGACGAGAAGGAATATACTCGAGGCAGCATGGGTGGCAGCATGAGCAGAAAAGATGAAAGAGTCAAAGGGAGCTCGCTCGGTTGGAACCGGTCGAGGAGATCCAATATGCTAGCAGTATTCTTGGTGTCTGCCAGCACTTCTCGTAGCGACTGCTTGGTTACATCGTCGACCGCAGTATCAATTAGCACGTCGATTTGGCGCGTTTTGGCCGCGCGCCGGAGGTCGAAGTAACTCGAAAACAACTCTAAAGCTGTCAAAGTGGTGTTGATGGGTATGTCTCCCGGAGGAGGGCGACTTGCTGTGGCCTGCTTGATAGTGACTAAAGTGTCTTCTCTCAGGGAAAAGCGAGACAGAGCGCGCTTGATAATAGACAAGTCATTTGTAGGAAGGATGCTGAGGTGATCACCAGCCTCATAGGACACTCCATACGGGAGTCGGAGCTCGATGTGCCTTTTCTGAGTAACACCTGGGCTGGATAGAAGCCTCGTTTCTGTGACAGTCGCAGCAAAGAAGCCTTTTCGAAGGGTGTTGCTGCGTGGCGGTTTTTCGCCAACGGTGACCTCCACCTCAATATCATTTTGGAAATTGCTGGATTGTGGCTCGCCATCAGCACTGAGAGCTGACCACAGTTGTTCGGCCAACCATGTCTCTAGCTCATCGAAGACATCGTCTTTGGCGGTGTTGACGGTTCCCATGGGCGAGAGTCTTTTGCCACCTAGCTTCTCCAGACCGGTGTCAAGGATTGTCGGGACCTTGTAAAAGGTCTGTGTCCAGTCACTGTGGCCTGTGTTCATCGTCAGATGTGACTTGCGCATCTGATTGAAGTTGTTCGACCTGACTCACCGACACCAAAGACCGCGTACTCGAGGTCTCTCAGGTGACCAGGTTCTTCTTTCTCAATCCACTCCATGAACTGCGTCGCATTACCGGCTGCCTTCCCGTGGTATGTACCCAGAATAAATATCACAGGCTCTGCAGCACGTTAATAATTTGTTATAACAACTCAAGAACAAGTGTCTAGAAATTGGCACAGGAGTAGAAGATTATGACAGATTGAGAATATTTACTCGTAACAGGAGATTAGTCCTACTTACGATGTTTGGGCAGCTTCCTCACAGCCTCGTTCATGGTGGAAAGGCTCGGAGTGAAGCCTCTGGCAGAAGCCTCGACCATGAGGTGTTTAGCGAGAGCCTCGCATGTTCCCGTATCAGTTCCGTATAGAATTGATATTGAACGACCTTCTTGGGGCGGAATTGCGGCGCCCGGTGCTGCTGACTTCTTCGTGCTTTCAGCGGACGCGGTTCTCAGACTACGGTGGAATGAAGTAGCGTTCCGCCCATGCCTCAATTCCGCTCGAATCTTGAAGCCTTCGGGCTTGATGGTCAAGAGATGCTTGATTCTCAGTTTGTATTCCGGGTCGTCTTTGCTCAGATTGAAATTTTGAAGTATGACAGCCAGAGCCTAATCCTGTCAGTTATGAAATCCAATGCTGGCGAACTTTTCGCGGGCTAGGCCCTAAATCGGGACTCACAAGTTTGGCCTCTTGCCAGCTGAAGGCCATACCAAGGCAGATACGGGCGCCATTGCCGAATGGCTTCCAGGAATTTGGTGGAAGCTTGTCAAATTTGTCCTGCATCATTCTCTCAGGTTTCCATTCGTCAGCATCGTCGCCCCAGACTGTTTTGTCTCGGTGTATAGGATCGAGTAAGAGACAGATTGCTTCGCCTGGATGCACCTGTATATTCTTAGCGTGCCGACTTTGCGGATTTCCTCGAACAGGAACATTGTATTCTGTGTCACAGACAGAATGATTTCCCTTAGGGGTGCTGAGAATAGAGGCTGACAGTGATAACAGCTACTTACAAGGTATTTCCCTCCGATGACCTCGTCCTTGTATGGTGTCACGTAGAAAGCAACCGCAGTAGGCATAAGGCGTAGAGCCTCCCGAAGAACTGCATCCATGTATGGCATTTGCTGGATGTGCTGTGGAGTTATTGATTCCTCGCCGACTACGCGGTCAACTTCACTCTGCAGCTTGAGAAGTGTCTCGGGGTGCTCGAGAAGATAAAAGGTTGCAAAAGACAACATCCCGGACGTTGTTTCATGACCTGCCACAAGGAAGGTTATGAGGTTTCGCACGACCTCCTCATCATTGAGTTTTTCGCCTGTTTCTGGATCTGGTGTGTTCAGCATTGCGTTCAGAAAGTCATTTCTGTTCACTGGATTCTGTCGTCGGAATTCCACCATTCCGCGACACAGGTCATGCATTAGCTTGATATCTTTCTTGAACTTCAGCATGGCACGAAGTCGAAATATGCCCGCCCAGTCGGGTAACATGGATTGAATATCAGCCTCGGCCAAGATATCTACCATATGCTTCACAAATGGGTGATGTTTACCGCCCAGGTAAAAGCTATTGAAGCGATAATCCATTAGGCATATCGCGATGGTGTCCAATGTAAGTCGAGTGTAATCGAATGCAATATCAATAGATGTGTTCGGTCCGTCCCGGGCCCTAGACGCAATCATAGCAAGCTTAGCCTCGAATCTTCAAATAGTGTTTGACCCGGGGTAGAAGTTGATGACTTACCATTTGAGACAAAGTTGCTCCGCGACGTCCTTCATCTCATCGAACATCTCTCGAATCTTCAACGGCCCAAAAATTGGTTTCAGAATGCGATGTGTGATGCCCCATTGCCGACTGCCATGATGTGCCGTGAAGAGAGCATCTTCGACGACTTGTCGTAACGTCAAAACACCACTGGAGACAAGCTTGTGGAAACGAGTCTCATCACAGACCTCGTCAGCTAGCTCTCGAGTGCACACATTGATTTCCCTTTGACCAGCGTAGGTCATTTGAAAGATCGGGCCTAGAGGTAGTCGATTCTGTTAACAAAATATTGCAAACCATTATTTGATTGAAAAAGACGCTCGACATCTGGAGGCTACATCTTACTGTACTTCTTTGCAATCACAAGAGCAGACGAATAAGGTGCCTTGAGGTCAAGGTCGAAGATGTTGCCTACGACAGGCAACGCTATTCAGCCAGCCGGTGCTGTCAGTCAATGCCCTCGTAGTCGGAAATTTGTGACGTGATGACAATTCTCACGTTTTGGACCGGGCGCCTTTTGGAGGGGGCATATTGTGCCGCTGTCGACGGTGCACGATGACATCCTAGCCAGGCCTGCTTGACAAAGTCTAAGATTTGACTGTATAAAAAAATTGTATTCTCTTGGACTGAAGTTGGGGCTGGGCCTGGAGAGAAATGCCCAGCCTCTTATGAATGGCCACTTGTAACTGCCATTCTGTGTCACTGCAGGCTGTCTTCACTTCGGCTACCACAGAATTGTTCAAAAGCTATTCAGTATTGAGTTCACCGTTTCGAATCGCCTCGTTTGGCCAAGGAAAATGCCTCACTTTGCGGCATTTTGGGGTGGACAGGTCTGGAGGCCTCAAGGCAAGGTGTCTGGAACGCTTCTTCGGAGGTGGAAAGAAAGTTCAATGGTAGTATCCATAATACTGAGGGGAAAAAATGGAACAGGCTGCCTCTCGCGCTGCATGTTTGAATGTCAGGTTGGAAATTGAGCTCGGGACATGTTTATCCCACATCGGTTCATCACGCGGACTAGGTAGGTGAGAGATAGGGGTGTCACGTGTCTGATCATTTTACTTTCGGGCCTGTACACCGATTTGCAATCGTTGTCCCCATAAACTCTCTTGCCTAGTACGGCCATTGAATGAAACCTGGTCCTTTAGCTAGCGCACCGCCTCTTCTGATCCCTCGTTTTGTCCACTCGATTAGTCCCTGCCACGGGAAACGTTTGATTGAGTTTAGTGCATTCGATGCGGCATTTTATGATGGCTTGAGAGCCGAGTCAGTCAGCCGTACGAACACGTCCAAGATGATAGAGTCATGCCGTCGTGAGAACACCCCTTGCGTGAATATCGGAAAACATTCAGGGTCTCCGAGCCCTGAAAAAAACAAGGCCACGATGGCTATCGCGCATGGGGATATCCCATGATGAGTCTGAACCGATTCACCGCTTCCATGCAGCTGCCATCGTGGATCTAGTTCACGAACTCGTCATGAACTTTAATCTATCCAATTTGATTTAGCATCTGACATCAACTGCGCCTCATTGTATTTACGGAAGAGTGTTCATCAACCTCGGCATTTGACAGGGCACCGTGATCCATCTTGACCACTGGTCGAAGTATCCATCTGCGTGGATATGGCTAAGATAGGGGAATGAAGGACCCAATGGTCTTGTACAGTAGCCTCCGGCCATAATGGGACTGACTGAAGGTGACTGAAGCCTGCCATATACACCCGTCGGTGATTTCCAGATTGAATCAAGGAGTGCGGTAATTTCTGCAGCATCTGATACTTCTTGTAGAATGAGGTTCACTTGAAAGCCGCTTGAAGGACTTCAAACGCTTAATGAAAGAAATTACTTTTAAAAAGCGAGGTATGGATGCCAGATGGGAGCCATCACAGCCATCTACTTTACCTATTGAAACCCCAGAGGATAAGAGGAATATTGGAGCCATCTATCTATCCCATCTTTGAACTGAGCTCAAGACCGCCAACTACCCAATTGACTCCAATATCATTGTGTATTTTCCAGACATGGATAAAATGGGCCGTAGGGTGTCCACAACGAGGATTGAATGTCCAGACGAGCAGTCACCGCTGCTGAGAGCTGTCGCCAACCTCCACCACGGTCCAATATGCCACCGGCCACCATGTGTCAGTGCCACTGGAAAATTCCTTGAGGCAGTACGCATGATCACTACTCATCTTCGCGTCCTCTGCTGCAAGTCACAACACCATAGCTCCATGTCAGCGTCATTTGAACCACTCTCAGAAACAGGCCGTTTTGTCAAACTTTACGTGGAGCCAATGTTCCATTGGTGGGGAGCGAACTTTCGCCTGCTCACCACGCCCTGTCTTGGAACAGTCGAGGTGGTGAACGCAGCTGGCAAGCGGCAATGTGTTGTCAACGGAGCTTCACACAATTACGCCGGATTCTACGCGCCCACAACCGAGTCTGAAGAGCTACAGCGGCTTTGCTTGGAGCTGCTCCCAGTCTCTGACAGTGACGCTGTTCCTCTATTGCGGGACGCTGTCCATGCCGCTATCGCAGGGTTCTTCGACTCTGATTTCTGTTTCACAACGAGTACTGGATATGGGGCCAATTACGTGGCCCTTCCAGCACTGATTGAACCTACCCGGACAGTCGTTGTTGTAGACAGGGTGTGTCACAACTCCATATTCACGGGAGTCTATCTCGGGCGCTGCTCAGCAATCCACAAATTCAACCATAATGATATGTTCGACCTGGAGTCGACGTTGAAAAACTTGCCGCGAAACTCAGACCAGGACGTCATCGTAATTGTGGAAGGATTGTACAGGTTTGTGGCTGACTCTTCTCCTTCCAGAATTGTTTGGATACTAATGGATTGAGAATAGTATGGACGGGGACGTCCCTCCATTAGGTGCTCTATGGCGTCTGAAGAGCGAGTACGGATTCGTTCTCTACTGCGACGAGGCGCATTCATTCCTCTCCATAGGAAGCACGGGTCTCGGTTGCTTACAATATTGGAACGAAACCCATCAGGCAGATCCTGTGCCCTGGGACCTAATCGACATAAGAACAGGCACTTTATCAAAAGCAATCGGCGGCATCGGTGGATTCATCTCAGGGAAGTCTTTTCTGGAAGAGCGCGTTCAGAGACATATCAAGAAGGTCCAAGACAGGGACCATATTTCCATCCCAACCTCCACTATGGTACAGACGCTCCTGGTCATGGACCAGCCGCAAAGGATTTCGCGCAATCTAAATCGATTAGCTGCGATATCAAGGTTCTGTCGCACAGAGCTGGATCGCTACGGCGTCTACGTATACGGAGACGAGACCGGCACTCCAATCCTTCCTGTCTGGGCAGGAAGACCTAGTGCATCGGCTAGGCTTTCGTTTGCCTTGCGTCAGGCAGGCCTTCTTGCAAGCCCTGTTACAGCCCCGGCGGTCCCCTTCTGGGAGAGCCGTGTACGGGTGAACCTCTCGGCCGACTACAGTGATGCCGACGTTAATAGCCTCGTCAACTCGATCGTCTCTGCCGTGGTTTCTATTGGGCTTTGTAAGAGGAGGCCTGAAACCTTCCGGGTCAATAAATTCCAAGAACTTCAAAAGACCGAGCTCGAAGAGTCGGAGGAGTCGAGAATTTCTTCTATGAAAATCAAAGGTCTCATCAACCTTGTTTCAATCCACCTGCGGAACGACTGCCATTCGAGAACGACACCTGTTGGAGTGGACAGTGCCAGAAATGGCCACTCAGCTAGATCGATGTATGGGATTGGCGCTGGCTCTGCGCGCTGGATATCTGGAACCTTCCCGCCTCACCTTGCTGTCGAGAGGCTTCTTGCTCGTGCCCACGGCGCTGAGACAGCTATGACATACGCTGATGCGACTATCGGCCTCGCATCAACCATTGCCGCGTTGGCCCGTCCTGTCTTCGGAAGTAAAAGACACTATATGCTGTGCCCACAATCAGCGACGGGGGCTATTCGCGATGGATTGACACTCATCCCTCCTCGTGGAAAGAGAGGAGTCAGTCAAGAGCTTTTGCAGTATCGAAGCAGTGAGGAATTACTTGAGAGAACCTGCCATCTTGCCGGACCCGGTGCTTGCTTCACTAGTATTGTCCATGCAAACGATGTGCATGTGCTTAAAAGGTTGATACAGATGGCTGGGAAATGTCCAGTTACCATCCTGCTGTACGATGCGTCAAAGTTCGTCAACGTCCAACACATGTACACTGATATCTCAGTCTCTGACAGTGGCATCGGTAAGGTACAGCTGCTAGTGTACGGCTCCTTCTATAAGATACTTAATCTACCAGGAGGGTATTTGGTGGGATCCCAAGCACTTATACGGGAATTGAGGTACACGAGTCGAGGGTACATGTATACAACCTCGACACCTCCTTTCGTGATGGAGATGGTGCGCGGGGCGTTAGAAGCTTCTTCTGTAGCAGCATGATAAATGCACCTTCACTTCGCTCTGGGCATGGCTAAATACCACTGTATATTTCACCTGGATTCTGACACCTGAAACTCGCGTTGACGGTTCCAGGGACTATAAGGCACTATATTATGTTTAATTACCAACAGCCTCGAGTGGAGGGAGATTTGCTGTGCGAAGAACTGCTTTGCCCCCGTTGGGCATGAAAGAGGTCCCTTGATATGGCCAAGAGCAATTCGCTTCTCAAACTGATGCTTGCGCCCAACTGGGAATCGTCAAGTTGCCCTGGCTATCAACGAGAAACCCGACCCATGATCTCACATATAATTGCACGCATCGACCATTGAAGTGATGCATGTTGGGTTTAATTTGGGTGTGTATATGCGTTCCAACACTCAGCGCTCTTTTGACCTAACTCCTCTCACAATGCACCTCAGAGGGTCTATAGCTGTACGACTCCAGCCTGCGTCCGGAGCCTTGCCCGGTGAGCGCACATAATCAGGGCCTGGCAATGCTTAGTTCTTGTTCCTTGCGGGACTCTTGTAATCACTTTGGGCTAGGAACACACTTCATTTATACGAATTCCATCTCTCATTACATTCCCAAGTCATGTACATAAACTACCCTATCTACCCAGATTGTCATTCAAAGAGTATAAGAAGCTCCATTGGAGTTTCAATCCAGTGCCAGAATTATCCCCAAATTTCCAACCTCCGTAGACCAGACGTGCTTTTCATTTTGACTCTGGACCTCACTGATTCATTCTAATACATCCTTCGTAAACCGTCATTACCTCATGACCAGCCCAGATTTACGTGGTCGGCCGGCGAGAGACCAGGACACCAATGCTCAAGAATCATCATGAGAAGATGAAGCGAGCTCTGATGGATCACCAGGCCTATCGGCCACAGCGTCTTGGCTTGTTATGCCCTTACAGAGAGGAGCCGTGCAGCGTCTTGGTGTCGACGACCATCTCGCGGCCGTTGTCGCTGACAACCAGCACACGGACGGATCCTCGGCCGGAATCGAAGGCCTGCTGGAGGCGCTCCCAGAGGTTGGACTGGTCAATGACTGGCAGGGACTGCTTCACATCTCCGGTCTCGGTCATGGCAACAACTTCAGGCAGGCCGTCAGCACGTGATCTGTCGAATACCAACGGGAACGTGGAGTACTTACCGCTGCCGTCCTGGAGGTCGAGGACGCGGTACTGCTTCATGACGGGTCCGCGCATGGTCTGGACAACGACGCTGGGGGCGGGGTTGGAGATGGACGAGGACTCCTCATGCAGCTGCTTTGTGAAGAGGTCGACTCCGAGGTAGCGGTGTTGGCCGGTGGCGGAGGAGGTCGAGATCCGGATAACCTGGGAAATACGGCCCTGGAGAATCAAGATATCGCCGATCCGGATGTGGTGGCAGGGAATGGTAACTGAGTTCGGGACTTCATCTCCGTAAGCGGTCACGTTTCCACGTCGAGAAGGACGGCTTTCCCGGACTTCAGTCACCTCAATGGTCTCACGACCTTGGTGAGGGTGAATGATACGATCAGCCACCTTGTGGAGGCCGTGCCGGAAGGAGTGGTAGTGGCCTACACGGGAGGCATTAAGATTGAGACAAAGGGAAACGTGTTGAAAACAAAACCAGGCAACTTACCATCTTCATCGAAGTAACCCATCTTGGCTTTGTGGTGGTGGTGATGCTTGTGACGCGGGGAGCGATCGATCTCAACTGTCTCGTCTACACGTACAGTCTCGTGGACAGCGGGGCGGACCTTTGGCGCTTCGATAATGTGCTCGTCGTGGTGAACAGTCTCCTTGGTGACGGGACGGCGCAGGGGGGTGTCCACAGTTGTCTTGGTCACACGGACGTCCTCACGGTAACCAGGCTGGGATCGAGCACGGTATCCACGCTCGATGTTGTCAATTGGGGTGACAGGGATCGACAGGTGGGATTCCGGCCGGTGGTGGTGATGGTGGTGGTGTCCGTGAGTGTCGATCTCAATGCGAGTATCAGAGTATGAGGACCGGGGGGGTCTCTCAGAGTAGGAAGAACGAGGAGGTCTATACATGCACAAACGGTCAAGGTCAGCGGTCAAGCTCAAGTCCTGGTTGGTAGTATCGTTGTTTCGAAGTCAACACATGCGAAGAAGCTCCACACCGGGTCAAGAAGCTCGAGGCAATTGGTGCCCAAGCCCCCTGGCCGTGTGGGTCCAGATCTCAGCTCCATGCTGCCGAGGATCCACGCAGCCTGAACAGGACTGGGCCGAGTTCATGTGCAGTGACGACAGCGCGCTCAGGTGAGTGGATTGGCCATTGGGACGATTGTGTGGGGCGTTGGGAACGGCGGAAAAAGAGGCAGGGCAAGGCAGGACAGGACAAGGCAGAGTAAACAGATGGGTATTGGGAATACCTGGGCTGTTGCTCCTTGAGCTCTTCGCGGTAGTACTCTTCACGGTGGACACCTGGACGGCGGTAATGGTCCTCTTCACGGGTGACGAAGACCTCTTCCTCGCTGTAGCGGTGCTGCTCCCTGCGGGGAGGAAGGTCGGCCGCGGTGGCGGAGTAAGATGAAGAGACCTGACTACCTTCCCGCCCGGGCTTGTGGTGGGGGAGGTGGAGGTTGAGCTCCTCGTGGGTAGTGGTGCTGGTGCTGGTCTTGCCCGACTCCTTCTTGTCGTCGTTGCGATACGACGAGGGGAAGATGCTGAAGGGGACGGGGACTCTCGCTTCAAAATCCAGGTTGACTGCCTTGTATGGGCGCACAGAGTCGTCCTCCTCTCAACCTCTTGACAAGGAAGAAAAGAAGAGTCCTCTGGCTTCTTCCTGGGGAAAGAAGTCGAAAGAAAGGAGAATAGGAGAAGGACCCTACCAATTGATACGGACTCCTTCTGTGTACTCTGGGATTTCGATCGAGCTCTTTGGCTGAGGAAGAGAGAGAGATGGTGGATGGGGAGGGAGAAAGGCCGAGCACAACACAACACAACAGGTCAAGTGGGTGACTGACTCTATGTATGGAGATGGAGATGGAGATGTTGTGTTCTCTGGATGTGTGAGTGGAGGACAGGAGTAAGAAAAAGAGGAGGAGGGGAGACGTGGACAGCAAGTAGAGGAGGAAGAGACGGCGGGCATTGAAATAGTCTAGGTAGTGCTGGAGGGGGGGGGGTGGAAGGCGGAAGGGGAGATGGTCCGTCTCCTGGCCCATCAACGGTTGCTACTGGCTGCGAGAGAGCATCAAGGGTGTGTGAATGGTTCAAGCGACAGGGACGGAGAGCAAGAGATGATTGATCTCTTTCCCCTCTGCCCTCCCTGGTGCTCGTTGCTGAGCCTCTGTTTACTCGCGGTGGAGCCAGCTGCAGCTCTTGTTTACCCCCCGTCCCCTTCTCCTCCGATCTTTTCCTCACAGCTGCTGAAGGTCGAGCTTAGCCAGCAGGGATCATAGCTCCGGATAACCTTTTCATCCCTGTCCATTGGGGCCAGACCCAGTTTTCTCCCAGCCCGGCTCGGCGCGTGTCTCTGAGTGCCCATCCCATCCCATCACGTCCAGCGCAGCGCAGCGCAGCAAGTGAAATCACACCCACGCGAGATGAGCTGCCATCGTCTCCCGTCTCCCGCATCATACCACCACCTAGGCCAGGTTGCACGTCGGCACAGGAAACCCGTCATTAAGGCAGGGGCAAGCGGAAAAGGACCCCTAGAAGCTGTCAGGCACCACAGAAAGGACCGGTCCTGACGCCGTCCGAGGGCCATGACATGGCAGACTAGGCCTCGTGTCAGGTCGAGCAAGCCCAACCACCACTTTTCTTAACCTTCGGTCCAATGCCTGGGCTCCCTGGGTCATACTGCACTAAGCCGGACTGAAGCCTCGATCTGTGTGTGATCTCTGGACCGGCCTGTGGGACGCTGCAACCTGCTGCTGCACTGCAAAGCACATCAGTGTGGTGCAAATGCTGATGGCTGGGGAAGTGGACCGCCCCTGGCCTGTTCTGCCTGTGTCCCACGCATGTGGGCGTCCGCGCCCGGGAATACGATGCGCCACGCAGTTAATTCAGCAGGCTGGGATTGGGAAGAAAAGGGCTGTGGCCAAGGCGATCGCTTCGTCCACGGCGTCCAGTTTGGGTCTCCAACGGCTGTTCCCAGCCGGTCCTTTGCCTTCTGCATGCATGTTTGAGAGATCAGGGCAAGCGTGGACCGAACCCATTGGGCCTCCACAAGCTGACCATCCACGACTTATGCATGTCCTCGCGCCCAATTCGCCGGAGCATGGGCAGAGAATGGAGCAACGCGTCACAGATCCTGGATTGCATGTGACTGCTTCCTTTACTGCCTCCATTGACTGCTGGAGTCGCAAACAGCTTGCAATTACCATCATCGCGAGCTCTCAAGCTTCAACTTTTCCCATCCAGACGCTCTCCACAGCTGGAGATCTGCGGCCGGCAACGAAGACCGTGACAGCTCCGATCATGCAGGGAGTAGAGCGTTGCTATAGAAACGCGCAGCGCTAAAAGGAGCTCAATGTAACCCCACGATCCAAGACGGCAGGATGGTACCTAGCCTTCAGCGGTTGGCAAATTCCAGGGGTTCTTTCTTCACGTGCCGGGATCTGGAACCTCTACGGTGGTACAAGAACAAAGACCACGCGGATGAATGTAAAGCGTTAACAGCAAGAAGCCTGTTCTGTCGATTGTAATTAGAATGGGAGGGGTAGCACAACTCTATCTGTTCACCTCGGTCCTGAATTCCAAGAGGAGAGAAGCTTCAGATGCTACTAGCCACAGACACCAGTAATTGCCGCCAAGGTTTGCAGAAGAGGCTTGAAAACCAAATTCGATCAGTTGAATTGGATGGAATGAGTCTCACGACAATGGCAATGACAGCATACAGATTAGAGAACCCATCATTTTAAACCATCACACTGCAACTGGACTGCGCAGGTCATAGAACCATTCTCCTGTGGCAATGCAATTGCCAACTCATGGACGAATTCAATGGTGCTTCTTGGCGTGACATGCCAGAGCACGCTTGATCCTCTTCTATCCAAGCAAGGAGCCAACGATTAGAATACATAAACAAAACAGAAGTTCCTGCTAACAGTGCTTAAGCCCCTCGAGCTTTCGAGTACTGCAGTAGGCAGTCGCTCAAACCAATACAGCGGAAATGGGGGGAGGGTGGTTTTTTTGGAATCAGGGTCCGGGTATCATGACGTACCGGAATATGTGATGCAAGACGTCAACCAGTCGCCCCACCATTCCGTCCTACACTGCCGCATCCAGCTCGCCGACCGCAAATTTCGAGCGCTGTAATTGCGCCCAACGCCCTTCTTCGCAGTCGCCAATCACTTCATTCTTAGAGGCATCGCAATAAATCGGCCAAAATGAAGCAGCGCTTCTCTTCCTTGGACGTCAAGGTATGTTCCAGTCCTGTCGCGCGGAACCCATGCGAAGGTGAGCGAAGGTAAGATCGCTGACACATATCTGGCTGTTCCCAGGCCATCACGAACGAGCTCTCTCAAGCCCTCGTCGGCCTTCGGCTCGCCAATATATACGATATATCCTCCAAGAAATTCCTCCTCAAGTTTGCGGTATCTGGGAAGAAGGAGCAACTCATTATCGATTCTGGGTTCCGACTTCACACCACCGACTTCACGCGCCCTACCGCCGCCGCTCCCTCGGCCTTTACCTCTCGCCTTAGGAAGTTTCTCAAGACTCGGCGATGCACTTCATTGTCGCAAATAGGCACAGACAGGATAATAGAGCTGCAATTCAGCGATGGGGGCTACCGACTGTTCCTCGAGTTCTTCGCATCTGGCAATGTCATCCTCACGGACGCTGACTTGAAGATCCTGGCACTTCTGCGGACTGTTCACGAGGGAGAGGGCCAAGAGCCGCAGAGGGTGGGCCTGACGTACAGCCTTGAGAACCGCCAAAACTACGGCGGAGTTCCGCCTCTGACTAAAGACCGAGTACGAGAGGCGCTGCAGAAATCAGTGGCGAAGTTGGAGGCCACAGACGCTTCCAAGAAGAAGCAAAAGAGAAAGGCGGGAGACGAGCTCCGGAGGGGTTTGGCAACAACTATAGAGGAACTGCCTCCTATAGTGGTCGACCACGCCTTTGAAGCCACCGGATTCGAACCTACCACCAAACCAGCTGATGTACTTGAAAACGAGACCTTATTCGACGCACTATTCAAATCGCTGGAAGAGGCCCGCAAGATCGTAGACGGCATCACAGGTTCGACGAGTTGTAAGGGATATATCATTGCGAAGAAGCGAGAACCCAAGGCAACCGAGCCGGCGCAAGCGCAAGGAGACAAGTTGCCTGGTTTGCTCTACGAGGATTTCCAACCATTCGTACCCCATAAGTTCGAAAAGGATGATGCATACACTATTCTGACATTCGACAACTACAATAAGACAGTAGACGAATTCTTTTCTTCTATTGAGGGACAGAAGCTTGAGTCAAGACTGAACGACAAAGAAGCCGCTGCCAAACGCAAACTGGAAGCCGTCCGAGAGATACAAGAGCAAAAGGTCGAAAGCCTCAAGCAAGTACAGATTTTGAACATGCGCAAGGCCGGCGCTCTAGAGGCCAACGTCGACCGCGTGCAAGAGGCCATGGACGCTGTCAATGGTCTCATAGCGCAGGGCATGGACTGGGTTACAGTTGGCAAGTTGATCGAGAGAGAGCAGAAGCGACGAAATCCTGTGGCACAGATTATCAAACTACCCCTGAATCTGGAACAGAACTTGATGACACTGCTTCTCGCCGAGGAGGACGAAGAAGAAGACCTAGACGAAGACTCTGAACATACCTCTGAAGATGAGAGCGATGATGAGGGAGACAGGCGCAAGAAAGTTGACACCAGGCTTTCCATCGAGATCAATCTCGCACTCTCCCCCTATGCTAATGCCCGCGAATATTACGACCAGAGGAAGACGGCTGCAGAAAAGGAACAGAAAACGGTTGGTCATTCGGTGATGGCTTTGAAGAGTGCTGAGAAGAAGATCGCCGAAGATCTCAAGAAGGGACTCAAACAAGAGAAGCCAATCCTGCACCAACTGCGCCGCCAGAGCTGGTTCGAAAAGTTCATTTGGTTTATTTCCTCGGATGGGTACCTTGTTCTGGGTGGTAGAGATGCCATGCAGAACGAGATGCTGTACAAGAAGTACCTTCGCAAGGGAGACGTCTATGTTCATGCCGACATGCACGGTGCTGCATCCGTCATCGTCAAGAATAACCCCAAAACTCCCGATGCCCCCATTCCCCCTTCAACATTGTCGCAGGCCGGCAGCCTGTCAGTCTGCTCATCAAACGCTTGGGACTCGAAGGCCGGCATGGGAGCGTGGTGGGTCAACGCGGAGCAGGTGTCCAAGTCCGCCCCTGCAGGAGAATTCCTCCCCACGGGAAGCTTCATGGTGCGAGGCACCAAGAACTTTCTGCCTCCGCAACCACTGATCTTGGGATTTGGCTTCTTGTTCAAGATCAGCGAAGAGAGCAAGGGCAATCACGTTAAGCACAGACTTCTCGACGCAGAGACCATGCCAACGAAAAACGTTCAAGAGGTTCAAAATCACGAGGCTGAGCTCGCCGAAGAGGTTGCCGAACTTGAGCGCGAAGCAGAACAGCATGATCAAGATGTCAAGGACGACTCGGACAGCGGACTTGACGACGAAGGGTCTCATCGACAGAATCCGTTGCAAGTGGATGGTGACGATGGGTCGAACAGTGGTGACGATCTTGAGGATCGAACAGACGATGACGATCACATTGACCATGATGTAGACCATGTGAAAGACCACGTGGACAAGATCAGCCTCGAAGAGCCTGCTGAGTTGATGATGTCGGGAGCTTTGGCTGCTGATGGAGGCGAGCACGAAGATCCATTCGCGAATGGTGTGAACGGAGACGAAACGGCTGAGGCAGAAGATGGCCCCGAAGATGAAGATACCGGATCAGAGACGGCAACCAAAGCCCCCACAGAGGCATCGAGAGTTTCCACCGCCACTACTTCGAAACAGACGAACGACCCGAAGCAGAGGAATGCTCCAGCGAAACGGGGTAAAAAGAACAAGCAGAAGAAAATCGCTGCCAAATACAAGGACCAAGACGAGGAAGACCGTGCTATGCATGAGGAGCTCATCGGCGCCACCAAGGGTCGTGAAAAGGCCGAAGCCGAGGCCAAGGCCAAGGCGGAGCGCCTGGCAGAGGAGGAAGCCCGACGCGAGCGCCGCAAGCAAGCCCAGCTAAAACAGCAGAAGAAGGTCGCCGAGCACGAGGAGGTCCGCAAGCTTATGCTCGAAGAAGGTATCGAGGTGCTGGATGATGCCGAGGAGCAAGCGTCCACACCTCTCGACTCCCTGGTTGGTACAGCACTTCCCGGCGACGAGATCGTCGAGGTGGTGCCCATGTGCGCCCCGTGGGCGGCGATGGCCAAGTGCAAGTACAAGGTGAAGCTCCAGCCTGGCTCGACCAAGAAGGGCAAGGCGCTGAAGGACATCCTGGAGAGGTGGAAGATTGAGTCGGGGAAGAAGGGGAATCTCGACGAGCACTCCCGAGACTCGGAGAGGATGTGGCCGCGCGAGGTGGAGCTGATTAAGACAGTCAAGCCTGAGGATGCGAACAACGTTGTGCCGGTGGGCAAGCTGACGGTGATGATGAGCGGTGGTGCGAGTGGGAAGTCTGGCGGCGGAGGAGGCGGGAAGGGGGCCAAGGGAGGTGGGAACCAGAGCAAGGGTGGTAAAGGCGGCAAGGGTGGGAAAAAGAAGTAAATAATGTATTTATCAGCATAGCACGCATATAGATGGCCTTCAAGTAGCATGGTAGACTCGCTTTTACTACTTAATACCATGTAATGAGCTGACCTGAGGTACGGCGATGCTGGATGGATGTCTCGTGTCCCATGTCCGCTACCCCCAGCCTTGGCTCTTAAGCCTTAATTTTAGCATACGTCTGCCGGAGGTCGTGAGCCCAGCAATGGAGGCTTTCTCCTTCAATGATACTTTCAAGGCGGAGTTGGTCTCATGACCATTTCAGGGAACACAGAACAAACTGTCAGCACAGTCGCCCTCTCAAGACCGCAAAGGATACACTTCCCATTGCTAAATTAGTATCAACCCGTTAGTAACCGCTATGCTTCCTGTATGTGTAACCTATGTCGATGGTGTATCATTTGACTTGCTCCAAACGGTGGCTTGTGAAGTCTTCTCTGGAAAACAGCAAGCGTGGGTGAGAAGAGCAACCGCGGAAGCACCGACAGCGCACTTAAAAAGAATCACTGCTTGCTTTAGTTCCCCTGCCCATTTATCGTTTTCTCTTGGCCAAAAAAGGGGCACTGAACGCCTGGATAGTCGAGCACCCAGACTCTTGTCTTTCATCTTTTTGTTGATTTCGCTACCCCTCGGAATTGACCCATCCAGCCTCAATTCTCCACGAATGTTTGCCACCTGCAATCTAGCGTGTCAATCCTTTTGGTTCTCAACCAGCCGAGACAAAATGCAGTCATTCAAGTTCTTGGTTCTCCTTACGTGCGCCATCTTGGCCATCACCCCCGTATCGTCCGACTTCTACATCTATAGGATGTGGCAGACTTTTGCACATCTTGAAGGGGGTACCGAGTCATATTCCGAGGAATGTACGTACCAAGCCGTTTTATGGAACCACTTATGTTATGATCAGTACGCAAATTGACCTCGCATTCCAAGATGCCTTCTTTCCCGGACCGCCAAGTTGCAACGACGTGGACGACCGATGGCACGCACAGGACGGCAAGCACGACGTCAGCGGCCACAAGCACGGCGTGCGCTGTGAAGGAGACTGTGTAAGAATAAACCATACTCTTGCTTCCTATTCAAGATGGATTTTCTCCTCTGGGCTTTGTGGTAGTTACTAACAATGTCGCAGGGCCCTTTCAAGCCTTTTGATCCCAAGATCGTCGAGTTCAACAACGGCATCGGTCACTACAGTATGTGCACTGGCCCCTACCCAAAAGTCACCGCTTGCTAGTATTCCAAGTCTGAAGACGCCTTCTAAAGTTTTGCGGCTATGAAGCACGATGCTAACACAACCTCGCACATCAAGCCTACTACAAGGATTCGAATGGCGAGTTGAGAGATACCAGAGACAAGGTCGTTGGACATTGCCATTCCGACGCTTCGGACGGTGTGAAGTGTTTTTCCTATCGCGCGGACATGAATGGGCTTGGAATGTGGTATGGGAACTCCATGGTATACTGCGAGACAAGCCTCACTGCTTGCAAGGTGTTCTACGACCCCAAGGTTGAGAAGCAGTGCTAAGGGTGAATGACAAGCAAGTTCTGATACCAGTCGATACCTGGTATTGGGAGGCAGATGCAAAGGTATCAGAGACTTTAATGATATGCAGACTTATCCATTGCCGCGGGGGCCGTGGCCGAACACATCCTGGGTCTTGTGCATGCGGTACCTTTCGTGTCGAAAGCGTGGCTAAATGGACAATGCCCGGGGACATACACTGAACTAGCCATGCCTCTTCTCAGAACAATCAAGCGGACGTGTGGCGGATAACCAACAGTCCAAGCTAACAACGTGGATATTTCAAACCTCTTGTGAGCCATGTTTTCAAAGCGATTCTAGCGAAAACGGTGACATCAATTTCGTTTTTTAGTTACCCTGTTTCTGATTTCATCTGTCAAATATCTTTTGCGTTTCAAGACTGTCATTTGTATCTAATATTTGATAAACTATGTTTGCATGAGTTCCTCGCTGAGAATGTACGGTAGCCCGCTGATCTGTTTCGCTGCTGTTGCCTAATGCGGTGCCGACGCGGCGAAAATTACCAACAAAACATTGAGCTCTCCTTCATCTCGAATTTGAGCCCAAGAAACACCGAAATCTGAACCGAGCTGAACTTTGCGAGTGCACATTACTGTGAATCCCCGCTTCGTCTGTCCCATGCAAGATGCCTCATAGCACAGATCCTGTGATTCCCAGCGTGGTCGATTCCAGAGCCACTTTCAAACGCGCATTTCTCGAATGGTCGTCTCTCGCACAAACAGCCAAAATAGATCCACAGACAGTCTGTGACCATTTAAGCCTCATTAAGACTGCATTTCCAGACCATCCTGCATTCCCAGTGGGTCTGAACATCAAGGAATCCCCCGGCTCTCTGTCGGCAACCGGCTCGTCTTCATGGGCTGCCACGGTTGCTTCAATCAGTCATAACGATCTGCCAGATTTTCGGCAATTTCATGAGATCACAGTCACCGAATCCAAGCCTACAAAATGCTCCTTCACTAGAGACCGAGAAGTTGGCTACTGTCAATGGTTTGAGGGCCAAGACAGTCACCTCACTATCTTGATCCTCGCATGGGCTTATGTGTTGGCTGCCAGATGGACAGAGATTATCCCAGGAGCCAGACCGATTCGTTACACAGAAAGTCGATTAAATTCAGTCACCAATCGTGGAAAATTCAATGTCAGTTTGGGAAGTGCCAGTGCGGATGCAGCGCGATGGTGGGAGGCTGTCTTGGCTCCAGGGCAAGGCTGGTTAGCCACTGTTGAGTCTGGGGATGACGAACTGCACTCTCCTTGGTCGGTTCTGCTGTCTTCGAGGGCCAAGTTCAGCGTGTCATATTCCGAGTCTGAATCTGCCACTGGAGCTGTGGCAACATTCACTACGGCCCTGCACTACCTTGCCGATTATTGTGCCACCCACGACCTGGCGGACCAGAGCCGGGCAGCTCTGGCGACCGTCTTGTGCCTTCCTCATGCCGCGTTCATTGGAAGGCGTGTCCATCTCCCTTCCCCACAGATAATGAGCGATACGAAGAGACTCCCTATAGAGCCGCTGAGACGAGAGCAAAGTCGTTATGAGTGCTCTACGTCCCAACTGGACAAGCTCCTCACCTTGAGTTGTAACACAAAAGGTCTCACAGCCATACTTCTGAGCCTCTTTTTCGATCACGAAGTCCCTTGCAATCTTGCCAGTCCTTGGTTACAGGGCATATTCTCTGCTTTGGACAGAGTATCTGATGAGACCTGCCTGCTACTGCAGACCTTGATGAATAAACAGCCAAAAATTGGGTTCCTTTGGCTCGGAGCCACAATCCTTGGAACTCATTCTCATCTTTTAGAACTGGCTCGCCGTGGAAGCATGGAGGTGGAAATACTTTCCGCAGTATGGACAAACACTTCACAGACCTTTATGCAGTTTCCATTGACCGGCGTGGCCCGGTCTGGGCGGATTAAGCGTGAGGACGAGTGCCGACTTGCCTATCTAGCAATGGAAAGCTATCAATATTATCTTCCCATGTGCCCATGGAAGCCCTTTGGAAGCACGGCTTTGGAAGACACAGATCTGGACGTCAGAATTCACGCCAATTGCCAAGGGCATGGGCTTAGGTATGTTGGCTGGGCTTGGGACTACTTGGACGACGACCTTGCAGTGGAACGGAAGTTCCATGAAAATGGAGGCGCTCTAGATGTGGATATCAAGTCTCAGCAGAATCTTGTTACGAATCAGCCCAGTCACTCGATACCCTACGAGAAATTGGATCTGCATGATGATGGACCTTCGTGGAAGGCGACCCTCAATATCTTCATGTGGCTCCGTCGAGACGGCTTCCCGTCATCTGAGCAGTACATCCGAAGGCACGAATGGTTATGTGATGTTCTCGATGACGAAGAAGAGGCCGCGTACGAATCCTGGACTGATGAAGAGGATGTCGTTGCTTCGGGGAGACGGAGAGCCAAATCGAGTGCCCCGAAGCCCAAATTGGGTCAGTGGCTTGCTTCGACATAGGGCGAAAAGGAACCTTTGACCTGAACTGTGGGCTAGAATTTTCTGTCAAGCATATGCATGAGAGACATTTCGCAAGGGGCATTTAGGTACTTTAATTCAATTACGTTTTGAAACCCCGAGGTGAGCGCTGTCCACTTCATGTATAAGAAGGAAAGTGACGTTGTTCTGAGATTGGAAACACTTGATTGAAAGCTGAGGGATACTTGAGTAGAAATACGAAATTGACTGGTGGGACTATACTGACACCTCACACAGTACCGTCGAGTTGAGCCTGTATTCATCACTTATAATGATAAATCAACCAGATTCATCACTTTGCTCATTGAATACTGCTACTTGGGTAATCTGAGATGAGGTAGGGCAATAGACGTCTGAACGGTTCGGATGTAGTTGCAGTGGCTGTCACGTGCACAAGCCCAAGACGACGAGGGTCATTATGGTTTCCGACACATTTCGCTTAGCATCTTCCCCTCAACCAAGTCGCCGTGCACATCCGAAAGCAAGGTGCATCGTAGAGGATCGAAGAGAATTGGACCTGAGCGTGAGACAAGATGGTTGGAACCGGACCTTTGTTGGTCTCACCGCTCATTGAGCTAGGCGTGCTCGCACTCCATCTCCTTCTGCCCGCCCAGGAGATCGACGGATATGTCCGCGATGACAAGGGGAAGCCTCTCCGCTACCGACTGTGAGTGAGCGTTACCGATCATATTAATAGCTAGTGATAGGAATACTGACTCTTCCGCCTCAAGAAATGGGATACCGGCCATGGCAACTGCTGTCCTAGCCTGGTCCGGTCTCTGCTGGACCGGCCTGCTGCCCTGGGGGTACCTGTACGAGCACAGCGGTACCACATGCGCATGTGCCTTGATAATCGGCCTAGCCTTCAGTGCCTGGATCGTCGCCCAGGGCCCAAGACGGTCTCCCAGCATCATGAGCGACTTCTTTCTTGGCACAATCGACAACCCGCGCACCATCGTCGCAGGGCGCATCCTCGACGCCAAGATGTACCTCTACCTTGTCGGCGCAGTACACCTGGAGCTGAACCTGCTCAGCTATGCAGCCGCGCACTACGCATCACCGGACCCGAACCCGGGCGTCATCCTGGCGGCGGCGCTGCTCACCTGGTTCGTCGCCGAGTACCTGTGGTGGGAGAACGTGCACCTCTACACGTACGACTTCTTCGCCGAGCGCGTAGGCGTCAAGCTCGGCTTCGGGTGCCTCTGCTTCTACCCTTTCTTCTATCCCATAGGGCTTCTGGCCGCAGCGAACCTGCCAAACCCGCATCGGGGACCTGCCTACTACCTCTTTTCTGCGGCCGTCTACTTCACCGGCTGGGGCCTCAGCCGTGGGCCCAATCTGCAGAAATTCTGGTTCAAGCGCCGCATTGCACCGCCCGCGGCTCTGGCACCGCTTGGGCTGTCACCGGTGAAGACGGTGCGGTCTGCCGACGGGAAGCACGAGCTGCTCTGCGGCGGGTTCTGGGGCGTGTCGCGCCACATCAACTACCTGGGCGAGACGCTTGAGGCAGTCGGCATTGTGCTGGCCATCGGCCACCCTGGTGATGCTATGCTTCCATGGCTTTACCCGCTGTACTATGTACTTTTGTTTATCACTCGCGAGAGGGACGACGATAAGCGATGTCGAGAGAAGTATGGTGCCCTGTGGGATGAGTACTGCCGACAGGTACCCTACAGAATCATTCCCTACGTCTACTGAGGCATCGAATTGTGGTGAATTGTTGTGTGGGACTAATCAGTCATGGGCTTGTCTTTAATGCACTTGCTGGTTGACATTAGCACCGATGACTGCTCAGGACCTAGAGTATGGGCTCCCAAATAGGGCTCGGCTAGACAACACAATTAATTTGGCAAGTTCAAAATAAGCAAAGTAACATGATTGAGAAGGGAAAGGAACAAATGAAAATATAGGCCTGTGAAAGTAAATGTGCAGCCACCCCAGCGATATTTACCTATATCTACGAGGCATAGGGCACAGGGCAGCAGTTAACTTGATAATAAAATATACGATCATCTAGTAAAACGAACTCTATTTTCATTTGACTACAAGGCGTGCGAAAGCTCCTATCCACCGAAGAAGACGACGAGCAGGGAACGAAACAGTTGGCTAGAAGCAGGAAAACTCGCGAGCGAGTGGACAACGGATGTCCGACGTATTTTAAATCGTGCGCAAGAAACTTTGGAATTCACCTTTACGGCACTCAAGCCATCGGAAAATCTCATGCGATGCTCACAATGGCGAGTTTCTGGACTGACGTACGGGATCGGCAGATTTTGCATCAACAGTCAAGGCAGTCTGATGTATTGTACGAAGCACTGGTCCCTATGAGATGCGTCAAACACTAAAGTATAAGAAGCCCTTTTCAGCTAGGCACCAGGGACCGGGCCCGACTTCTGGGACCGATTTGGCTTGAATACACATTTTCTCGACTCACGGCTGGTTGAACGATCGATGTATCAGCAACATATTGAGTGCATCCATTAAACGCTGCCTTAATGAGGTAAAAGCATGCCACTCCAGGGTATCAACAACACGCGTCCAATGCAAAAAATGACGGAGTGTCCCACAATTATGCATTCAGCAGCGCTCTCAATGCCACCCTTATCCTCCTCAGCTTCGGCACAGTCGCACGAGTGGGCCGGCCTCTGACGACCCCGAACGATCCGGGCCCGGCCTCCTTCTCCAGCAGTACCCGCCCGATCTCCATGTAACTCTCGACTGCGACCATCATTGGCCGTCTCGACTCGCCAGGTAGCCAGTCCATGGCCGGCTTTGACTCGGCATATATCTCGAAAGCCCTCCCAAGTAGTCTGCCCCGTAACTTTCCCAGACTTTGCAGTCTACCACCGGATTTACCTGTCGGGTTACCCTTTGATATTGGTGCCTTCGTGATGGTCTCTATGACCATCCCCGGCGTCAAGCCTTCTTCCGTCAGCCAGTCCGTCGGTAAGTAGACCCTCCCGAGTGCGGCATCGACCGCGATGTCCCTAGCGATGTTGACGAACTGGAGAGCGATGCCCATCCGCCGGGCTGCGGTGGCTACCGCCTCACGGTGGGCTGGGTCAATGGGTTCTCGGCTGTGGTGTGATATGAGGGCAAGGCAGAGCTCTCCTACTGTCCCGGCTACATGGCGCCCGTATTCGCGGAGGTCGTGCTCGGTCGCGATCGGAAAACTTCCTGCCTTTTCGGTAAATTGGAAGTCCGAATCGGTTCTGAAGCCCTCGAGTAGAAGATACAGGGGCTCAGAAGGCATAAGCGAAGCCGGGAGTAGCGTGAGAGCAGATCTGGCTGAGGGAGGAAACTCATTGGCGATATATGCCCTGACAATTTCTGCCTGTCTTGATGAAGTACTGTCCTTTGTGGGTTTATATACCAGGTCCAAGTGCTCACTGAGCTTACTGATCCAAGTCGAAGTTTCCAAACCCTCAGGAGGTTCATCGACCAGATCGTCTGCCATGCGGCAGTATGAATATCTATCATAGGAAATTAGGCGCTGATGTGCTCTCTCATGACACTTCATGGATCACTCACAGTAAGACCAAATCGATCCTCAAGCGGCCAGCAAAGGTCGAGCTCGCCAGGTAAAAGCTCCTACTCTTCCGGCAAAGCCTCTCCACGGCCTCTTGGATCCCACGTATGCGCTCCTTACGCTCAGCAGACCAGGAAATGAACAACGCCTTAATTAACATGGTAGGTTTTGGACACTCGGGTGCCGATTCGAAGACATCCGGAAACGCATCGATGATTGCCAGAGCGTTGTCAAAAGCACCTAGGCCGAAGACGATGAGGACGTTGGTAGCAGCGAAGAATATTGCCTCCTCGACTTCCAGGCTGCCCCAAACAGTCACTCCAAGCTTGGTACCAGACTCAATGGCCCATGTTCCTCGGCGGAGCGCGAGCTCATCCACAATCCATAGGTACAAGGTCGGTAACGCGATGGGTAGGGCAACGCTTGTCCAGGGAAGGGTGACCATGAAGAGTCCGCCCAGGCTCCATGTCAGAAGGGCGAATGGACAAGCCCAGATTAGGATGAGGCCAAGGTACGTGCCGGGGCCGCCGTCTGAGGTCAGCCAGAAGCCAAGCAAAGAAAGGCTGAAGATCACAGCCTGAACCGTCCTGTGCAGCCCCCTCGCGATCCACGAATCGGAGCCGAGATACTCGGCGTGAAGCAATGGCTTGTTGAGCACATGGTACAGTAAAGACGTGACATACGTCTGGACGACGAAAAAGAAGAGCTCTTCGGCTGGGATGGACAGCAATGTCGGTCCTATGACAACATCTGGCGGGTAGGTCCAGACACTGTGCCGTATAAGATAGCTATCCCAGGGGATGGTGGCTACGACGGCGATGAGGACGAGGATGGATGTCTGGTACCAGTGCCGCCGAGTGAGAATTGGATAGGATATGATGGTGAGCACCGTGGCCAGGGGGATGGTGAACTTGAGATGGCTGCTCATAGTTAGTAAAAAGGGCCCTAGTTGGTAGGTGGGCAAGTATCGAGACGTACACCAGTGCATAGTCGTAGGCCATCGTGGATGGTGATGTATGCTGGAGTGGTCAAGGGCGCATGATTGTTCCGTGCTGTCGGGTATAAGACACAGCGGTTCGGAGTCCGGCCAAATGTTTGCCTCGGCGGAGCAGACAGTCCTTGGGCAGCTCGGGGCTCGCTCTGCAAGCTTGGGTTGCTACTTTGTTCACCGGCCGACACTGAGCAAGCGCACAGAGGCAAGCTCACACAAGCCTGGGGAATTCCGGACAGAGAAATGACAGGCCCCTGGTAATTCAGAGGCAGGGCGTCTTCCTCTTGGAAATGAGCGGCTGCTAAGTCCCGAAGTAAAGCGAGGACTAAGCACAGAACACACCAGAGAACTGGCAACAGAGTTGAAACAAGCAAATAGAGGAGGGCCCAGAGGAGGTTGGGTAGGGTCGGGTGGTATCGTGCTGGACTTCTCTAGTCTGGATCAACGCGCGTTTGGAGGAGCGGGTTGGGGGAGCTTCTCACGTTTCCTCTTTCGGACAGCTCCTGAGCTTCAACGTTTCAATGGGTGGTCAATGGGTGGTCAACGTCCCAACCTCTCTCTAACTGAAGCTCGATCCCAGCCAAGAGCAGAGAACTTGCGACGTAGAAGCACTGCTAGTGATCTGGGAATTGGACCGGATCTACTGTGAGCAATTTGTCCACGATACCTGGATAAACTTCCGGCTGACGGAGTGGATTCCGCCTCTCGCGCATGTTTTCGCGTCCTCGTAGTGGTGATGTCATGACTGTAGGAGGAATCGAGGTGTTGTTGCATTCCGGTGCCGAGGCGCGACGCATCACACCACGCCTCCATATTCCTGCGCACGCTGCGCTCTCTCAACGCATCCTGGACGGCGAACACCGTATGCGAGGCAGCTGAAGTGGCCCTTGCTAGCTGGATTGAGCCCAAAAGCCACCAAGCTATCAAGTCTTGGTATCCCCAAGCGGACGTCGAGGACAACCCGGGGACCCACGCTATACAGAATAGATGTGCATGTCATTGCAATAGTGCAGTACGCTTGTCTCCATGCAAAGAAGTCGGCTGGCATTATACCATTACCATCACATCCAGAAACTTCGGGAGGCTCGGATCTCATCTGCCAAAGCTGAAGTGAGGCTGTTGGGCAGATCTACTACAAGGCTGCCTTCACGGTGACTACTGAAGGATACTATTATTTTCTACATACTGGAGAGTCTGTCTGAAGCCATTGGAAATTCCGGTGGTAGTCCTACAGGCCTCGTCAGGCCCAGTCTCACCATTCCGCTATGTCCACCAAGCAAAGGGCTCCTAGGACCGCCATCGTCATTGGAGCTGGTGCAGGAGGCATTGCGACTGCTGCCCGCCTTGCCAAAGCCGGCTACCATGTGACGGTCGTGGAGAAGAATGACTTCACCGGCGGCCGGTGCAGCTTCCTCTACTCTTCTCCCTCGCAAGGGGCCGGCAAAGGGGAGAAGTCAGGTCAATATCGCTTCGACCAGGGGCCCTCGCTGCTTCTTCTCCCAAATCTCTTCCGTGAGACCTTCCACGACCTGGACACCAGTCTAGAGGATGAAGGCGTGGATCTCCTGCGCTGTCCAGTGAACTACCAGATATTCTTCCACGATGGACACATCTTCCGGCCCACAACAGACCTGGCCCAGATGAAGCGCCAGATCGAGCACTATGAGGGAAAGGACGGGTTCGAGCGGTATCTGGGGTGGATGGCCGAATCACACCAGCACTACGAGCTGAGCGTCGAGCATGTGCTGCACAAGAACTACGACAGCATCGTGACTGTCCTGACGCCCTTTTTTGCCAGGATGGCGCTCAAGTTGCACCCGTTTGAGAGCATCTACAGCAGGGCAAGCAGGTATTTCCGGACCGACAGGCTCAGGCGCGTCTTCACCTTCGCGACCATGTATATGGGGATGAGCCCGTACGACGCACCGAGCACATACTCCCTGCTGCAGTACACCGAGGCCGCCGAAGGGATCTGGTATCCCCGTGGTGGGTTCCAGACTGTGCTAGCCAGGCTGGTCGATGTCGGTGTGCGGTTGGGCGTGACGTATCGGCTGTCTACGCCGGTGAAACAGATATTAACGACGCACGACGGCAGTGCGGCGGCAGGCGTGGTGCTCGAGAACGGCGAGACGTTGCAGGCAGACACGGTGGTCATCAATGCAGATCTGGTCTATGCTTACAGTAACTTGTTCCCCGCCCCTAGCAACAAGGAGGATGGTCTCGTCAAATCTGCCACCAACAAGATCATCGAAAACTACGCCAGGTCCCTCAGGAAGCGAGACGCCTCCTGCTCCTCCATCTCCTTCTACTGGAGCCTGTCCCGCAAGGTACCCGAGCTAGGCGTTCACAACATCTTCCTCGCGGACGAGTACAAGGACTCATTCGACGCCATCTTCAAGCGGCAGACCCTGCCAGACGACCCGAGCTTCTACGTCAACGTGCCCAGCCGCATCGACCCGAGCGCGGCGCCGGAGGGCTGCGACGCGGTGATCGTGCTGGTGCCGGTGGGCCACCTGCTCCGCTCCCGGGGCAACGAAGGCGAGACCACCGCCACGGAGCACGACTGGCCCGCGGTGGTGGCGCGCGCGCGCGAGGCCGTGCTGCGCACCATCTCGGCGCGGGCCGGGTGCGAGCTGGGAAGGTACATCGTCGACGAGATGTGCAACACGCCGTACACGTGGGAGGACAAGTTCAATCTCGACAAGGGCGCCATCCTCGGCCTCAGCCACAACTTCTTCAACGTCCTGTGCTTCCGGCCCACGATCAGGGCCAAGGGGCTGAGGAACACTTACTTTGTCGGTGCGAGCACGTACCCCGGCACGGGCGTGCCTATTGTGCTGGCCGGCGCCAAGATCACGACGGAGGAGATATTAAAGGATGCTGGGATAACACCTCCCTGGGCGCAGAAGGCGCCCGTGGTGCAGGATCACGGCGTGCCGCAGAATGGGCGAACCACGGTGTTGGATCAGGTGAGGTGGAGGGGACTCATTGAGGAGAAGTTCTGGGAGGTGATCCTTTCCGTGGGATTGGTTATATTCAGCCTGCTGGTCTGGTTGTCTAGGAACCAGCAGAGTGAGCGGTATAAGATTTTGTAATTCGCATTCTAGCTGTCAGATATGTCCAATCGAATCGAGTTTATACTGTACAAATCCCACGGCTATCTTGCCCAAACCTGTTACAAACTATCAATTGGACAAAACACCAGCCCGCTCTATATCTAACCGAACCATATTGACCACTGTGACATGGCCGTGGTATCATCGCCTCTACCTTTCCCAATAACGCCCACATCAATTTATAACTTTGGCTTTGCGACCACTTTGGGCCCGGTCGAGTCCTCTGGCTCCTTGAGCCTGACCACGCCCTATGAGAAAGCGTTAGCATCAGTGACAAGTGTTGAGTGCGAACCACGGATGAAAAGGGACTCACCTCCTGGAAACAAGTCGCCAGAAGCGTGCCATCAGCAGCGAAGATGCGCTGCGTGACCACGCCCCTCCCGTCGCCGGCCCACGGGCTCTCCATCTCGCTCATCATCCACTCGTCCGCCTTGACCTTCCTCGGCTCGTGGAAGTAGATGGAGTGGTCCAGGCTGACCATCATGCCGATCTCGGGCCTGTCCTTCCAGTACTCCGCAAACTCCTCGAAGCTCTTCTGCTGGCCGTCCTGGCTGCTGCTGTACCCCTCGAAGTCGTTGAGGCGGCGGATGTGCCCCTTCAGGTCGTCCGGCAGGTCCTTGAAGTCCTTGGCCGCGAAGGGGAACCGCCACAGCTTGTGGATGCGCGACACGGTGCCGATGAAGTACGAGTCCGACACGTACGCGAGCGCGTTGATGTGTGCCTGGTGGCCGCCCGCCTCCGAGATCTTGCCCCGCGCGCGGTACCACTGCCGCAGCTTCTTGGTGTGCGGGGGCGGCGGGTCCTCGCCGCTCGAGTTGACGACCTCGGCGCGGTAGCTCTGGAAGGGCCCGCCGCCGGACCTCGTCAGCTCGGGCTCGTCGTCGAAGTCCTGCGGGGGCGCCTGGACGGGCTTGCCGGTCGCGGGGTCTGTGGGCATGGGGACCGCATGGCGCACGACGTTGTCCTTGAACTCGTGGTTCGGCGCTGATGTGGTTCTCGGCGGGGTCTCCTTGGTGAAGGACATTGTCGTTGTGAAGATGCACTTGCCCTTCTGCCTGGCCTGAACTGTCCTAGTGGCGAAGCTTCGACCGTCACGGACCCTCTCGACGTGGAAGAGAACGGGGATCTCTGATGAGCCGGCGAGGATGAAGTAGCAGTGACATGAGTGGACGGTGAAGTCATCTGGGACTGTCTTCTGGCCTGCGGCTAGACACATGGCGATCATAGCTCCTCCGAAGACACCCCTGGCTCCAGGTGGATGCCATAGTGGCCGCTTGTTGGTGAATATGTCCTGATGACGGACGTCAGTGTCGATGTAGCTGTAGGCGAGGAGACAAGTAGCTGCCAGGACTCACTGGACCAAAAACCCCAAGCTCTAATACGTCAAGGACATTCTCGATGGGCGCCTTGTCCGGATCCTCAGGTGCCGGTCGGACGAGGGTAGGACGGTTTGTGCCGCCTTCTTGCTGTGACATGTTGAGAAGCCCTTAGCAAACAGAATTACTGGTGCCGTGTACGGATAGACTCCAAGCTTGAAGATGGAGCCCCTGGTTGTGCAGCAGAGCCGTGTAACCGTGTCACGACCCAGCGACAGCGAACCGAGTAGACCTTTTGTGTTGGCTGTCGGAACACGATATCACCAGCGTCGAGCAGAGGTGCGTATTCAAGGACGAAGAATCAAGATCAACATTTGGGCTGGCATGATAGATGCAGCCAAGCCAATCGAGAGTGTCTCGAATTACATGTAGATTGTGATATGGCCGTGGCTGCGACGGACCGAGCCTTTTAGTGACGATTTGCCGAGGTTCGGCTGCCAGGGGTGGGTTTTGGCACTTGAGAGTGGCCCATGGCGGCTTCTGAATCAGATGTTGAGCCTCCGTCGGCACGACCGATCTCCGATCAGGGGTTGATTGCGGTCATTGTGCTCAGAATGAGGAGCTGTGAAGGTTGCTCTTGTTGTAAAGGACTATAGATTCTCTTCAGCGACTCAAGCATAATTGAATCACACGTGAGAAAGCCAAATGTGAGCCCAGCAACGTTTACCTCTCGTCAAGACGGTGCATGGTGCGAGTGGCATTGTGTCAGGGTTTAACCCTCACTTCTTTTGGTGGGGAATATTACTTAATGATCTTTTAGGCCAGCTCATGCTCACCACGAAAGCAAGTCACACATTACATGTCAACAATCTCATCTTGGTTGTGACTCAATTGCTCCCATGGCATTCAACGGCCAGAAAAGCGACGGAGGATTAGGAACACCGCCGTTGTGATTGGTACCGCTCACTCGGGGCGCCCCGGCTCAAAAGCGGGTACCGTCGGAGCTGACGTGACGTGCTGCCGGCCGGCTCTCTCAGATTTCCATTTCCAATTTCGCTGGCCGAACCGGAGGCGATTTTCGGAGTCTCAACCACTTTCTCCCCTCAACAACTCTCGACAATTACCACCTACGAGGCTGCCAGCGTGGTCAAAGGGTGGTCTGGTCCTGCACACAGTCATACACCCGCAGTATGGCGTCCACAATACCATCACTGCAGAGGGCCCAGGTGCCCCTGCGACGCTCCCTCGCAAGGGCAATCGCAGCAAGCAGCCGCTCATACGCCACCCAGTCCGACCACCCAGCAGCAACACCACAGCCCACCACGCCCACACCCGCCGCTTCCAACCCCTCCTCGACCCCCTCAGGGACCCGTGTCCGCCCAACATACTTCAAGAACACCACCCTCTCGTCACTCGACTCCTTCATCGGCAGCAAAGCCGCCGACAGCTCGCTCTCCGAAGGCGACGCCTATGAGCTCCGCACCGTCGAGGTCGGCCCCGAGGGCCGCAAGAAGACCATCACCCGCCTGCCCGAGTGGCTCAAGACCCCGATCCCCTCGCCCGGCGCCAACACCAACTTCGGCAAGATCAAGGCCGACCTGCGTGGTCTGGGCCTGCACACGGTGTGCGAGGAGGCCCGCTGCCCCAACATCGGCGAGTGCTGGGGCGGCGACAACAAGAACGCCGCCACCGCCACCATCATGCTCATGGGCGACACCTGCACCCGCGGCTGCCGCTTCTGCAGCGTCAAGACGAACCGCCGGCCGGGGCCCCTCGACCCCCACGAGCCCGAGAACACCGCCGAGGCCCTGGCCCGCTGGGGGCTGGGCTATGTCGTCCTGACCAGCGTCGACCGTGACGACCTGGCCGACGGCGGCGCCCACCACTTCGCCGAGACCATCCGCCGCATCAAGTCCAAGAAGCCCACGCTGCTTGTCGAGGCCCTGACCGGCGACTTCCGCGGCGACCTGGACATGGTCAAGGTCGTAGCCGAGAGCGGGCTCGATGTCTATGCGCACAATGTCGAGACCGTCGAGGGGCTGACGCCGTACGTGCGGGACCGGAGGGCCACCTTCCGGCAAAGCCTGGCGGTGCTTTCCGAGGTGAAGAGGCTGAAGGGCGATGATATCATCACCAAGACGAGCATCATGCTCGGCCTGGGAGAGACCGAATCGGAGCTATGGGACACGCTGAAGGGTAAGTTAGCTCCTACCAAGACAATCATGCCATCCTTTCGCGGTGAGGAATATAACGAAGCTGACAATACTAATTGCGAGCAGAACTGAGGAAAGCCAACGTGGACGTCGTCACCTTCGGCCAGTACATGAGGCCCACTAAGCGGCACCTCAAGGTCGAGAAGTACGTCACTCCCGAGGAGTTCGAGCTCTGGGGCAAGCGCGCCCTGGACATGGGCTTCCTCTACTGCGCGAGCGGGCCCCTCGTGCGGTCGTCGTACAAGGCCGGCGAGGCCTTCATCGAGAACGTCCTCCGCAAGAGGGCGGGCGAGAAGGCCGCCGCCGCAACTGCCAGCGGCCTCGATGCCGCAGTCGCCTTGGAGCACGATAAGAATAGCTCCCTGTAGCCAGCTTGCCTGAGCCTCGTTCGTGTGTATACATAATCTCTCTCTCTCGTTTTCTTTGCCTTCGGTGTTGGATATAGAGTTATGGACTGGAAAGGGTGCATTGGACTGGCGCAGTAGAATTATATGGTGGTTCTCGGCATTCGGTAGTACTCGGCATTCATAGCAACGGTGCTGTGGCATGGTTGGCCAAGGCCGTCGTTCATATGCCCGTGATGCAAACTGTATTGAGGGGGCAGCATCTCAACAAGCTGCTTATTACTAGAGGCCGGTGGGCCGAAGACACAGTAGCACACATTACGAGGCCACATTCAACAAACAATGAGAAGCTGGCAGATAGGAAGAACTAGCCATCAATTCGTTCTTCAGCTTTTTCTTTCTTCTTGTTCAGGCCCCAAGGATCTGGTCTATTGGTGAGTGGGTTCCAAACGTCTTGTCCCACAAACAAGCAAAGCAAATGATATAGGTAAACCTTCTCCAAAAAAAGAAAAAAAGCCATTCCTAAGCAAGTTCTGTCCCCGATACTTCAGCCCATAGCATCATTCCTCAACTCGATGCAGCCGAAATGCTAGCGATTTGAGTATCTCGGATGGAGACTGCATGTGTCTATGCTCAGTTAGGCCTGACCCAGGTTGCTCCAGTCCCACTCAGACAACGTCAAGTCAAACCACTTCTTGTTCCTGCAGGCCACTGGGTAGATGGGCATCATTCCACGGGTGACACAGCTACCTCTCTGGATCGCCTTGGCTATACACTCGTGATCGGCGTCGGACTCGGCCCAAGGCCACTGTAAAGTGAACGACACTTCGTGGGAGAGTTAAGTGGTCAGCAATGTGGCCCACCTCAGGACATGTAATGAAGTAACTCACTCTCGATGCCTTGAACGTAGTTCAGATAGTCTCCTCGGACTGACGTGTCCGTGAAGAAGGTCCACATGGAGGCGTTGTTAACATTACAGTTGTAATCGCCCCAGCGGTTGTAGTTGCCTCCACAATAGCGCTTCATGTTATCGGCGATCCCCTTGCACCACCCCTTTGCATGATACCCGCCCTGGCCGGTGCCCGTGACTGCAATGTGATAGTCGAGAAAACTGCTTCCCTGGTTCCAATTCGACTCGCATGAGACTTGGTAGGTTCGGTTGACTCTAGCGTTAGCAGCCTCGCAGTTGTCCGTATCGCGTTCTACTCCAGGCAGCGGGCCGGTTACGTTACCACTGCTGGTATTCCAGTCGGGGTAGTGGACGCCTTGGTCATTAGCTGCGGCGCTCTCGGGAGAGGCCTCGTTCGTGCTGGGGATGTACAAGGTGCCGTTGTCCAGCTGCTGCGGCGGAAGTATGAGAGGTGCATCAGCTACTTCTTGGGAAGCGGGAGGTGGTCTGCTTCCACCTCCTAAAAATCGGTTGAATTGGACCAGTGCAACAGATGCGAGAATCACATTGAACGGCGGCAGGAAGTTCTGTGGTGTCTGAGAAGGCCAGATAGGAACGCCGGGGTAGTTCCATCGGCCGTCCTCACCTTGTGATGCATCGGGTGTTTGATCCGCATTGACGGGGGCCATCCAGCTAAAGGGCCAAAGTGTCAGTTTTGATGGCTAAATAGGAACAAACAGGCCTGCTTCTTACCTGAATCGAAGAGCTGCGCGAGGTGTGTTGCGGTCGAGGACCTGACCCGTGTTTGGGACGCCGGGTCGCAGCCTCACAACGCCAAGGTAGAGGCCAGTGTTGGTGAAAACCACCCGATACTCGCCTGGTGCAACCACTCGCATGTTCTGGCCCTGGGGGGCAGAATCACCGCCATCGAAACGACCGTGAAAGGTAAGAGGGTAAGTGAAGATGCGAATGTTATCCCAGTCAGGCTCAACTCGCCATCCTGCCGGGTCGAAGTTGTCATTCCAAACATCGGGTGGAATCTGCTGAGGGAATCGTGCTCCAGGCTGCCACATTGGCCAATGAGCTTGTGCATAATTGACGAAATCTTGGTTGGCGTCCCTAAAAGCAGGCATATTATCTTGAGTGTATCCTCCTGCGTTGGCGGCGTTCATAAGGTGTCGCCATCCGTCCTTGGGGCTGGTCAGTCAAGTACATGGCTTCTGCGATACATTAGAGTCATAAAACGGAAGAAGCGCTCACTCTAAAAGCAGTCCAGATTTCTTGAGTAGAGAACATGTATTCTTCGGCGTGGCCTCCAAAATCTGGGTCCTGTCTTCCGCCAGGCCAGCCCGCCGCTCGATCTTGTAGAACGTTGCCATCACGAGGACAGAGAACAAAGAGTGGAATGCAAAAATTGGGGTTTCGAAAGTTGTAATCCAGGTAGTTTGGCTCCGGTCCAGGCGGATAATCAATCCGGGCGACGGGCTTGGGAAACTGTTGTGTGTTGGCAGGGCCGAGAGCGACAGAAGCGTTGCGGATAGTATTGTCGAGAACGTTTGAGGAAGCCAGCACCATCATGCTTAGCAGGCTGATAAGGCCCAGAATCAGGTGCAGAGACCTCATTGCGGTGGGTATAGCAGCAATAGCTCACACTAAATCGATGGCTTCGAGATTGCTAGTATACGAGTCTGGGTTTCACGCTTGATGTGCTGTTCCTCTTGTGGGTAAGATAGGTTGGGCCAGGTAGATTTCTTTGGAATTGATGTGCTGTTGCTTAAGGGGAAGTTTGTGGGTGCATAGAGTTAAGAGTTGGTAGAGGACAAGAGGAAGGATGAACAATTGTGGTACCTACAGGGGTGATTCACAAGGTCAGAGGCGCAAGAGGCTAAAGTACCTCAAAACAAACATCTTTGTAGAACACTCGTTGGTGAGTCACTGGAAGGGCTGATGTTTGGAGGGTAGTGAATATTCCCAAGAGAAAGTGCGAGTTCACACCATTGTCGCTCGCAAACACCTATCCACAAACTTGTACCGGCGCTGCCACTGTCTATTGACTTGCAAGATGTGGCGGGCAGCCTGTGCTATCCCTTCTCAAGTAAAATTCTCAAATACCAAGCCAGTTGAGAGGATTTTGAGATTCTCTTTTCTTTTTTTGTCTTTCTATGTTCATGTCCTGTGAATGTGCAAAGAGTTGAAGTCCGGCTATTCCCCCCGGATTATCCTGGATGCTGGACAGTTAATGTGCCCTTTAGGCTCATAGAGCCTAGAAGACTCTCAGTTGTGCGCACCAAGACTGCTAATACCTAGGTAAGGCATCAGGAAGGATGATTCAAGATCAGCTAGCTTGTAAACGGTCATAGTAGTTTTGAAAAAGACATTCTTTTGAATACTCAACGCCTAGATAAACGGACTCACATTCATTTGGCACAGAGTCGTCAGCTGACAACTAACTTATTCAGCCATGCTGAAGCAATGAAAGCTGACAGTCACCGTAGTACTATCAAGACGAAGATTTGCCGGATGCATATGACAGACAAATCAGCTATTCCTTCTATGGGACTGTTGAAGTTCGTGAAACATTGTGCCACTTGGTGTAGAGTATATTTCATGCAAAGGCTCTACGACCCAGGGAATAAGTAAAGGTCTTGAAAGAGGAGAGTGGTTCCTTTATTACATGATGTTGATTTGCTGAGGCTGAGAAGTACATGGTATGCGATTAATGTATACTCGTGACCTCAGCATCTAGGTACATTGACTGGGCCCATCGTGGTCTCAGATCTGGCTGTGGCCGAGCACCCTACTCTTTTCTTCTTCTTTCTCAACGACTCAGCTTCCAATTGTTCTCAAATCTCCTACACCAAGTCATTGCCCTAAGCCTGTTCGTATCCCATTCGTCAGCATCAATCGCTATCCGAGCTAGAACTGCAGCTGGAGCAGTAAGTAAAGCACTACCGGCCATCCTCCTCATCCAATCTCTGATTACATAGCTCATCAGCGACCTTGTTCTCCTCTCTGGGGATCCAGACGTATCTGACAGAGCCCAGGTCTCTGACGAGATCGTCCAGGCGAGAGGCCCTCTCAATGAGATCCCGATTGCTGACCTCGAAACCTCTCGCGTTCCGCCATCCGTTTCTAGACCACTTGTAGATCCACTTAGTCATGCATCGGATTGCATACCGCGAGTCCGACTTGATGGTGATTCGAAGCTTGGGATTGCTGTGCAATGTCTTGTATCGCTGGAGGGCCCACTCCAGCGCCATTATGATGGCGGTGATCTCGGCTCGTTGATTGGTAGGACGAGGTTTGCCTTGCTGTCGAGAGAGAACACGGCTTCGGGGCTGCGCTGGCCATCCGTGGGGGCTCTGGCGGCAGCACGCAGCCACTCCGATTGCACTTGGTCGTCCGTTGCGCCGGCAGCCGCCGTCAACGTTGAAAATCATTCGGTAGACCATGGTGGGCGAGATGCGATTCGCTAGGTAGCCCTGAATATTTGCTGATATTGATGAATTGCTCCAACAACGGGAGTTGACATTGGCTGCTTAGGCGTAGACAATTGGTTTCGTCACCTGCGAACGGTGTGGTCAGTAAAGTCGAAGATCAGCTTACACTCGAGACACAATTCAAGTGCTACTGACCGCCGTCTGACCAATACGACACCCTAAACACCCTGTGTGGAAAAGGGGAGAAGAGTCAGGCTCACTGAAGTGATGCCAGCAGTGTTCATAAGGGGACAGGATAATGACAGACTTGAATGGTTGAAAAACAAGAATGCTGGTTTTAGGGGGCTGGTCAAGTAGAAATTAAGCAAACTGAAGAGCCAAAGCTTAGGTTTCAAGGTTGTGATGTTGCCATTCCCTTGTGGTGAATCAACTGTGGTTTGCTGCAACATTGTCTCACTGTGGTAACTAACTCAAACACATCAAAACAGTGAATTTGGCCTATACAGTGTATGAATGGAGAATCAACCAGATAAAGGGACACCTCCTGGACAAAGAAATCAATACAAGACCAAAAGAATATTCTGAATCGAAGCCTCTCCTAGACAAAATTGATTTAGCATCAGAATATGCAATACTTATTACTTTCCTTTGCCTACTATCCAGGTAATAGAGGCTCCTCTAGAAGCATTCTCTATCTAATATCTCTCCCGTTTTGTACGAAACCAGCTAGTCCTTTGGCAGTAGCCTCTCTGCAACCAATGATTAAATCTTTCTACTACCCTGACTGTTCCAATCCAGCTCTGTGGACTGCAAGCTCCTAATGATTCTTGTCTCAATAATTTGTGGAAGCCGTAACAGTAGCATCGTCAGTAGCAACCTTCTCAACACTTTGCCCACTATTTCTTTCCGGGTCAACTTGGGTCTGCTCATACGGACTCTCCAGCCGACCAGCCGTCCAAGCACGGATTCTTTTACCGTAAATGTACATGATAGGCAAACCCAAAGCAAAGCCGGCCATTATACCACCGTAGATAGCGAAGTTGACCATGAACCCAAGTTGCTCGATCCAGGTTGTCGAGTCAAAAGACAGTGCGAAACCTACCACGAGACGCAGGGAGGAAACATTGACAAGGACAGGTCTAAGAAGCAGTGAGAAACAGTGAGAAGAGGTATGCGTAAGTGACGCTGTTGAATGGATAACTCACCCTGCGAAGCGAGGATAACTCTCGACCAAGTAGACCGAGACCACCGCGCTCGTCGTCAAGTAACCGAATCCAATCAGGAAGATGCCCACCAGTACCACAATCGTCGACACCGATTCGATATTCTGACCGGCATACCCAACCACAATAGGGCCTACGATACCCGCTGACAGTGGAATGATCAGACTCAAGAGATGTGCCTCGGGCTCCCTCCGCCCGCCATTCCGCCTTGCGTGCCAATTAGACACCTTGTCCGCCAGGAACCCCCCGAAAAGCCACACAAAAGGGCTCGCGATGACGAACGGTATGAAAACCAAGCCGATGGTCTCGAACTTCCACCCTGCGGCGATCTGGACGGATGAGATGACCTGAGCGTTGGCGTTCTGTATGGCCGAGAACATGGAATTGATGAGAATTACCCATAGTACGTTGGGGAAGAAGGTCGTCTTGATCATTTCCCAGATTGAACGGGCCGCAAGTCTCCATTCTGTCTCAACGTTGAACATGCCGAAGTTACTGTTTTTGTTGCGTGGTCCGTAATGGAGCTCGTCCAGCCTGGGCCGGTTCTCGCCTGGCAAGAGCGCGTAGACTTGCTTACCCGCTAGAAGGTGACCGCTTTAGTAAAGTACGAAAACAAATACTTCAACTGTGATGATTCAAGTGCGAAAACATACCGAGCTCATCATCACTCCGGACCCAGCGGGTCTCAGGCACGAACGCTATCAGACCCAGCCACACAAGAATGCCAACACCAGCGGTGATATAGTAAAGATATCTCCAGTCTAGACGGAGTACAATGTAGGGACTGATAAACACCTGTCAGCCATTTTCTAATAGAGATACGCATGGGATCTATGAGGACTGACGCAGAAATACCCAAGGCCAACACAAATAGTCCCTGTGTTGCACCCACGAGGGAGATAGCCTTATTCCTCTCGTGAATAAACATGAAATCCTGGATGATCAACGGCACCTATAATTTTGTCAACAAAATACTCCCACTCTTGGTAGCACACAGGGATGTAGTTGTAAATTTGGCCATAGAGAGTCGTGTTCTCAAAACCTCCCCAAAGAGAATCAAACAGCTTTAAATGCAAGTACTCACCAGAGCCTCAACTGCACCGGCACCGAGGCCCTGAAATGCCCTCGCTGCAAGGTGGCTACTAAGGGAAGTCGAGTAACCCGCCCAAAGACCACCACTCCACGCCATCGCGCCGGTAAACAGTAGCACAGGACGTCTCCCAATAGCGATAGTGAGTGGAACGAGGAAGTACCTGTACATATCTAAAGTCAGGCACCTTCAGCCCAACGAGGCGACCGGCAATGCGCCACAAGGTCTTGGCAGGCCACGCACTCGCATGGCTCGTACAGAACTCTTCCCTCACAGGGGCAAGTGTCTTTTAGACGAGACACTATCCACGATGGGGACAATATATAACTCGAGGGCATAACTCACGACGCAATACCGTTCACAAGCAGCGGCAACGAAGCCAGCAGCGACACCTGCCACAGCGGCGGGCCGCCCATCCCAGTCATCAGGCCGCCCTGCCCGCCGCCCTGCCCGCCGGGCGGCTGGGGCTGCCCGAGGACCTTTGGGTCGACGCCCGCGTACTCGAGGACGAACACGGGCACCATGGCGCCGATGACGTTCTCGGCGGCGAGCGCGAGCGCGCCGAACAGGGACAGCGCGGCGACGGCGGCCCACTTGCGCCACGTGGGCAGGTTGAGGGGGTCCTTGGGGCTCGGCGTGGGCGTGGGCACGAAGCGGATGCTGTCGTTCTCGAAGAGCTGCGTCGTGCCGACCACGAGGGCCTCGGGCGAGACCTCCTTCTGCAGGGGCGACATGGGCGACATGGGCGCGTCGTAGTAGTCGCCGGCGGTCGACGCGGGCGACACCACCCGCGGCGATTCTTCCACTGTGTCGGGAGCCATGGTGTGCCTTGTCTCTAATCAGTTTGTGTGATCCGAGTTGCTGTGGTTCCTCTACAGGTCTCTGCTCTTGGAGTGAATCGAATAATCAGACCAGTCCCATTTTTGGGACTATGAAGGACATCACTTCATCTATATTTAACAGTGTAGGATAATAAGGGTGTCCTTGCCACATGCTCCTGTTTCCCCCACAGATCGACATGAAGACTTTGGTAGATCGGGCACGGAGTATATGGGACGACGGGATCTTTATAAGTCCGGAAGACGATGTGGACTGATACAAAGGTTTCACGTCGGGGGTGTCTTCCGGTGGAGGAAGTCTACGAGATACAGCATAGTATCAGTTGGGACAGGGTTCAAGATCGATACGCCACTGGCGGCATGATGTCTTGATGACAAGCGGCAACCGTACTGGTCGACGACGTTGACAGTGCGCGGCATGGTTAGAACTCAGAATTAATCTCATACTGTAAGTGGCTGGAAGAGTATCTCGTCAATGGCCTTGAGGTGTGTTAAAGCCAAGAGTGGTTAGCTTGGCTGGCCTTCAAGAGACAATGAAGCGTGAAATGGGAGTATTTAACCATATGGACTTACTACCCATGTAGCGGACAGGCACTAGGCGACGGAGTATATGACCACGCAATAAGTTATAGTCTAGCAGATCAATTGCAACCCTGTTAGCTACGGGGATCGACATGATTTACTTTAGCAGGCATCGCCATGTAACACACCAACGGAGGACCAGTCATGAACACCATACTTGGCACTGTCCTTCTGGCCATAGCTTCTTGACGTCCTGTTCCTGCTACTACCTAGCTAGTCAATGAGGGATGTCTTCTACACGTGCGCCACCTACATGTGCATCCTCTTTCGCCCCTAATGCAGGAAGGAGAATCTCTCGTTCCGGGTGAAACCACTGCGCAATAGTTGTCTGCGGCCAAGAGCCCCGGCTGATGCAGCGACGAATTCTTGAGAGCTTTGCAAGGGAGGGCGGAAAGAATAGGGTCACTTGGTGGTGCGACGAGCATAAGCTAGCTATTCAGCAAATTGATTTGATTTTCAGAGTAATCCGACATATTTCAGTGAAACGTGGGATCCGCAAGTGTGGTTCAATTTGGCCTGGGCAGATCATCCAAAGTCTCAACTCTAGATCATCTTGTAACGATTTTGATCGCTTAAGTCCAGAATATTGAGAAAAAGGTACGGAGTATCTCGCAGACACCACGGGCCACCTCAGCCCCAGGGCCATCCCAGCTGGCTGAATGAGATGTGGCAAGGTCGTGGTCGCTGCTTAAGGCTTCTAGAAGCTGGTGAAGAAGGTTGACGAAAACATCTCCGTTTCTCGTAAGCCATGATCTCCTTGCCCAAATTCGGCTAGTGACAAGTTTGTCACGTAAAAGCAGTGCCCGTAAAAAGAACAAGAGTAAAACCTAGCACTTGTAGCTAGGTCGACAAAGTTCAGACTACGCCCATCATGACAATTAATGTTTCGTGCTGAAATTGAGAGTCTTGTGGTCTGAAAAGTATCACAAATCAGTCGTTGAAGGGCCTGCCTAGTACCTGGCTCGGTCATTTAAGTAGCTAGCGCCCGTTTTCTTCGCCTCCTAAGATCAGGAACGCGCCATTCGGGACCGGGCAAACATAACACAAGGAGCGACACTCGGACCTTCACTAACTCGGCACGGACAAATCTTGGCTTTATTCACCAACGATGTATCTGATTCCCTACTGATGAACGTGCTTGTAGAGCAACCCCGGACCTCGAGGGAGACCTCGGCTGTTGTCGATGATGGTGATGGTGATGGTTTGAGTAGCCAGCCATCCGCGGACGGACAGGCCTTGATGATTCCAATCTCAGTTTATTAACGTGCCCTCGCCACCTATCCAGAGCCATGCCAGGAAAAGAGTTGGACGCCGTAAAGAAAATGACAGACCGCCGAATTCCGATGCACCGCCCGCCACCCTCTCCGAAAGACCATGTCCAAGAAAACATGTGGAAGCGAGACGTGGTATATTGCAAGTCGCTAGACAAAGTGAAAATGGGAGAAGCAAATGCTCAGACGCCTCTTTTAGTTGTCGCCGGAGATGATCCAGTAGATAAAAAAGTAAATAGTAACAGATCAGAGGGAGAAAAAAAACGACTCGATGTGTGCGAGACATCTCTCCACAGTCCGGTCAGCACTTGAACGCGGTCTGTGTCCTTTCTTTCTCTATCAGCTGAATCGATATTTGGTGGCAAATGGATGTGGCATGACGTTGTCGTCAAATGTGTGACAACTCGTGCCTGGCATAATGCCGGTTCCGAGTCGAATCAGTGTCGCAGTCGTTGGTGTGAATTTATTTCGTCGGTCTCGTGGCGTCAGGTCGTGCGTCGAGTTCCTCGTCGTGGGATATTACAAGATGATCGCTGCATCAATTGCCTCTTCCTTCTCTTCCTCCTCTTTCACCACAGTCAAGCCAGCATCATCAGGGCCTGAGGCGTCCATAGCAGACGGTGCCTCCGCCGGCCAAGCTGGGGTGGGTATCGGCGCAAATTTGACGCCCTTTTCCTTCTCTTTCGTCACCCGCAATATTTCGATGGCGAGCTCCCACCGTCTCACGAGTCGCTCCTTGCGTTCCTTGAAGACTCTTGCCAGCGCATCCTCCTCGTTCGCGAGCTCGGCGACGAGGTCCTCCATCTCCTGATCGCGCTTCTCTCGCTGCTTCTCCAGCTCGGACTCTTGGCGTTCGAGAAGCTCCTCCATGCGTTTGGCTTGGCGGTCCCGAAGCACGTTGATTCTCGCCTGGTGCAGCCTGGCCATGCCCTCGAGTGCGTTATGCTGCTGTCCTAGTTCCCGCAAGTGCCTCTCGGTGACGACGCGCGGCGGCATGTCGCTATCGGTCCCGCCCATCGATGACCTACCAAGGGCCTTGCAGTATGCTTCCATGTGCTTGACGCGGATCCGCACGCTCTTCTCTGCCTGTTCCAGCGACGCCCGGAGCTCGATCTCGGCCGCAATCTGACGTTCTTCCAGATGTTGCTCGGTCTTTGCATGACGCTCCTTCATCTTATCGATTTGGTCCGAGTATTTCTCATTCAGCTTGAGTTTTCGCTCCTCATGTCGCGTCCACATGACCCACTTGGTCTTCCGTTCAAACGTTCTGAATCGCCATTTCTCCTCCTCCTGCTCGTCTTTTAACTTTTTGAATTCTTCACAAGCCTGTGTCCTCTTTTCCGCCAGCTGGCGCTCGACCTCTGCGGCGGCGGCGGCTGCTTCTTGGGCCGCCTTCTCAGCCTCGAGCTCCGCTTCTCGCGCGGCCTCTTCCATCCTCCGCCGCTCAAGCTCTTCCTCTCCATTGCAAAAGTTTGGGCATCCTACAGCAGGGTCCCACACAGCACCGCATATGTAGCAGAACTGAGCCTTGCACCGACATGTCATATGCGTGCATCCTTGGGTGAGTTCCACCAGAGTGCGGCACTTATAACATCTCCTCCAGCCAGATTTCTCGCCCATTCGTAGCACCTGATCCAGCTCATGATCGTTGGGGCAGTCCTGGCCCACGGGATGCGCATCCCTCTTGCACCAAATACACACTCTGGTCCGGCATTCCCTGCAGACCACGTCGAATGGATGTTTAGGGTCGATCCGGTTCCGTGGTGGGATAAACTCGTTGCAACAGGGATTAGGGCAGAAGATTCGTGCTTCCCAGGGAGTACTATATTGTTGAACAGCCTTGAGGAACAGCTGCTGTTCGTCACGGGTGAGGAGATTGCGTATTGTTGTGCCCAGGACGGGCTGTGTGCAGCATCGGGGCGGCATCTTGGACTCATCGGTCGTAGACTGTTCGATCATGATTCGTAGACAGTTTCCGCAGTAGGTATGACCACAGGGCAGGGTCTGGAGATCATTCTGCTTGTTGAAGTCATCTCGACAGCATATGCAGGATCTGGTTGGCAAATGTCAGCGTCTCGAGACAAATGAATGTCAGTTTCGCTGCACACGGCGATGGCTGAACCTACAAAGTGGCACTTGGTATATTAGACGGCTTCTTCCACCGGACCTTCGCCTTTAAACCATTTTTGATGCTGATGTAACTCTTTCTCGTGCTAACGCTGAATATACTCGGAGCGGGGTTTGTAGGAGTAGGCGGCCGTTTGAGGATCTTGGGCTGGCATAAGTTGGGTTCCAACTGCGCCAGGTATTTGTCGTAGGTTGAGAAGTTGAGGCTCCGCGATCTTGCTCTCGAACTCGGGACAGGAGGAGCGTGGTCGTGTGGCTCGGCACCAGTATTCGGTCGTGAAGGTGGATTCGACGTCATGGCGGTATTTGTGGTGTCTTCTGAACCAGAGGAGGTGTTGCGAGCATGGGTGGAGGAGAGGGTGGCGTCGGACTCGGCGCCGGGGCTGTGGGTGTCTTCCGAAGGCAAAGGCGGCGCTGGGATGGATATGCCGAGTGTGGCTGCTCTGGTGATTAAATCTTGCTCGATATTCTGCTCTGTCTCGACGGAACGAAGAACTTCCACAAGGTAGGAGAGGTCGTTCAGCTCGTCTGGGGCGTTGTCGGTGGCGGCATCGGCTGGGCTTGCATTATGGGCAACGGGCGGTATTGTTGCAAGCGAACCCATTGTCATGAGGCGCCGGTGACGGGTTCGCCTGCGGTTGTCTCTGCTAGACCACCTTTGCTGGCCGGGGGGCAGAGGCAATAATATTATGACACAAGTCGAAAGGGGGGAGGGCCGACAGGAAGTCAAGGCCCTAGGGCAAGGTGCCGAGATGCTCCAGACGGGATGAAGGAAAGCGTGGCGGTCAGACGCGCCCCCTTCATCGACGGTCCATGATCCAGTGAGAGATCAGAATGGCGTCGGCCGTTGCCCCTTTGCGGTTGGAGGAGGCGGCCAGTGCAAGTGCAGGTTGCAGTTCGGGGGGTCGGTGCGATGAAGATCGGACAACGGGCAGGACTGAGAAAAAGTCAGGAGTCCAGGTCCCAGTGGAATGACGCGACTCTCGTCACATACAGCAGCGGTACAGTAGATAGGTAGATAAGTGAGGTGCCAGCGGGGTCGGAGCCGCTCCCTGTGTGCGTCTATGTGCTTGTGCTTGTGCTTGTGCTCGTGCCTCTATCTATGTCTCTCGCGAACTCATGCAGGGTTGGGGTCGTTGTGTAACCAAGACTGATAGGTTGGAGCCCGATCATGCATATGACATGTAGCGATTATGATGTGATATGGGGGGATGTTGGGAGGATAGAGTTGTTGGTTGGCAGGGGGGGGGGGGAACAGACAAGAAAAGGAAAAGAGTAAAAGAAAAAAAAAGGTACCAAGCAGAGAGAGAGGCGGACTGCAAAGGCAGACTCCGACCCCGAGTTGCCCCGTATCGCGAAAGATAGCAGTCTAAACGAGCGGAAATCAAGAATCATGCACACCAGCCAGGTGCAGCCAGGCCAGGTGATGAGAGGTGGGACTAGGAGGTCGGAGGAAAAAAGTAGACTGGGCCGGGCTGGAGTGGCAGAGTGGACTGGGCGGCTGCTGGTGGGGACAGAATCACCAGATCAACCAAGGTTGACGAGGTGCGAGGCAAGGCTTCTTCTTCTTGTCCTGCTGCTACTGTGCTGCTGAGTGGTGCTGTTTACCGGTATGCGGTGGGCCAGTGCCAACGGATGGGTTGATCGGATCGGATGGGGAGGAGATATGTGGCAGACTAGATATGGGGTAAATGTGGGTGTGGACAGGGCGAGCGGCTCGTTTGGGCCTGGGTATTCCAGTTCCAGTACTACTGAATCTGCTAGGGGACAGTGTGTGTGTGTGTGTGTGTAGGTGTGTAGGTGGATGGGTACAGTGTCTAGGGATCCAATCGTAGGCCGTTGTTACTCAGACACGCTCCTCCTGCCCTGTGAACCAACTCCTGCACTTGTCCCTACTTCTTCTTTTCCTTCTTGTTGTCCCTGCCTCATCTCGTCTTGTCTTGTCGTGCTTGCAAATATTGACCTACTGTGTTTGGAGTGCAACGACTGGAGGTGCAGCATGTGTGATGCAAGTGCAAGTGCGACTTTCGACTGCAACGGCGACTGCCCACTGCAACTGCAAGCGCCTGATGACGGGCTGCAACTTCAGCCTGCACTTGAGCGGAACCGGCCAGTGTGAGCCGGCGTGAGCTTGAGCTTGAACTCTGGTGGGTGTGTGGTGTGGGTGTGGCCTGTGTGGGTGGGCGCGGTTGCCGTTGTATTGTGGTGTGGCAGACTAGGTGCAGGGCAGGTGCGGGTGCAGGGCATGGGCATGGCAAGGGCAGCGAGGGCAGCGAGGGCAGGCAGGCACTGGACAGTGGACAGTGGACAGGACGGAACAGGCAGGGCAGGTGGGTTTTGGGTGGATATTGTTCCCTTCCCTTGCCTCCCGCAACCCTTCACACACAGTATAGTCTAGCATCTACACAATATTAGACTTAAATAGATCTTGCGTGCTGCTTCCCATCTGCAGGTGTGCAGGTGTGCAGGTGTGCAGGCCAACTCCTCGCCTCTCAACGCTCCCCTCTCCCCTCCTAAACCCTCCATGAGGCTGTGGCCTGTCGTCTGATGGATGCGATGAACACAGCAGGACCTTTGCCTATCCGGCACTTCCAAACAAACGAGACCTCACTTGCAGGCTTCCGCTGCAGTGCCACCGCACACCTCATTGACCTGTCGTATTGGCCCCCCCAGCCCGTACAGTACAGTTCACACGTGTGCCGTACAAGATCGTGACTGTGACTTGACTCGGCACAGACTGCGCCTCCATCTGGACTTCTTGACTGATTTCTCGTTGACTACCCACTTGTCGGGTCGTCGTCAACGTCGTCGTCGTTATCTTCGGACATGACTGCCAACCAGGTGAAGTCTTCCATACCTAGACACCACCATGGTCTCATGATGGCCCACGATACCCTTTCAACCTGCTGCCCTGTCTGAGTGGCATGCCGTGCCGAGCCCACGCCTCGCCTGTCCGGCATACCTGCATTAGCACCGCCAAGCCGTCGCCTTGTCTGCCATGCCAGTCTATTGCACCTCGTCATCTCACCTCGACAAGGACATCCCGTCTCGCTTCCTCCTGGGCAGGTGGGCTGTTTCTCGTTTCACCTGCACTCACCGCCTTGCATTGATGACTGATGACTGCTTACTGTGCACCGTCGCCAGCAGCCCACCGGCGACATTTCATCTCCATCCCATCTCTCTGTCAAAGGCATGAATTGTCTCCCACCATCCGTTGAGAAAACGGAAAATCCCCCGAAACAAGGCTCCATGGGATCCAGCCCTATCTGCCACCCGCCGGTGGGACGAAAGCTGCGGTGAATCGAGGCCCTCCAGGATACCCTTCATGCACTTCAATACCAGAGACCCAGCCGCCGCAGCCGAAGGATGAAAATCCCTCTGGCCCATTTTCGGGGAGTCCATAAGGCAGCCAGTCTTTATCCAGAACTAAGGAGCCGCTATGATTTTTGTCGGGAATAAGTGAACCAGTGAATGAATGACTTGCAATTTTTTTCTTGACCGGCAGGGCTGGATGAGAAAGAAAAAAAAATCCAAAACGCCGATTTCATCCAAACACCTCTCGAGACAAGATGCGGCCTCGCCGAAAAGCTTTATACCCCAAAGGCCAAGCCAACATCTTGGGTGTCATCCGGGTGTGTCTCAAAAAACCACCCATCGTCACGTCCAGTCTGAGAGTCTCGGAGCGTTGGGCGCTTACCAAAAGCTGCACCCGGCCGTCCCGTCTTTGAGACAGGACGCGCAAATCAGGGCGATCTGTATTTGTATGTTCTAGAACAATTCCAGAAGAAACGCGAAGACAGCCCGGCGCCTGACGCCGGTCTATTTGACGAATCGGGACTGCTGGATTGTGATTGGGGGGGGAGGGAGGCGGCTGGCCGTCTCATTGCCGGGCCGTACAAACGCCTGCCATCCACTCATGCCACTAAAGCGAGCCACTTGCTTGTCTTGCCACTGACGAACGAGACACTTCCAACTCCCATTTGCGTGATTTCTCGTTCTTCTAGAAAATTGGGGCTGTTAAAGCCCCAGCCTTTAACAGAATAGGTCTCTGCCAACCATGCATTTGCGCAGCCAGAAGAGGGAGAAAAAGATAGCCAGCGCCCGGATGTTGAATACACATTACACCCATCAGTTCCCTCGCCCCGAAATTCGCTAAACTGTATACCACCGCGGCAATGTTGTTAAAACAAAAAACGCCTTCATCGTATATCTATACTGTAGCCGTAACCGCCGTGCCCAAATCTTTGGGGGGTATCGATATGATGTGTTGAAATGTTCAGACCGTGACACGACCTTCGAGTTGAAGTCGAATGGAACGCCGAGTCCAATGCTCTAACCCCTTTCCATCCTTTCCTTTCCCTTTTTGCCCCTCGCATCTCTGGCGTTGCTTCACTCTACCGCAGGCGTTGAGGCTTCCCTTGTTATTCCAAGTGCTATCCTTCTGTGGTTATTTACTGCACTGACCCGCCGGTGGTGTCCTCGACCGGAGGACACGTGCAGAACAGGTTCAGGTCTCCGTAGGCTGTTGCGAACGGCCGTTAGCAAAGGATCCTACACTCTCTGTGGTGTTGATCTCTAATATCGAGGTGGTACTTACTATCATCGACCCTTCCGACGCTAGGCCAGAACTTCTTCTCGCGCAGCCAGGGCAGCGGGTAGACAGCCTGCTCCCGGGTGTACGGGCGGTCCCACTCGCCGCCGACAATGTCCTGGACCGGGTGCGGCGCCATCTTGAGCACGTTGCCCTCGCGGGGCATGCGGCCCTCCTCGACGGCGCGGATCTCCCCCCTGATGCTGACGAGGGCGTCGACGAAGCGGTCGAGCTCCTCCTTGCTCTCGCTCTCGGTCGGCTCGATCATCAGCGTGTTGGCGACGGGCCAGCTCATGGTGGGCGCGTGGAAGCCGTAGTCCTGCAGGCGCTTGGCGATGTCGATGGCCTCGACGCCCGACGTCGCCGCGAAGGGGCGCGCGTCCAGGATGAACTCGTGCGCGCACCGCCCGTGCTCGTTGGTGTACAGGATCGGGTAGTGCGGCCGCAGCCGGCTGAGCAGGTAGTTGGCGTTGAGCAGCGTCGTCTGCGTCGCCTTCTTGAGGCCCTCGGCCCCCATCAGCATGTTGTACGCCCAGCTGATGGGCAGGATCGACGCGCTGCCGTACGGCGCGCTGCTGATCAGGCCCTTGGACTGCGTCGTGATCACGCCCGTCGGCGCCAGGTGCGGGATCAGGTGCTCCTTGACGCAGATGGGGCCCACGCCCGGCCCGCCGCCGCCGTGCGGGATGCAGAACGTCTTGTGCAGGTTGAGGTGGCACACGTCGGCGCCGATCTCGCCGGGCGAGCACAGCCCGATCTGCGCGTTCATGTTGGCTCCGTCCATGTACACCTGCCCGCCGTACGAGTGCACCGTCTCGCACACCTTCTTGATGGCCGGCTCGAACACGCCAAACGTTGAAGGGTACGTCACCATGATGGCGCCCAGCTGGTCCTTGTACTGCTCGCACTTGGCCTGCAGGTCCGCCACGTCCAGGTTGCCGGTCTTGGTGTCGCACTTGATCGGCACAACGCGCATACCCGCCATTGCAGCTGACGCAGGGTTGGTGCCGTGC